CGGAGAAGCAGCGGTTCCGCAGCAGACGAGCCACCGCCACAGCCGAAACCCACAAGACGCCACCGGAGCTCGCACACCTCAATGGACTCGTCGGACCCATCGGTCAGGAGGAGGCGTAACGTATCGGTTCCAGACATGGAAACGCCATGTCCTCTAGCGGACGGCTCGGCTCCTCCAAGGAAGCCCGCTTCGCGACCGAGGAAGCTGAAGGGATCAGTAGGAGGAGGAGAGGTACCTATGAAGAATTCTAATGTTCAATCAGTTGACGATACGCCTCGTAGTTCTTCTGAGATAAACTGAGATTAATAATAATTTTAAAAACACGATTTGTCTTGAACATATATGCGTGTTTTCTCATTTCGAATGCATATTACAAGAAAGGATTTGGATTCATATCCAGGCGTGACTTGGATACTGACAACATGAGTTTGAACACTTACCAAAGAGCTTACTTACAAATAGCCACCACATTTACAGTGCCTAAATGTTACATTTAACCATCACATAACCCAGTCTGTTCATCATCAACTTCAACTACAAAGGTTTAGGCATTTGGCCTCTTGGCTTCGCGGGACTTATCATCAGCGGTAAGATCATTAGCTTCTATTCCTTTCCTTTGGCCCCAGATCTTGTTGTAGTATAATACCATCATCTTCTTCTATGGCTTTTTACCTCGTATTTTCTCTTCGACGCGCATAACGGGTTCTGTCATTGTACCTCGGTCTATCCTGTGCTCTCTGAGGCTGTGGCTCCACCCGCCCCTGCCTCTCTGGTGGTCGCTGGACTATTTCCCCGTTAACAAAGAGCTCGGCTGCAAGTCATCAAGAACGGTAAACAATCGATCAAACACTAACATCATTTCATAATCAGATATATTCAACACAGAATATGCTGATATCTTATCTATCTCTCTCCGATTGTTCTATTGCACTCTAATAACTGAGCACAGAACAAGAGGAGAGAATCTCGTTGTGAGTCCATTAGCATTCAAAACTAGACATGGCTAGAAAGCTACTAGCTTTGCCAAGATGGACTTCTGAGATATATTCAAGAGAAACTCTGATATCTTATCTCTGTCCAATTATTCTATTGCACTCTGATAACTGAGCACAGCACAAGGGGAGAGAATCTCAATGTGAGTCCATTAGCATTCAAAACTAGACATGGCTAGAAAGCTACCAGCTTTGCCAAGATGGACTTCTAAAATATAGAATCAAAATCGGAAAGCTAACCATTGGTACAATTACTGTTAGATTATTCTATAACCCAGATCACCTATCCTCGTATCGAACTATCACAAACAAATGTTTCATCTCAACAAGTCAGCAGTTAGACATGTAACAAGTCTAATGCACACAACTCAGCCAAAAGAAAATTTTGTTGTGAGTCCATTAGCATTCAAAGCTAATCATTGCCAAGAGACTCCTTAGCTTCGCCAAGATGGACTTCAAATTGAATTTCCATGCTTCTAAAGATAGATATCTGTAGTTGTTAATTCTGTTTCATGATTTCATCTCAACTGGCGTGCAGTTAGACACAATATGATCTTATGCCCACATTGGCCAAGAGAAGATTTCGATGTAAGTCCATTAGCATTCAAAACCACTCATAGTCCAGAAGACTAATTAGCTTTGCCAAGATGGACTGTGAGAAAACCATTTACAATAGCAAAATGGCACTTGCAAATATTTCATTGTTCGAAGAAACACAACCCATGGATACAAACCCAATCATAAACAAGACAGAAACTATTGAAGTATGTGATCATATTTACCTCCATAATCTTTGTATTCAGGATCCACATAGGAGTCTGGAAGCACGAACAAAACACCGGGTAAGCCTGTCGAAACCAAGAACCAAAAAAACTCTTTTTTTCTGATAATGAAAAACCACCAACAAGACAACACAAGCAAAAGTAAGAGAGGGCTGTACCTTCTAGCTTAGTTGATGTCTCTTCATCTATCTCACAACCAAACCCGAAATACCTCTCACACGAAACATTATAGATCCGCTTCTTTGCCTCTTCCTCGCTACCAAAACCATCACAAAGGAAACAATCAATACACATCACCATACTATACATCGCAACAATTTCAAGTTACCATACAACAATAAAGCGCAGAGAGCACTCAGAACATTCCGTTCCCTTTTTAGACGCATGAACCCTAATCGACTTTATTACACAGTCAGAAATTTTTTTCCTACCTTCTCTCATTCCAACGAATTTACCAGCAATCAACCAAGAATAGATGAGCCTAATCTGGAGACATATGGATCTAGAAAATATAAATTTGAACCTGCTCAATACCTTCCAACAACTTTCGCTAATGTCTGAATGTAGCAATCGATCATCTGCTGCTTCGTTGCGCCTTCTCCGCCGGGCTTATCCATCACGATGAGCCAGTGCTCGTAGTCGCATCCTGGAAACAATGGCGCCATCTCCGTCGGTGGTCGGTCACTGAAGTTGGAACCCGAGTTGAGCGGCGAGTACGCTGAGCCCGAACGACTCGCACGACATTTGATTCCGACGAACCGCACTGACGAACCCGGCTGAGATCCGACAGCCTCAGAGACAACGGAGCCACGTCGATGGAAGAGAACAGCGGAAGGAACCGGCGTAGAAGCTATTGTAGAGGCGTAGGAAAGGGGTCCATTGGAGAGGAGAGGGCGGGTGAGGAGGTGGCTAGTGGCAGAGGCTCCAGAAATGGGCAGAGCCATCGATGGCGGCGGAAGAGAGCGAGAGAAGAAGAGGTGGAAGAGAAACTGGGTTTACGGGATAGGGTTTAGGGAGATATTTATAATCGATTTTTCACTTTATTTAATTGGTTTTTTAGTTTTGAAAAAAAAATGCATATGGGCCTGTTATAATAATGGGTCCTTTATTAAATGGGCCTATAAATATGCATAGGCCCATACAATCGGCAACGCCAGAAAAAACCCGAAAAAGACGGCTTCTGTTTTATACACACGTGTAAAGGAATCGACAAATTATTCTTTTTCTTCGCAACAACCCCCGCCCCTACAATAAAGCCCCCAAAATTCAAAACAATTACACTTCTGCCCCCAACGAAAAGCTCTACCGTTCATATGGCAAAAAACTCGCAAGATCGTGTTCGGATCAGACCGATTCCACCGTCCGGTCGCCGGCGGCATTGGAAGCTCATGTCCTGTTACGTGTGAAGCAACTTAAAGCAAAGATACGGACGGTGAAACAAAGGTGCAAGGAAATTGACAAATAGATAGAACCAAATTTTGGGAGTCGAAATCAACGGTTATGCTCGACATTTCAATTTCATCAACGGTCGATATCTCCCCAAGTTCTTCACCAAACTGTTCGGGTTTTCATGCATTATTTTAATATAAGACAATGTTTGTAGCCAAGGAGCATTCCGTGTTTGCCATTGTTGTAGTTTTGTACGCAAGTGTATGCATGTGAGCTTTTGCATTTCGCTGTATTGCTTCCGTATATATATATAGATTATACATATTTAGATATATCGGGCGAATTTGACTGATCCCTATTCCGTACGCCTAGTGTTTTATAATAAGAATGTAAATATTTGCTTAGTTCCAATTTTTTGAAGTTGAACCATATTTGTTTGTGACTGTATAATGGATAAAGTACACCCAATAAAATCAAATAAAAACAACGTGGGGGAAGTTATTATACGTTTCGTTGATTTCAGACCATCTGTCTCCTTTGTTTCTATAAATAAATTAGAAATACAGAAAACCCTAAAATTCAACAAATTACTAGAGTAAAATAAATCATGTCACGCAGGGAAATTCCACAACAACAAAAAAAACGTGCAGCAATATACTCAAAGATTTGGATTATTTTCGTATTCATATATATATATACACGCGCACACACACATGCATATGTATCGCTGTGTGCATGTAATCCTTGCGAATTCGTACCCATTTCGCTAAGACGTGTGGAAATTTGTATAGAATTCATACATTAAGTTATATATATTATGCAGACATAAGAATTAATGACAAAAGAAAAGAAGGGCACGGCACAAATGGTGTGAAACGATCCATATATATATAGTTTTTTCGTATTATTAAATGATCCAGGATTTTTTTTTTTTAAAAAAAAAAAGCAACGACATGGCGAGTTTGATAGGTATTGATATTGATGTAATCCAGCATTGAATTTGAGTCTTATGGGCTTGAAATACGTATCACGTGAAGACACTCGACGGGCTTACAAAAAAGGGAAAAAAAATCGGGAAAAATATGCCATCTAATATCGTCCATGTCTTATTTGAACAAAAACATTTGAACATCAATACGAAATAAAATTGATTTTCGTTTGAAAAATACTATCAAGTGGCAAAATTTGATCTTATGCTAAGAAAAAGAGCCCACAAATTTATATTGTTGATCATATATTCTTATTCAATTTTGTTCTGATAAATCATGATAGATCTTGAACAATAAATATAAGCTTTTAAACCTTATACATTCAAACTAATGGACCACGCATAATAATATTGTTGGGTTGTTTGGATAAAGAAAGGTGAATGATGCTTTTAACTTTTTCCCGAAATTGGCATCACTTGTAATCGTTAGCGAATACCATTTTTTTTTGTTTTCATATTTGGAAGTTTATGGCCAATGCATAATATATATATATATATATATATATATAATTATTTTTAAAATGGAGCTCCTTTTGCATAAATATATATCTTATAGTTTAAATCGGATAAAACTTTATTCGACAAACTTTATCAGCTCAGCGCCACATAAAAATGGCGTGAATTTCAGAATGGACCAACCGCTAAACTTGCAAATGTTGAAATACGAAAGGATGATATACATATATCTACAAATATATGTATGACGATAACGGAAACTTTAAGAACTTGGCATCTGCTTTGTACTTGCCGTCCATTAACTCGTGTTAAATCCATGATATTCGATCAAGGTTGTATCTACGCTGCTGACTGCTGTTAAATCCACGAAGTTAAAATTCGCACGTGACAAAATCACGAGATAACAAAGAGAGAGTGCCTACTTTCCGGCAGGAGAAATATACATATACACAAAATAAGATCTTAAACTGGCACGTGTTTGGATCGGCTAGTTGCCGTTCAATATATATCTATCTTCAATAATCATGAGTCATGACACGAGATTTGGACAAGATTAGAACACGTGTCAAAATCTTCGAAGACTTGAGATTGAGCGTTTTGGCTCCCCCATATTTCATCCTCCTCTATAAAGGAGCTTTAAACGTCGAAAGTCACATTGCTCCTCCCTTTAGTAAAGAAGAGTACCATAAGAGAGAGAGAGAGAAAGAGAGAGAGATGGCAGGAGAAGGCGAGGCGATGGCTACGACGGCTCCGTTAGCGCCGGTGACGTATGAGAGAAAAGTCCGAGACGATTTGGACGAAACTTTACCCAAACCATGTAAGTTTCTCGACTATATAGTATAAAACTGATCAATCGAATCCTGATTCGATTTATATTAGGGTTTTTCATATTGTTATGACAAAAAAAAAATATGGGTCCGGACCAAATCGATATATATGTTGTTGTATAATGATGGTGAAATGGCGAGAAGATTTGGCGAGAGGATTGGTGGCAGCGGATACGGACAATCCGGAGGGAGCAAAAGAACACGAGAACAAAGGCATGAGCGTGCTTCAGCAACACGTCGCCTTTTTCGACCAAGACGGCGACGGAATCGTCTATCCTTGGGAAACTTTTTCGGGTAATTAATTAATTACCCTTTTTTTTTTTCCATTTTCCATCATCATTCATTGCAACAATTACGTATATATATGTGTATGAATATATATATATTTTGGCACGATGTTTCAGGATTTCGCCAACTTGGGTTCAATGTGGTAATCAGTGTTTTGGCGGCCATTTTTATCAACCTCACCTTGAGCTATCCTACGTCACCGGTATGCAAAACTTTGAGTGTTCCTTCCATGTTTTGATAATATTAAATTTTATTATTTGCATTTTTGCTTACATTATATACAAATTTACTTGAAAAGTATAGTATACAACAATTCAAGATTAACGGTGTTATATGTCTAGGGTTGGTTGCCTTCTCTTATGCTCCCAATTTACATCTCCAACATACATAAGGCCAAACACGGAAGTGATTCCGGCTCCTATGACACCGAAGGAAGGTTATATAACATTAACATATACTTTATGCACACACACACACACACACATATATATATATATATATGTATATATATTAAAACCGGATTATAATATGCAGGTTTATGGCGATGAACCACGAGAACATGTTTAGCAAATATTCACGTGTCATTCCCGATAAATTGACATTCAAAGAGGTTTGGAACTTAACCGAAGGGAACCGAGTCGCATACGACATATTTGGCTGGTTAGTTCCACCTTCGATTCGTTTCATTGTATTTTGCTATAGCTTTCTGTAACCGTGAACATTAATCTTTCTTACAATCGAAACAAAATATTACATCAAATTTTCTTGAGAATCTTGGGTTGAATGAACATCCGAAAAAATACGTTTTTTTTTTGGGGCAGGGTGGCGGCAAAGGGAGAATGGATATTTCTCTATCTTCTTGCAAAGGACGAGGAAGGGTTCCTGTCCAAAGAAGCCGTGAGAGGTGTCTTCGACGGGAGTTTGTTCGAGTTTTGTGCCAAGAGAAACAAAGCCAAGAACGAGAAGAGGGACTAAGAATATTTATAATTATATGAAATAAAACTGAATAAATTTGAATTTTCGTGTAATGTGTTGGTCCGACAGTGTATCGCTTTCGTTCGTTTTCTTTGGTCTTGTCATATGGATCTTTGTGAGTTGTGGTTGGTTGTGTACATGTTATTAAGAAATTATTGTTTGTAAGGTATTCTGTCCTTGTTTTACTGTTTGATCCCAACGTGTTCGCAAGACCGGTTTTGTGATACTCATTTTTCGGCCGGTTATTTCGGTTTAGACCGGTTTATTTGGTTACTTGGTACCAACCGTTTTGAGTTTGAAGCCCTTTTGTGGGCTTTATAATGGGCCTTAGTGTTTGTTTCTTCTGTTGTAAACTTGGGCCTAAACCCTAATTTCTCCTCTTCCCTCCTCCTCCTCCTGCGGTCGACAAACTGAAAAACCCTAGAAGCAGCGTCTCTATAAGTGTAGGTCGGGGACCGTAACATTTCTCTCTCACCCCGTCAAAAATGTCGAAGCGAGGTATGGTTTTAATCCCTTTATTTCATGTGCTCTGTATATTGCGTTTGTTTTCTCAGATTTTTGTTGTTTTCGTCTTGTTTTCTGTTTGTTTCTCGTAAAAACTAATGGAAAGAGATTTGAAGTTTCCGTGGCTGTTGGATCTGATATATGCGAGATCTGTCGAGAATTATTGTTTGGCGATGCCAAGTTATGTAAGGCATCGGCGATTCGTGGTCCGAGACAGTGCGTAGTTGTCTGAAAATTACGTGGTGGGAATAGCCTCATCTCCTTTTATCGTCCTTGAAATCTATACCTAGCGTAATTGTGGCAATAGCTTCTCCCTGTATAGCTCATCACAGACAGATGGCCGCAATTTTACTATAGGGAGTTTTGATTGTTTATTATGCTATTGGATTTTGGATGAAACCTCGCAAAATTCGAAACATTTCGTTAACGGGTTTGTGTCTGAATTTGACCAGGACGTGGAGGTACATCGGGCAACAAGTTCAGGATGTCACTGGGTCTGCCGGTGGCAGCCACCGTGAACTGCGCCGACAACACCGGCGCCAAGAACCTTTACATAATTTCAGTGAAGGGTATAAAGGGCCGGCTCAACCGGTTGCCTTCCGCCTGTGTCGGTGACATGGTGATGGCTACAGTCAAGAAGGGTAAGCCTGACCTCAGGAAGAAGGTTCTTCCCGCCGTCATCGTTAGGCAGCGCAAGCCATGGCGCAGAAAGGACGGTGTCTACATGTACTTCGAAGGTCGTTTCTACGGAACCCCTCTTCTAACCTCTTGAGTTATGTGATATGACATTATGGTCTGTGCTTTGGTTATATGATTATCAGACTTAAGTCAGGTATCCTCCGAGAATTATCGAATGGTTGATACAGTTACAAGTCTGGGAAAGTTACTGTGCCCATCGTTACAGATGCTGTAATGCCTCAAATGCTTGCGTCTGCTCCATTTGGACGCTAAATATATGATCAAACTTTTCATCAGCTGCTTGTTTTTTCTCTGCATAATACCGAGTTTTTGTTGAATGGAAGAATACTGATACAATATCGGTTTCTATTCGAATGCAGATAATGCCGGAGTCATTGTGAACCCCAAGGGAGAAATGAAAGGTATCAATCAATCAGAATCTTACAAAACTCTTAGATCAGTGTCACTGTCATCGGTTCTTGTCATTATTTGGCAACTCTTTCTTCATAAATCCATGAAATATCCCATCTTTCACTTGACAGGTTCCGCCATCACTGGACCCATTGGAAAGGAATGCGCCGATCTCTGGCCGAGGATTGCAAGTGCTGCCAATGCCATCGTTTAAACTTACTATCAGATTTTCCCTTTCTTTTTATTTGAGACTCGGGATTTTTGGTTGGAGTTCAATCTGTATTTTGAGCATCAGACCTCTGGTTTTGGTCACTATCAGATTTTCTGGGCTTTGGTAGATTTTCGTTCCTTCATTTGGGTCTTCCACCGCCGTGAATTTACATTTTACACCATCCAAAAGATCAGAAAATGCATATGAACTATCCAATCTCACAGGTCATAACAAGAAAATCAATGTAGAACTATTCGTATAGCATTTAAAAAAAAAAGATGCAAACAAAAATACAAACCGCAAAAGGGGAAGTTCCCCATCTTTCTCCTGAAATCTCCTTGCTAACTTAAGCTTTTGTACACTCTCTGGCCGGTGATGGCCTGAGCCTGTGGCTCTGGCTATGGATGTAGGCTATAGCAATAGAAAAAGATTGCAAAACCGATATCTTCGGTTGAAATTGAACCGAGTATAGCCCCTCGTGGACATTCGCAATCCTTAATCCCGGCGTCCCGTGCATTGATCCCTGTAATTTCCAGTCCAAGAACACTCAAATTCAACCACATTGTACTGGTGATGTGATGACTAACGAGTTTCTTTTCATGGTACGCTGTCATAAGATTGAAAGTTTCCTTTTTTAATCGATGTTTCTGCATACCCATCTGAAAGTTTCTAACTTTAGATTTAGGAAATGGTTGTATACAGATTTAGAAGGTACCTCGGTGAACAACTCGAAGAGATTGCATTGGCCTTCCCTTTGATCTTTACGTGGTCGGCCTTTAAGAACGGTTAGCGGACAGCCCAAGTCCCATCCACCGCAGTCACAGATTCCACCGGATTCCCACCTCTGGATCAAACTTGATGGTCCGCCATTCCTCTTTCTAGGCCCACCATGAATACCGGAAGGAATGATAACATACATGCTTGTTGAAAGTTTTGAAGCATCACCGGTTCGAGCCAAGGACGTTTTCTTGAGGAATTTCATGCCCCAACCTCCGACTGATTCCTCCTGTTGTTCCTCGAGGTGTTGTTCTTCCACAACAACAGCAGACGATTCAAGATTCGGTGGAAGATCGTTTTCCAGCAGATTTACAGGCTCAGGATCATAGTTTGGTTCTTGAAATGGCTCCCAAGAACAGAAATCGGTTGTGGAGCTTGCTCTGCTGAATCTCGAGATACTTCTTTGCCTGGAGGCACGGGTATTGAACGCGTCAACGACTTTCTTAGGGAACCCTTTGCTTTTCCTCGTATCATGGCACTGCATTTGCAGATTTCCACAGTCGCTGAACAGAACAAACTCTCTCTTCGAGATTCTGCTATTCGACGATGAGGAGACTGAGAATAAAGTTGACACCTTTATTTTACCCACCAGATGCAACTCATTACCACTGCCTTTCCCCAGATGGATCAAGTATATGTGTTCTAGAGCACCACTGTCAAAACACGATTCTGCATTACTCAAGCTGGCCACAAAGATCTCTTTTTTATCGTCCAATGAGAAGACAAAACGAGGCAACCCATTGCCGTTCATAGTGAAACGGAGGGTTCCCTGAGAAATGGTTGTAGACGCAGATGATGAGGACGAAAACGAAAGCTCAGAAGAAAAACAAGTCGAGTCTGTGCTCGATACAGAGACAACGTTGTTACATATGTTTTCAGATCGACAATCCCGAATTCGGGAATCCGGCATACCCTTTACCTCATCCTTCCGCCTTCCCGTGCTATGAGGATCGATATCCAAAGCTTCCAACTTGTGAGACAAAGGTTTATCAAGCATATGCATAATGCTCTTGTAAGCTGCAACTGCAGGGCTGATAAGTGTACTACCTGAGTCACCTGCCAGAGGGAGCTCGTATACAACCTGAGGCGAGTTTTCCATTGGGATTATGGTTGAATCGAAGTGATACTTAGATGCACTGATATGAATCAATTCAAGACAGCGGCGGAGAAACTTCTCATCTGGCGACAGCACGTGCCTCGGGATCTTGCTATCCATAACACGAGTCATTCGGAAAAACGAGCCTTTGCGACGATTTTTAACAATCTGCAACAACTTCCCGTTGTTCAAAACGAACAAATGCTGCAGATTTTTCTGGCTGGGGGAGTTATGCAACTTCAAGAAGCCGTCTTTAGCAGATAGATTCTCATCATTGCTCAGCTTCAGAAGTGAATCTTCTTGCTCAGGATCATCCTTCCGAGCACCAGAAGTATCATTCCTCATCGTTCACTTGCTAACTAGAAATCAAAAGCAGAGCAATTCAATTCCCCATTCTGTTATCTCCGATTACCAGATTCCAGATTGGACAGAAGAAAACTCTTCCAGATCAATCCAAAGATAACACAAGCTATCTGAAAGGTAATAAAACAAACATCACACATAAGAACAACCCTGAACTCCAAATGCTGGAAAACAAACAAAGGCTCGAACAACATAATACCAAAAGTTCCATGTTTTTCTTTTCCTACACGACTCTTAGATCAGTGTCACTGTCATCGGTTCTTGTCATTATTTGGCAACTCTTTCTTCATAAATCCATGAAATATCCCATCTTTCACTTGACAGGTTCCGCCATCACTGGACCCATTGGAAAGGAATGCGCCGATCTCTGGCCGAGGATTGCAAGTGCTGCCAATGCCATCGTTTAAACTTACTATCAGATAAGGGGAAAAAACGAAACGCATCAACAACAACGATCTACCCACTGCTACCAAAATCCGAACTCGAGAAGATAAGCGTACTGGAAAGCTCAAGTTTTTAGATACACCCAACAATCTAAATCCGAGATAAGCTGAAATCACGATCGATTTTCAAGCTCAAAGAAGCATTTTACAACTACCCACTTCACTACAAGGAAGAAAGAACCCAACATACCTGGAATTGGGACCAAAGAAGGAAAATTTACTCGGAATTGAAAAAAGTCGAGAACTTTCTCTGTCACTCTGCCAATTAATAACCAAAGACGATTTCTTTCTCTGCCAGGATACAATCGGAAACGGAAGCTTGCTCTTTTAAGCGAAGGATACCCTTTCAAAAGAAAATGAGTACGAAAAGAAAAGGGCAAACCTTGGAATCAAGAAAGATTTCTGGGTTTCAATGGAGAGAGAAGGTGGTGGTGGTAAGAGAGAGAAAGTGAGACAGATTCAGAGAAACGCGTCGTAAGCCACGTTAATGTCTGTGCAAACAAAGAGGAAAAAGTGACGTTTTTCTTCCTTTCAATATGGAAACAGCCACAAAAGGAGGGTCGTTTTCTGGGTCTTCATACAACAATGCAGGACCCACTCGTGTGTTTTCTTCATCAGACTCCAATTTAGGGTTTCGTAAATTTCGTGGGCTAATCAGCCATTGATGGGGCAAGTTGGCTATTGCCCACGAAGAGAGAGAGAGAGAGGAATGTAAAGAAACCGAGTGGGCGAAAGAGAGGGACACTAATGGCGAGAATGGAGGGAAGTGAGTGCGCCCATTAACGAAGACTGCTCTACATTACCAAAAAAAAAAAAAAAAAAAAAACCATATACGTACACGTATACCTGTATATGCTGAAAAGTACCTGAATTTATTATTTCAAATAGTAATAAGATGTTGTTATTATTTTTGGTTAAATGTTCATAATGTACAATTACCCTTTTGAGAGGGGGGAAACTAAAGATAAAGATGTTAAATTGACGTGCCATAGGACATGGGCCAAGTTTAAAAACATGCCCTATAAAATATATATTTTAAATTTGGACAAATTTTCGAAAAATAACTGGTGGGCATACACGGATTGTTTTTTTTTTGTCAGCGTTGGGTTGGGCCACATGATTTCAAAAACGAAAATTAGATATTTAAATTATGAAAGCCGAAGTTTAAAAATATGCCCTCTAAAATATTTTTAAAATTTTGGACAAATTTAAGATAAATTGACGGATTTATTTGTCAGCGTTAGGTTAGGCCAGCCACGATTTCAAAAACGACATTTAGAGATATTTAAATTATGAAGGTTTGAATTTTTAAAATACGAAATTTATAACCTATCGACCAACCACCAAGACTTGACAAAAAAAAAAAACATTTTATGTCTTGTATTGGATTTGCGCACATGATGTCTCGACCATTTGGTGTTATTTTATGTGTTTAGCTTTTTGTTTTGTCTAGTAGGAGATTATACAATCTAAATTTTATGTTTTGATAGAACAAGAATATTTATTTAGTTATTTATTCAAATAAAATAAAATGTCTTATCACTGTAATTCAACTATCATAAGATAGCCTGCTTTTTTGTTAGGCTTAATATTTTATGCCAGTTGTATATATTAGTATACTAATAGTATACACAAAAATAAATAAATGTTGATAAAACAAAAGAGTACCTATATGTTGGTTGGGTTTTTTTTTAGGGGTGTCAATTTAGGTCCGAAGTCCGAAGCTCGGTCCGGTCCAACCCGAAAATTAGCAAATTTTGGGTCTAAATTTTTCGATCCGAAAAAATTGGGTTTTCGAACCGGACTTAGATCGGAATTCGGACTCGATTCAGATCGTCCGAAAACTCGATACTTTTTTTAAAGAAAGAAAAAAATATTTACTTATGTGGAGCGGTCCGACTCGACCCGATCCTATCTGAATCCGTAATATATAGAGCTAGACTTTGGCATAGTTACATAGGTCCGAAAAAACGGATCGGTCTGAACCCGAACCCGAATCTGAAATCTTTGGGTCGAGTGGGTTCGGACAGGTCCAATTGACACCTAGTTTTTTTTTAGGTCTTTTTGATAATCTACAAGAAATTCAAAATAACAGAAATAAAATGTGTATGGGCCCACAATATTGGGCCTATTATAATCAATTGCCCAGAACTTTAAGCCTATTTAATACAAAAGGGCTCATTCAGAGGAAAACAAATAGAGGTCATTGTAACAAAAAAAACCATAATGTCTACGGGGATAATAATAAAAACATCATATATAATGTTTCAAGTGATAATAATACAACACTCATTAAATACAAAACATCATTCTCATCATATATATACATATATATGCATATAAACGGAATGTGGGTCAAGGCCAAAATTGTACTAAATAAATAGAAATATAACTCTATGGAATAATATTTTTTTAATATTTGTAATTGCAAGTATATAAGAATCTATGCTGGTGAGTTGTTAAATCCAAGATTGGATTGGGAAGTTGCACTTGAAGGAGTTCACACCACTTATGTGTGAGAATATGTCGGAAGAATCCACCATCTGTTCCTCTTCCTTCACTCCCATCTGCAAAAAAAAAAAAAAAAAAAAAAAAAATTATCGCTAATTTTGAATTAACTGAAGTTATTAGTAAAAATAATAATTAAGTCTCGTTTATGGCTTGAAGAAAGCTTACATCATCATCTTCGTCATCGTCATCATGATGGCTTGAAGAGGCTTGTCTATGGAGTTCCCCTAATTCATCATTCTTGGCGAATCTTCCCCTAACTCTTGGTCGGCTATCTGCCAATGTCTTCCGACAAGCATACTTCACCCCCCCCCCCAAAAAAAATGTCTTATTAGCTCCGGTTAATTAGGTTCGTTCAGGTTTAGGAGCTAACTAAACCGGTTGGTACGATACGATGGTTAAAGACGAAGAAGTACCTTGATTTTCTTGCTGAAGTTCCTCTCGTTCCTCTTCTTCATGTACCTATGGATCTTCTCTTTCCTCTGCTCGGCGGAGAGTCTCCCGACCTTACTCGACGTCGCTTCATCCAGACAGCTTATCTCTGCCGATGGCGGTGCCTTGTTCTCTACGCTACCGAGAACCTGTATACATCCCGAAAGAAACAAAAACCAGGATTGGCAAACTCCCAAAATTACAGATGAGAAAAGTTGAAGTCTTTCGTGGAGTTTACCTGAAGATCTCCAGGATTGAAGATGGGTTTGATCGAATCGTGGTAGAAAATCCCACCATTGTCAGCAGCTGGATAATCCATCAATGGATCATGAGGCTTGAGATCAGGACAACCCAGATGAATATTACCTGCGAAAAGTCCAGAACTTTCCGAGGATAAACTAGGGTTCAGGTTTCCAGACATGACCATATACGCAGACAGACAAGGCGTGCCGTAGAAGGAGCGAGATGGGGATGAAGGGTTGAGTCCGATATTGTAACTTGGGACAGAAGATAAGCAATCTTCCTCGAAAACCGACGACTGTAGTGGCGGTGGCGCCACGGAAGAAGCTGTTGTCAGAGACAAAGGATCTCCAGAAGAAGAGTAGATAATGTTTGGAGCTGAGAAATCGAACTGGTCTTGGCATGTTGTCCCGAGGAGTTGTTCAGACACAGGAAACTGCAGAGATGAGGAGAAATCTATGGAGGCCGAGATGTCGTTGTCGAAATCTTCCTGTGGATCGAAAATTATCGAAAGATCCCCGTTATTGTCTTCGCCATTAACGTTGTTGTTCTCGGTTGTTGTAGAAGCTGTATTGGCGTTCGAGACTTCGTTTCCATTGAAACTTCCTGATTTCTCTGGATAATTGTTGTTGATGTTGTCGTCTTCCTTATTGTTGCTGTTCGAAAACAGAACTGAATTATCACAGTTCGAAGGAGATGTCACTTCAGATGTCTGAAACGGTTCCTGTAACAGCGGATCACAAAAGTCGAAGATCTGAACGTTGAGAGAGCTCGTGATTTCATCCTGTGTGAAACAACATAGGACAAATCAATTACACCACTGTAATAAATAATAATACGACGAATCAAAGGAGAAAAAAAAAATCAAAGATCTTGGAGACGTACGTAAACAACCTCCATAAAAATAACTAGGGTTTTCTTGCGAAACAAGAAACTAGAACTGTAAGTGTTGTGGGTTAAGGTTTGATCCAATAAGGCGGTTTCAGGCACTTCATATTTATATATAACACGATTCTATATATATATGGGGAATCTCCAGAAAGAAAACAAACATGTAAATAGATCAGATCTTCTTTAATGGATCAGATATTGTCTTTTGAGTAATTACTAATTAGGGTTTCGGGCAAAAATGTTGGGCAAATGAGATAATGGATGCTTCACGTGACATGCAATTCAAGAAGAGCCATATACATTATACACACGACAGGAACAAGACGCAAAGCTCAAACGCTTAAGAGTTGAGTTTCTATAAATGGAAAGTTTTTTTTCTCTCTCTGGGATATGTATACGTAGATAGCATCTTTGGAGGCGTAGTAGACATGGTTCTTTGTTATCTTCTGACACTTTTGTGATTGGATGGAAAGTATAAAGACCGTACGTACACTGTGTTTTGTCCTAAACGTATCGAATGTTTTTTTTTTTTTGAGTTTTAGAAGATTAAACATAATATATCAAAAGAAAGCTACCAAAACGAATGAAGCAATCAGAACAAGAAAAAAGAGATAAAATGGAATAAGGAGAAGAAAATGACGTTATGGCGATAAAATTTCTTAGGGCATCCAACAATAGTATGGGTTGACATAAAATTATTTCAATAAAAAATCGAATAAATATATATATAGTCAAATTAATAATATCTTAAAACGTATTGATCTACAAGTGGTTCTTTAAATTTTCCAGATGAACAAATAACTGTGAGTATTAAATTCTGATTATACAATATTTATTTAAATTTTCATTACGAAGAATATATATATATATATATATATATATATATATATATATATGTGTGTGTGTGTGTTTCTTTAATTTGCAGTTTTGTTCTTCAGATAGAAAAGAAAAGAGAGAGAACGAGTTTCTTGTATGTTCTATTGCATCAAACATGTTAAGAGAAGACAGCAATGTCTAGAAACTCACATTAGATTCTGAAATTGAAAAGGATAAATAACCGATTTATATTCTCAGAAAAAAACATGAGATAAATTCAAGAATCGCAACATGGAAAGAGAAAAAAATAATCACGCATGCAAATATAATTTCAGAGATATGAAGAAATTCTATAAAATAACGTAAAGAGATTCGAGATTACGATTGAGAGTTGGTCCTGAGGCGAAACTATCTCCTGCAACATGTCTTGTTCTAAGCTCCAACGTCGGCAATGCAAGAATTTTCCGGGAAAATGGAGAGAGAAAAAGGAAAATTTTTCTAACCAAACGATTCTCCTCGATGCTTCGTCGAATCTAGAAAGAAATGAAACCAGAATTAAAAAAAAAATCATCGAAAATGATCAAATGATATTGGGGAGAGAGAAAAAAACTGAAAAAAAAAACAAAACATAAACAGAAGTTGGAGAGAAAATCCTTACAGTTTTATCCGAGGGAAAATGGAGGATATGGAAGCTCAAGAAACCACAATGTGTATATATACTTTTGGTTGCGTACGTATATATACATATAATGCCTATATACATCTCTCTGAATTGTATAGACTGGCGCGTGTCTCTGCATATATAATATAGTTATATATATATATTATACGTACATGTACGAGCTCGAGATACGCCAGCGTGGCAATTCCCATTAAACGTGCTGGACCAAGTTCCCTCTTTTAATGAGGTGGCGGGTTTTTTACCATCCACGTGGAGGTTAGTATGGTGACGTGGATAATTGGTCCCACCTTTGGGAGACTGTTTTGACCGTTGAGGGAGCTTGACCCAATTCTCGTTGCGTGCTTTTTGACGTTTTGACCGAGAGTTGTCCTAAATTAAGCCCTATATTTTTGGACGTTGTTTTTTCCCCCTAATTTCTTTAATTTTAGTTATTTATATTATTTCTGTATTTAATAGTTTTTCCATTTTTATTTCGCTTCCACTATTTAATTCATCCACGTCCATGCAGACGAGGGTACATGAAAACCCTAATAAATAAACTGTCCGTGATGTTATTATCATCAAAAACTTTTATTTTTCCATAAAAAAAATGTAGAATTTTTTTTATTAGTTACTTGATGCCTATTAAAAATTCGAATATAAAAATTTCTTACGGAATTTTCCCTGGAAAATAAAATTGCAGAAATAGTGACATTCAAGTAGAGGGTACTGCTTACCTTTTAAATCATTCGCTTTCAGGCTTTGAATTGAGATGTCGTTTTCTTACACTTTTTTTTTTAAACGATGAAAATGGTTCTATAATAATTGAGATATCTCGAAAAAATAAGAAAAAGGACTTTATAGTAATAATTTCGAACTAGACTTATATCAAATTAATTAGTTGGCAACAAAGTTTGTAAAGACAGTGGTACCAATGGCTGAATATATTAAACTATAAATTTAATTACAGATAATAAATAAAGTATAGTAGCATGGATGAAAACATTAGCATTTTGAACAATCCAGCGTAAATTTGAAAAGCTGATATATACACATCAGAAGGGAGCTAAATAAATTTATTTTCACTTTTTATTTATATATGCACAATATATAATCGGAATTTCTTTTTTAATGAATATTTATGATAAATTAAAGGGATAATTCCATTTAAAACCCTGTACTTTTCTCTCGTCGCAATTTAAACCCTGTACTTTTTTTTTATCCAAAAAAATATTGTACTTTTAAAAATTGGCAAATAAAACCCTGAACGAAAAAATATATTATTTAATGCTGACATGGCATCCTAGTCATCTGTCACATCATCAATCCCTAATATTTAATAATATTAATTAATGCAAAATAAAAATAAAATAATAAAAATAAAAATAAAATTTTAAAAATTATACACATACATATATAATGAAATGATATATATATATACACATATATAAACATATTTATATATATACACACATATATATAATACATATATGTTTTATATGCATATGTGGTATATGTATTTTTTTTTCTAAAAATCATGCATATGTCACATATATATATGATTTTTAGAAAAGCATGTATATATCACACATACATATAAAATATAATAATTATACACATATATAGATATATATGTATCATATGTATATATATATATATGTATATATGTATATATAAATATATTTATATATGTATATAATTTTAAAATTTTTATAAACATGTTTATATATGTATATAATTTTATGAATATATATAATTTTTTAATTTTTATTTTTTTTATTATTATTTTATTTTTATTTTTTATTAATTAATATTATTAAATATTAGGGATTGATGATGTGGCAGATGACTAGGATGCCATGTCAGCATTAAATAATATTGTTTTTCGTTCAGGGTTTTATTTGCCAATTTTTAAAAGTATAGAGTTTTAATTGCCAATTTTTAGAAGTACAATGTTTTTTTGGATAAAAAAAAAGTATAGGGTTTAAATTGAGACGAGAGAAAAGTACATGGTTTTAAATGGAATTATCCCTAAATTAAATAGTGGAAGCGAAATAGAGGGAAATACGAGTCTTCGAGATAGAGGGAATACTTTGGCTTTCATATTTAGTTATAATAATTTTATAAAAAAAATGAAAAAGGAACTGCTTAAGAACAAAGCTGATTTGATGAATTGATACTACGGAAATACGACCGTCTTCATCGAAGTTTGAATGTAAAAGGCACACGCCTTCCACCGCTGAAAACGACGGCCACTTTCATAAATAAATAAAAATACAAGTATAAATATATATGTATGTATATATATACGTATACAGATGGTCCATACAATTTTGAACAATAAGTTTCAGACATATATTTGGAGAAAGTAACTCGAGTATGTCTCAAACTCGTTTAAGATATGGTTGGGTATACACATAATCCCATTGAAACATTATTTAATTATTTGTAAAATTCAATTAGTCTTTCTAATTACGTACGGCCCCTACGGTCGAATCTGTTTGTCATTGGTTAAAAAAAAAAGTGTACCATTTTTTTTTATTGATAAAGGCCTTACTTTTGGTTATTCTCTCGTGGGCACTATGACATCTTCCCATATCATATGCATAATTTCTTTTTCCATACAGATAGAAATCATTCATCATAATGCTTAATTATATTGGTATTTAGGCAATAATATTTCATGTATCTAGACTTTAATTTTCATATACCAACATAAATTTGAAATCTATTTCGGTTTCGATTTCGACCTTATTTTTGGTTATTCTCTCGTGGGCATTATATTTTTTTAGATAATCCGTAAGTTCCTCGGATCTTTGGTTCAATTATATCTTTTAGAACATTAGAGAAGTACAGATGAATACTCCTCCCCACGTTTAGATTTGAACCCAAGATAAAAATATGATTTGGATGTTCTCGTACCGATCACCAAAACTTTTTTTTTTTTGATAAAAGAAATTTTTGTAAAATTTAAAATCCGATCACCAAAACTTGGGTTATATTCACTATGTTTTTAACATAGTTTATGCATTTTCCATCTAAGAGTATCTATCTAAATACATATGCAAATACCTATTGATTTTTAACTATAACGGATAAAACCAAGTATAAAACAAAATTCAAGATTTTGGCGTAAAATATTATAAAAATTGATCATCGTACGTACAACAGAATTGCATGTACAATATAACCGGCATATAAAATTCGTATAATATAAATTTGAATATAAAATATATTCGCAAGAACTGACATTTTATTCTATTATTCTTTTTTTTTTCTCTCCTCCTAAATGTAAAAATATATATTAAGGATAAAGTGGGATAGGGAAACATCTACTGTGCGCATGTTGTGCCAAATCTTTGCAACATCAAAGCTTTACGTCTTTCAAAAGCTCATGGCTTTGTAATATGGTCCTTGCAGATGTTGTCGGTTAGAGTTTATTTGGGTTTGGTTTCAGATTCATTTGCACAAATTAAATGGAATCTTTCTTTTGGTTAAAATAAAATAAAAAAGGATAAATTGATTCCCTAATGTTTTCCCTCACGCATTTAGATAGAAATATTCCAAAAATATCAGAGCTTGGACTGTTCCAAAAATACACGTGTCGTCGTACTAGATTAGGGGCCAAAATTTAATATGAATTCGTTGTTACAGGAAAACAATGTTTATTTAAGTAAATATAGAACAAATGTTTTCTAAGACGTCGTTGCTGAAGATTTTTATTACATTTTATGCGTGTTTTATTTTTTTTATTATTTTTTCATCAAGGGATTGGTATTTAAAAAAAAATCAAAATTTATATTAAACATATAATAAATTATAAATAAAATTATATGAACTTTATTCGATATGGATAAATATATTAAATTGTTTCATCAAAATAATTACGATACTAAATGGTATATGAAATATCTATATTCAAATAAAAGTTATAATAACTGTATGCTAACGTAAAGTTATTGTATTATATGATAAAACCAATACAAACTGTTCGAAATCTTTTTTTTACCACATCATCTATTTTTTTAATTTAAAAAAATAGTTAAAAGTTTTAATGGGCCGCTCCTATCATATTTAATAAAATGGGCTTGGGCTTTATTCTTCAGAAGAATGTAAGTCGGCAAAATTCAAAATTCAAATCAGCCCATGAACCCTATTTTCAGCGCAAGTTAAATGTCCCTAATTCGGATTGAAACGATCGATTTTGCCCCTCTCTCTCTCTCTCTCTCTCTCTCTCTCTCTCTCTCTATCTCTCTAAATATGGTCAGAAGTCTTATTTATTTTCTTTAATATTTTCTATTTTCTATTTTCTTCTTCTTGGGTAACGCTGTATGATTCCAACGCTAATTATATTAATTCAACATATTAAAAAAAGAAAAAGGAAGAAAGTGAAATGGACATGCAACAGAACGTGGAATACCATTATCGCTTTGTCATCCTACTGTTCGGCTTTCCTCTCTTTTTTTTGGCCCACACGACTTGTTAGGAGAGACTGCCAAATTAATGTTACACATTCAATGAACAATCATTCTTTGGGTTTTTTTTTATTTTGTTTTCTTTAACTAAATTACAAAATTAGGAATTATTTGGTCCAATAAAATATTTGCTATGTCCCAGAGAGTCGGAGACCGGAGGCGCCGGTGGTGACGACGAAGTCGTGTTTTCTCTTCGAGAGGTGGTTAATCAATAGCCACGTATCGGCAAGCTCGGAGTTGCTCCATCGGTCTAGGGTTGTCGGCGATTTACAATTCTCTGATCTCCTCGTTATTTCACCCTGGAAATTTCCCGTCTTTCTAAGAACTATGGGCTGTTCTTGCTTCAGGTAATCTTGGTACAAGCGTAAAAAATTGAATTTCATCGATGGGTTCTTGGAACTAGCGAGATACTTTGTATTTGAATTCGGAATTGTTCGAACACGTCTGCGTTTTTGTCTGTCATTTTCCGTCTTCTGCTTCAATTCTTTGGGTGCAAATGATTGACACTGTAAGTCAGGTTTCTCATATTTATGCATTTGTCAGCAAGAAGTCTTGTTCTCGTTGTAGCAAATTTGTTTTAAGCGGTTTGTTCCCTGTAGGAGTATGGGAAATGCCCGGTTTCAGGTGAACCACTTGCCATTTGATGACATTGTTCCCATCAAAACTGGAAAGGTATGTTCGAAAATGTAAGTTTGTAGATGTTGCACTGTCTTTCCACCCTTTTTCGCATTTGGGGGTGTGCTCGTTTTTCTGTCTGGAAGGTTCATTCAGAGAATTTCCCTCGTTTTGTGCTGTCGGCATGTCGAGTTAGATCTTGGATCTGAGAGTTTGGTGCTTTATTCAAGATTTGTACGTTTGGGTGATTGAGTACGTATTTGTCCATTCTTCAGCGCAGTTTGTCACTCTGTTATTATGTTGGATTCTGGTTCTGGTGCTAATCTCTTTAGTGGTTTGTCTTCGTTTCGACCAGACTAAAGAATGTATTACGACCATGTACCAATGCGAACATCATTCGCTGTTTCTTAATCGCTAATGGAGGAGATGATACTACTGCTGCTCTCTCTGATCGTCCTTCAGGACAAATCTTGTCTACACTGAGTGGTCGCTGGAAGAAGGTCTTAACAATTTTAACCTTTTTGAAGGCTTTTCTACTCTGGTTTCGCGTTTGATATGTCTTACCCCTTTCATAGGTCGTAAGTGTTAAATTTGTAGCTGACAAGGTAAGTCACGATTCATTCGAAGGCCCAAAACATACATTGTTTCGCAATTTTCTAGTTGATGTCCGTACCTGATCTGGCCAGGTATTCGTTCTATATTGTAGGAGCATTTCCGGGAGTCTGGAGGTGATAAACCCGAGATCTGATTTGCAAAGGGAAGCTCTTGTTCTACCCATTTGCTTCTTCTTCTCTCTTTCTTTCTTTCCTCTTTGCCGTCGTCGTCGTAAGATGAATGACATATCAATAAGTGTATCTCTAGGAAATACATGTTGGTCCAAGATAGGTTTTGCTTTACAATAAAACTGAAAAATAAAATTATGTCTTGTGGTAATACATGATCAAACTGCATTTTACTACACATGGAAGTGTTCATGTGTTATACAGGTATACATACAGGGACATCATGTCTGTTTCCGAGGCAATCGGGGTTCTATTGCCATTGATTATCTCAAGACTAGAAAGTTTTCAACAGTCAAAGAGACCTCACGAGGAAGATGACCTTCCAACATGATGCCCGCCTGATCTCTCTTCTTCTTCATCGTCGTCGTCGTCACATTCATCTGTTTCCCACAAGAACCGAGCATATGCTGCAAGAATATCGCTGAAAAACACAGAGAAAATGCTTTGCAGTTAGGAGAAAACAGGAATCCTGTGTTGGAGAAAGAAAAATCGGTACCTGTCACCTGGGCCGGCCTCAACGGCCTTTCTGAAGTAGAACGAAGCCATACCACGATCACGATGCACCTCCCAGAACGATTTAGCGTATTGGTACATTGTCTCTCCATCTTCGGTTTCAGCCTTTGCCGGGTTTGAACTCCGGTCTTCTGCTCCAGTAAGCTTTTCCGATGCAAAGAAAAGAAAAAAGCTCCGACGTTAGAGATTATGCATTCAAACACCGGGCGGATAAGAGAGGAAACCCACAAGTTAAAAACCAAACCCACCTCAAACTGTTCTCTTCCTTGACGATTTTCTTCATCTTCCTCCTCGTCCTCATCACTGTCATCGTTTGTCTCCCAAAGGAAACTCGCGTATGCAGCAAGAACGTTGCTGAAAACAATGTATTCACATCATACGTGCATGCTCACAGTCCAAATGGCTTTACTTCCAATAAATGAGATGTTTTGATGATCTCACTGACCTGTCTGCAGGAGATGCTCGAACAGCACGTTCAAAGTAGTTTGATGCTTTGGCTTTGTCCTGATGAAGCCTCATCACCAATCTTGCATAGTTAACCATGATTTCTCCATCGTCGGGCTCCACTATTGTACACCGATGGTAGTAGTCTTCTGCTCCATGGAGGTCTCCTTTGAACTGTGGCGTCAGAAAACTTGCCATTACTTGAAACTATACACACAAACAGAGGCCAAAAGAGATGTATGCATATCCATAATCTGGAGAATCTGAGTGATGAATCTTTGAATCACAACTTCACATTGGATAATGCTTTGAGACATCTGCAAGTATAGTAACCAACAGAAGCAGAGACTATGAAACTAAAACGTTTTCAGTACCTCCAAGAACTGAGCGTAGTTTCTGAGAAGCAGAGGATGCAATGGATAATCCTCAAGCATCGTTTTGTAGTACCCATCACAGTTCTCGTCATCAAAACTCGGTAAATCAAATTTAATCTCATTACCATACAAATCGAACTTATCAATCCCGAGCCCTGCTGCTAAATGCATAGGAGGGCTAGGTGGCCGTTCGATCTCTTCTTCAAAACCCAGTTTCTCATCTGGATCTCTTTTCTCCTCTTTTCGTGCAATCGCTATCTTCTTCTTCTTCTTCTCTTCCTCGGACTCCTCCTGTCGCTTCTTCATTTCTTCTTCCCCAGACCCCAATTCTCCGTCTCTGTCAAACCCTTTTCCTCTTTCGCCATCTTCTCCGAAACCCATGTTTCGGTTTCTGTCATATCCTTCTATTTTCTCATCACCTTCTCCTTCGCCGCCTTCGTCATCTTCTTCCTTGATAGATAAGAAATCCACCTGTCTAACGAAACTGAACTCGCCGCTAATCCTGTCGCCAATCCTAATCGTTCTCTCCAAAGTTTCATCAGTTTCAATCACCGGATTTTCGCCCTGGTCACCATCTGCAGTAACGAAAACCGAGAGAGATGGTACGTTCCTCAGCATTCTTCTGCTGAAGGGTCTTTCCCAATCCGTTCAAGTCTTAATAATTTTTTTTTCTTGGGTTACTTTGGCTCAAGCTCTTTGAACGTTCATCGGTCGGAAATTGGGTTCTATTGGTTTTTTAAGATTTTGGATTTTGATTCGGAGGACCCATGAGAAGTTTGAATGAGACGGATATTCGGCATTGAAGTTCGAAGATTAAGTGTATGTATGGTTGATTAGATTTCCGAGGGAACTCCTAAAGCACCCCTGTAATATTTTTTATTTAGAGATATTCCCTGAAGTTTTAAAAAGTTACAATTGACCCCCCCTTTTTCTATGGCCCAAAGTAGGATTGATAGTGTTGTGAGTAAAAACACAAATGAGATCCAATTATCGGTGTTATGATGAAAAAAGTCATATATGAAGGTGAGATAGAAACCGTAATAAATTGATTTTCGGACAAATGAGATTATGTGATCTGATCCATCAAAATTGAGTTATAAATAGTAAACACCACTTTGTTTCGTATTTTAAGAAATGTAAGGTCTAAATTAATCAAAAAACAAAAGATAGGATGGATTTTCGAAAAAAAGAGGGGGAAAAAACTAGGCAAATATGTTATGGAAATTTTATGTTGAGATGATTTTGACCCCACATATTTGCGAAAGGGCAACATGATCCCCGTTTTACTATCACTTGGTCCTCGTGACGAGCACCCCATGCACATGATTTTGCCCCCTTTCCTTCGAACCATCAATGTCATCGGATGAGATCATATTGGATTTTACATAATCATGAAAAAGTTTTGCTCTTTTTTTGACATATAAAACTCAAAAAAAAAAGAGGAGGGCAGAATCTTATCGGAGCTGTTATATTGGATTAGATTACGGGCCGTGTCTCCGTTGGGTCTAAGATGCCGTAAACTCCACATATGATTTGATTTCTCATCCTATCCCATAGCCCAGTCTCTGATATGTTGTCCTACAGGATTAGAGCTTTCCATCCTATCTTGATTGCAGTCCAAACCATCATTCTGTCTGCCTGTCCGTCCAGCCCTAGTCGTTCAGACATCCTGTCTGTCTTGCTCATGATGCAAGCCACCATTCTGTCCAGCCCTAGCTATGATGCAGCCAACAAGAATCACATCACAGCAGGCGACTTTGGATATAGTCCTTGTAAATTTAGCAATTCCCCACGCATCCAATGATCGACGATCAATGACTACTGCAGAGAAATCACTAGCAATAGATATCAAAGGCTTAAATAGTTAGGTCAGTCGATTTTGATTTTGCCGGGAGAATCATCACACACTCAAAAAAAGGGGGTTTTTGAAAAAATTAGGTCTAAACTAGGGTTCTTGTAAAAATAAGGCATACAAAAGATTTTGATGTTAATCCCTAATACTTTGCCAACTTGTTCCTCATAACCCTCTCTCTCCAAATATAGAAAACCTGTGCTGTAACAGCACATGACCCCTAAAAGACTTTCTAACAATTGGCATATGCAAGCAAATTCTCTAAAAACAATGACCAAACATGGAAACAAAGATTCAATCTTTGTGCCAAGAAATAAACCAGAATAAAAAAAACAATGGTCAATACCTCCTCCTACAATTTCGGTGATTGCCAACAGTGTTCTTCTCCCTTCAATTCCCCCCTCCTCCATGCATCGTCTCCTCCTTGGGGGATGATGATCTGATAGCTAAATTCTTCTTTCATCCTCTCAAACTAAACCAAAAACAGATAAATAAATCGTCAAATGTGAATAATCTTCCCTCTCTCCGCCCACGAAAATGTCGATGTTTCCATCATTTCAATTGCTGGAGCTCAACATTATCTCCGCTCAAGACTTGGCTCCGGTGTCACGTAAAATGAAGACCTACGCGATCGCTTGGGTTAACTCCGAACGCAGACTCGCCACCCGCGTTGACTACTCCGGCGGCTCAAACCCCACCTGGAACGACAAATTCGTCTTTCGGGTCAACGAGGAGTTCCTCTATGCCGATACCTCAGCTGTCATGATCGAAATTTATGCTCTGCATTGGTTCCGTGACGTTCACGTAGGAACGGTCCGTGTCCTGATCAGTAATCTTATCCCGCCTAGTCGGCGGCCTGGCTACCGCACCGGCAACAACGAGTATCGCCGCTCGACACCACCTCCAGGAATGCGGTTTGTTGCGCTTCAGGTCCGGCGAACCTCCGGACGGCCTCAGGGGATTCTGAACATTGGAGTTGGGTTGCTTGATGGTTCAATGCGTAGCATGCCGCTTTACACACACATGGATTCATCGGCCGTGGGTTATAGGGATTTGCTCGGAGAAGAGGATCCACATTTGCAGCATCTGCATCTCAATAGCCACAAAGGGAGCTCAAAGAACCCTCAATCACCGGCTTCGAGACAGTACCAGTCGGTGGTATCGAAGCCGGAGCTCCGGCGAACGAAGAGCGACACGAGTTCCATGGTCGTCTCAGATCTCCTCAGTAGAGCCGAAAGGAGCCGTGCGGCGAACAAGAAGCCGGCGAGCACCTTGGCGAGCAGCAACTCAGAAACTGTACCCACGACATCGGAACACGATACAACTTCCTCGTCGAACACCGAAGCCATGAAATCTATCAAAGATCCGTCGTCGAGCAAAACGCCCAAAACCCCGAGGAAGAGATACCACTCGATCGATTTAGACGTTATAGATCCACCGATGAGGGAAGACCTATATCTGGGGCCGCCGAGAAAGGAGAAACCAAATGTGACGCCGCATGGATCGTATAATCCATCTCGCAAAACGCCCGGAAGAACGCCGATGCGCGAGAAACATAGACCGGCCAAGGATTACGGTCGCAGCGGCGCGTCGCCGTACTTGTCGAGGAACGGGACGCCGTTGAGATCGAACATCGTCGAATCAACTCCGATCAGATCTAATATGGTCGGTTCCACTCCAATGCGATCGATCGGTGTTGGATCGACTCCGATGCGGTCGAATATCGTCGCATCGACTCCGATGCGGTCCAATATCGTCGGATCGACTCCGTTACGATCAACCTACATGGCAACACCGATGAAATCCAACTTCGGCACACCAATGAGGCCTAATATGGCCAGACGACCGATATTAACAGAGTCGGAGTTAGGTCCGTCGCCATCGGAGGTGATGGAGAAGATGGAGAAGGAGAGATCTAACCCAAACGACACCGAGAGCTCGATCCTCAGCGAATGGAGCATTGAAGACGGTAGCATCGAAGGTCTGCGGTCGAAACTCGAGCGATGGCGGACGGAGTTGCCGCCATTGTACGACCTCGGGTCAAGCCACTTGAGCAGCGAAATGGACGAAGCCGCCGGGGGAAAAAGCTCCCGGAGAAAGACTCCGGCGATGAAGACGCACAGTCGCCGTCACACCGACGGAGGAAACGGACTGTTCTCGTGCTTCAGCAACATCTGCGGTGTGGAGTGTACCTTCGCGTGCGGCGGGTCGGATCCTGACGGGTCGAAGAAGAAAAAGGGCGCGAGTGGGCGCGTGCACCGCACCGCCTCCTCTGACAATTTGAGCTATTTGTGATTTCATATTTTATTTTTTGGACATGAACTATATTTTCTAAAGAAAATATTTCGAGAAACATATGAAAAGATTACGAGAGAAGACGCAATTGTGGATCCTGAAAATATGTTTTATATTTTTTCAATGTTGTTGACAAATATAATTATTTTTTAATATTAAAGCAGCTATGAAAGGAAAATATGAACATATTCGACACAGATTATTTCATGGTTATTATTATTTTATTACTAAATGAAAGAATTTATTCATGTTTTAAAATAAATAAATATATGATTATTTATTTCTAATATATATAATAAGTTTTTGCATGTGACATATTGTGACAAAAAGACTGACATTTAAAATCATTAAAATATTTATCATGTTTTACCAATAATATTTATCATGTCTAATATATTACATATATAATTCAATTTAATTTTAATCTAAACTAAAATGAATATTAGTTCAAAGGAAATTTAGATATTATAATATAAAATCATAACTTTTAGATAGCATATAGTTTTCCTTTAATTGAAATGATTATTTCAAATTGATTAATTATGTAAATATTTTAATAGGCATTACAAATTTTTAAATATTATATTTTATATTTTCTGATATAAAATTTAAAATTTCGCAATTGAAAATTTTTATTATAATGCCATTGTAAATTATAATTTATTTGACATCAACATAAAAAAAATTAGAATTTCTTATACCAAAAAGTTAACAAAAAAAATCAGATAGAAACCGCAATTGAGGGAGCGCGTGAGAAGTTGCGCGTGAGATAGAAGAGCGCGAAAAAGGGGAAATGTGTCTTGAAGCAAAAGACGTGGAGGTTGTCGAACAGCGTGTCGTTTAGTGGGATCTTTTGTTCACGCGTTCTTGTCGTTTTGTCCCCCAAAAACGACATCCTTTTTGCCTCTCCCCTTCCTTTTTTTTTTTAATTCATCTTTTTCTTTTTTTCCCCTAAAACTTAATAACACTATATATATATATTATCGTTTTTTAACATAAAAGAACATCATTAATGTTGTCGACTCTTTCATATAAAATTAATAATTTTGAAAGTTATTTCTAACCATTTTTCTTCACCTTAAACATAATTTATATCTCATGTGGTTTCTGTCTTTTTCATTTTTCATTAGCCATATAATTCGAAATGATAAAGATTTTCTAACTTACTTTATACCAATTCAGATTTCTTGCATCTGCATTAATAATTTAAAATTATTAGCTTTTTAATCTAATTGGATTTTGTTTTCTATTTGTCCTTTTTGGGCAGCCCACAGGTTTGTCCTTTTGTCCTACAAAGGGAAGACATACCATTACCATACCCCGGTACTAATAATAATAATAATATTTTTTTTAAAGAATTAAGTATAGAAATAAGAAAATTAAGATAACAGACGAAATTCAAAACAAATATTACATTAAACATATGTTACACAGCTCTAGTAATTATTAATAATTTTATTTTAATTTTCTTTTTCTTTCATGAACTTTTTTCCATCGAATCAATGTATATGGTCGCCTTGGTCATGATTTCGATCAAAAGGGAAGATTTCAATGAATCCACTGCAAATAGCATATGTGAAAGTTTTCAAGGTGTCATAATTAAAATCAAGAAACATTATGATGTAACGTTATCATAATGTTTATTTTCCCCCCACCAAAAAATAATAATAATAAAAATTTATAACAAGTTTTTTTTTTCCATTATCTCAGCTAAAAAGGTAAACAACTCCAACTGTAAACAAGTTTCTTGGGACTTTCTTCTCTCTGTTTCTTAGTTTCTTCCTCCCTAAGCCAATAGAGCTTTTTTTTTCCTTCCCTTTTTTAAGCAACAATGAACACAGAGAAAACCGCGAATTCGATAATGTCTGCAAGAAAATGAGTGTAAAGGCAGAGGCTTTGAAGACATTTGGGCCCCATTTTCCATCACACCTCTCCTCTCTCTCACTGTCCTTTTCTTCTTCTTCTTCTTTCCTTTGCCTCCATCAGTTTCCTGCGATAAGAGAAAAAAAAAAAAGAAATTTCCTCTGATTTCTCGGCTTCTAGTGTTCTTGAATCCTTTGTATTCTTGGGTCATTCGATTCTTCTGGTTTTTCTGGTGTTGCGATGATTATTGGCATGGGAGGTGGCTCAGCACTGGAGGTGAGGCCGCCGGAAAGCGAGGTCGAGCTTGAACTGGGGCTCAGCCTCGGCGGCGGCGCATCCGGGAAGACCGGAAAGCCATACGGCGGCGCGTGGCTGGAGCGTGGGAGGATCCTGACGGCTAAGGACTTCCCCTCCGTCGGGACTAAACGAGCTGCGGACTTTGCTTCTCACGAAGGCGCGTCTCCTCCTCGTTCCAGGTCCGTCTTTGTCTGAACATAAGCACAATCCATTTTCCTTTTTCTTTTTCTTGATTCTTGAGAAAACAGAAATGGAAGGAGATCCCCTCTATCGTGTCAATGACATTTGAGAGGGGAATTCGTTGTGGTCCTTAGTGTCCTTGTCGTTGCAAAAGCTAACTCTTTTATCCAGACAAAAGTGACACAACCGAAGTTGTTGTCAATTCCGAGTGGACACTAGTCTGATGTCTCTCGTATACAGAAAGAACCGCCATTGATGATGGGCTTTTGCTCCTTAGCACTAATGTCCCTTTGAGTATCGAAAGCAGAATTCTTTACCCCTTGATCGTTGATGAATGGGTCTCATATTCAAATGTGTTCAAGGGCGATCTTTGTTCCAGTTGTTACTATATCTGAGTCTGAAGTTAAACAAGTAACATCTTGAACAAGCCGTCTTGTTTTATTGCAGTCAGGTGGTGGGGTGGCCTCCGATTGGATCACACAGGATGAACAGCTTGGTCAAAGACCAGTCTACGAAGCCCCCGAAAGCCGAAGAAGACGGGAAAACACTCGCTTCAGGTGAGAACGATGAATCGAAATACCTTACGAAGAAGGTGAATGGAAAGACACGAGTTGGGTTTGTGAAGGTGAACATGGATGGAGTTGCCATTGGAAGAAAAGTGGATATGAATGCTCACTCGTCTTACGAGAACTTGGCCAAAACGCTCGAGGACATGTTCTTCTGTCAATGCCGGGCAATTGGGTCGACGGGTCAGTTCCACATCGTCTATATCTTCTCCTCCTTTACGAGCTTTCTCATGAAGTCATCGGTGTAGTTGTGGTTATGGACACTTAGTTTTACCTTCTGTTACCAAACCAAACCACCAGGTTCTTGCCAGGAGAAGGATAAGGGAAAGGCACTGAAGCTTCTGGATGGATCATCAGAATCTGTACTCACTTACAAAGACAAGGAAGGTGATTGGATGCTTGTTGGAGATGTTCCATGGATGTAAGAACAAGAATCTAGCAGTTTTATCCTCCTGAGACTTTGATTTATCGGTTTTTTAATCTGATGACCAGGTTTCATTGTTCATGTGTAGGATGTTCGTCAGTTCTGTGAAGAGGCTAAGAATCATGAGAGCCTCTGAAGCTAATGGACAACTCGGTATGTAGACAACGGTTGTTTCAAGTTTCTTCTGGAGCGTTATACGAACTCTGAAATATGAAACCTACCTTCTTGATTGCAGCTCTCAGACATGATCAAGAACAGAATGAGAGACGAAGAAACAAGCCCGTCTAGTGTTTTTCGAGTTTTTTTTTTCCCCGGAAGTCTGATTACCCTTTTGAAGAAGCAGAAGTTAGATTTCATTCATCCGTTTTAACCCGCTTTTGATTTATGCTTTTTCCAGTTTTCTTTAGGCCATTTTCGATCGGGTTTTCCTTTGTTTCTCATCTGGATCAGGTTTTTACTATACACGATTGTTTCCAGACGAATGCTCTGTTTTCTTTTTCCCATACTGTAAATATATTCGGACATCTTCAAGAGTTTTGTCTGAGTCTTGCCTTGTGATTGATGTTCTTGGTTCCATTTCAGCATTTCAGCAGGTAGAGTGACAGAAAGGAGGATTACATCTTTGAGAAGAAAGTTTTATTATTTCTCTTATTCGAATAGAATCTGAATGAAATCAAACAAATCTGAAATCTTGTAATGTTCAGACATCTTATTAATACATCTCTTTTTCTCTGAAACCCAAACAAACATTTAGACAATTCAAAATGAGCTGCTTCCATATCGGTTTACATTCCCACTCCTGTCTTCTTTCATCAGCTTCAACTCCCCCATCATATACATATATATATACATATATATATATATATGTACGATGGAGACAAGAAACAAATTCCCCACAAACACAAACACAAAGTTACACATTGACAAGAAAAGATCAAAACCAGTAGCTCTCAGCAGCAGTGGATGACAGCTTTTTCTTCTGCCATTGCAACATCCCATGAAGCTTTTGTTGTAATAACCTGCAAACATGCTCGGAAGAGAATGGGGCAGTGAAAGCTTCATACAAAAATATTTTCTCCATCTGCATCCAGAAGAGCTTTCAGTCTGTGTCAGAATATGGGGAAGAAACAAGATAGAAGCTTTCAGTCATTCTTCAGTTGCAGATAGAGAGTTTTCCACTCCATTCATCGGCCACTCCATAATCCAGACTGAGCTCGACGAGGGGTGGGATATTCTCCAACGCAAAAAGCATAACCCGAGGGAACATCAAGTTATTGTGATCGTACAATACATACTGCACAAGGACGTTCGGTTCGTTGCTGTGGCTAATGTAGCAAGCCACATTTCTCATCCTTGATACATCCATTGCAAAATCCAACGGCGGGAGAGATGGAAAACTCGGGCGAACATGATCCGGGTATATCTGAGATAAATCACCCCACATTCCCCATTTTTCAGTAAACCGACCAGGATAGATCAATGTATCTCCATTCATCGACAGAATCTGGGCTTGTTCTCTTGTAAGAGCAACACCTGCATATTCACATATGAAAGCACCTGCTTGGATCAGATCTAGCGTCCTGACACCCCACCCCGTTTCTTTCGATCTGAAAACCTCTAACCTAATCCTCAACCCCTTTTGCGTAACACGGTTTCTACAATTGAGGCTGCACTTGCACAATGTCCCACATTCAAATATCACCTGCTTTCCTCTCATCAGGTTCCCACTGTAGTCATAAGCAAACTGACCGCCATTCTTCCTTGCACAAGGGCAATCATCGTTGCAATCAGAAACACAGTCACAGCCAATCAAATTGTTATCTCCTTGAAAGGAAACAAATGGCGGAAAGGCAGACTTGTCTATGTATTCATAATACAATGGTTCACGATCAGCATCCATGTCATTGTAAAGATACACCGGCACTTTCTCCTTATTGCAAGATATGTCGAAACTTATATAGCCAGAGGGTCTTGCTGTCAAGGGTTTAGTTCTAAGCATCTGTGCAAACTTCATAACTGCACTACCCAGCTCGGGTTGCCCCTCGATTCTGACTAGCTTAAACTTGAACACCCCAAAACCCGATTTCCCGACATCAAACCAACAGTCCACAATCCTGTACAATCCATCATAGACATAAACCTTGGAACTAATGCTGTTTTCATACTTAAACCCCCTTATCACTCGTACCTCAATCCCGTAGCACTTACTCCTCTCCATTGCTAAATTTCCACCTTCTAGCTTCTGATGCTGACACTGCCTATGTAACTTGTCCTGACCACCATGGCCTGTATATATGAGAACGTCTCCTATGTCCTCGTCGTCCTCGTAACCACCCGAGACAATAATGCTGGTGGCGATGGGCTCACCATTGGAGCTCCGCCAAGCTGTCAAATAGTCGATTCCGGCCTGTGGTTGGCCGTGCAAACCCAACACGCATAGTTCCATACGGTAGAAGAACAAATCTCCGACATGAATTCCTGGAATGGAACCCACGATGTGTTTGTCCTGATTTAACCATAACCCACATTCCCTCATGAGAGAGGAAGCCCGAAGATCGCCCCTTGCTCGTCGCCGGCACCCGACACCAAACTGTTTCATCTCTTCAGTCATGAGAAAAATCCGGAGAGAATCGTAGATCATCCGGGTCCGCTTCACGATTTCTCGGAAGTGCTTCTGATCCTCGAGCCCTAGAGCCGCGACCCGGGCGAGCTCTTGCGGTCTTTGGAATTTAGCGGCGGAGGGACGCGGCGAGACGACGTACTTCGAGAGGCGGTTGTCGCCGACCCCCGATGGCGATCCTGACGTCGGGAGCTGGAAGCCCTCCGGCACGGGATCGATTGCATCGATTACAGAGAGATCACCGTACCTCTCGAGCCTGGCCGCGAACGCCGAGCGGAATAGCTCCGAAACACGGTTGAACTCCGCGTACACATCACTGTCTCCGGAGGAAGAGGACGACGATGGCGGAGGAGGAGGGGTATTTTGGGAATTGGAGAAGAATGCAGAGACAGAGTGGTTTTGGCCTTGCCATTCATCGATTGGCTCAGTCTTTGGCTCTATCTTCGGAACAAGAAACCCGGGGGCGACTCCGGTGGTGGCACCAGCGGAGAGGCCGGCGGAGGAGGAAGCGGTGGCTTGTGGGTCCGGCATGTGATTAAGGTCTTGAAATGGGACTAGAGATCCCATTTTTCAAACGCCCTGAAGCACTTACTTGGCTTTTTGTCGGATTCTGGTACGGACCCGGATCCGGGTTTAGGGTTTTGCCGTGATTTCTCTGTTCTTCACCTTCCGCCAAAAGAGGAAGATTTCCTGTTCTTTCCAGGGAATGCGAAAATGAAATCGCATCCAAATTAAAAAGAACATTCAGTATATCAACAATAAAGGCTTGGAGATGGGAAAACTGTATCGGAATATGTTTGAAGTTTCAGTTGACCAAAATACCCTTTTGTAGTACTCGAGAGAAAAAATGGAGAGAGAATTGGTAATGTCCCAGAGGATGAAAAGACCAACTTACCCCTAAGTGGATAATTTTCCAAAGACGGCATCCTACAAGTTCCAGTGGCTGGTAACTGGGCTTCACTGTATTGGACCTTACCTAATGCCCGTAAGCCTTATTTATTAGGCCCACTAACAGGCCCGTACCTTCCAACTCAGCCCAGTTCCTCTAAATACTGTTGATGGTTAATAATAAATAAAAATAATTTGATTCAGCTATTCCACAGTGCATCTTTTTTTTTTTAAAATGAATAATAGTAAAAATAAATTACAAGCACATTCAAAAGTCACGATCAAATCACATAATGACACTAGTGCCAGGCATCCACCTACAGATTCTGTCACTTACACTAATAGGTTGGGATTTGATATATATATTTTTTAAAAAAATCTAGATTTATCCATCGAATTTCTGAAATTCGTTGGGTATTAACTGTAAATATTCCAATATTTTACGGACAGAAGCGATATGAATAAGGGAAGAGATGGATGAGAAGGGGGGAAGAGACACACCTGAGATCTAAGAGTACGGCGAAGATGGATGTTGAGACGAGGCAGAGATTCGACGGTGTAATAAATAATTACCTATATGTTGGTGTAACTATCACAAGTTGTATAAATTCGAATGATAATAAATAATTACTGGATAAAAAACAATAATGGAATACTAGGAGAGTATGATATAGAAATAAAATTTCTTCGTGTTTCGTATATTTTGTATGTTTCAAATGAATTACATCACAAGCGTATTTATAGGTGGATATAAGAAGCTTCTTCACAGTGAAGAAATATCAGTTTCTTCGTAGAGGTGGATATAAGAAGCTTCTTCACAGTGAAGAAATATCAGTTTCTTCGTAGCGAAGAATAACTAGTTTTTTCGTAATGAAGAATAATATAATATAGATATTTATTTGCATGGTTACAATAATTACCTACATGTTTTACACATTTATTAAAAAATTCGATCTTTGTGGCACCTAAAAAAACTTTGAAATTAATTGTGTATTAATTGTACACAGTGAATCCACAGATTCACTAGATACGATAACTATAAATATTTATAAGAAATTTTATCGAATAGAAAATTATAAAAATATGAATAAAAAATAATGTTTAATTTTTTTATTGAATCAATATAAAATATAATGAGAGTATAATTAATTGTGATTTGATTTTTTTTTATAGCAACTCGAATGTTATTTTTTTTTTAAATTCAGCAAAGGAGAGAATATCGCGTATAAATGATGAGATCAATTAAAAATTTAATACGAAGTTCGATTATATAATTAATTGTTATTTGATTTTTTATATCAATTAATAATAAATGTTTTAAGTTGGAGAGTCAGAGATCTTATGGGGTCATTAATAAATAATGATTGCGAAACGAAGATAAATGTCACAAATATTGGGAACATCAAATATTCACTCATCCATGCATGAAAATGCAAATATAAATGTATATGTAACCCACTTATACGTGTGTCCGAATTCAGGCGAAGGGACAGAAAGAGAGATACATACAAAAACAATCGACATGCCAAACGGAGCAAGTATAAGTGTGATCCAAACACTTTGAACAACAACAAGACACGTGTCCTACCACCTGTAAGCATAGGAGGCCTCATTGATCGCCACGTGCACCACACCAAACACCTAAGCTCATGTATATATCCATCGGTGTTGTTCACCACCATGGAAACTGCATCACACACGACGACACAGGGGAAGAAGAAGAAAGGAAGAGGAGAGATTCTGATCGGAGAGAGAGAGAGGTGGGAGGGGCAGAAGAGTAATTTGGGGGGAAGAGGAGAGGGCAAAAGGGGAATTACAGAAAAGAGATGGCGACAACAGTTGGGAGGAACATAGCGGCTCCGTTGCTGTTTCTGAATCTGATCATGTACCTTATAGTCCTCGGTTTTGCAAGTTGGTGTATCAACAAATACATCAACGGTCAAACCAACCACCCAAGTAAGTCAATATCTATTTCAGTTCAGTCAAGACACGTGTATGTATCTATGTGTTTGTAGGGTATGTATATATATGTATCTATGTATGTAACGTTTTGCGTGTTGTGTTTTTTTATTTATATAAATAAATGAATGAAAAAAGGTTTCGGAGGGAATGGAGCTACGCCCTTCTTCTTGACGTTTGCCATATTGGCCGGAGTTATAGGCGTAGCCTCGAAGCTGGCCGGAGCCAACCACATACGGTTCTGGAGGAACGACAGCCTTGCAGCCGCCGGCTCGTCTTCCATCGTCGCGTGGGCAGTCACCGTTCTCGCCTTCGGGTACATATGTATATATGTTTAAATTCTCTGTATGTATATATATGAGACATGCATGGACATGGAAATGTTGTAAGGATGATGATGATGGTGGTGGTGGTGGTTGAAGGTTGGCATGCAAGCAGATAAACATAGGAGGATGGAGGGGATGGAGGCTGAGGATATTAGAAGCGTTCATAATAATACTGGCGTTCACGCAGCTGCTGTACCTGATGTTGATCCATGCGGGCGTTTTCAGCAGCAAGTACGGACCAGGCTACAGGGACCGTGACTATGCCCCCGGCCACGAGGCTCCCACCACGGCCGAGCAGAAGGGTGCTGGTGTCGGCGGCCATGGCTCCACTCTCGCCGCCTGATTAAGCCGCCATCTGATCTGTTGTTTCTTATATATATATATGTAATAGCTTAGGATCTATATGTATGTACTCAAGTAATAAGAGTTTGTACGACGTTGTTGCTGCAAGTGTTGTGATAATGTTTCGACCTGTGTCTGACATCTCTATTCGCTGTTTGTTTTTATGTTAAATGTAATTTTTTATTATAAATTATATGGATCTGTGTTTGGTTCAGTTTTCCTTGTTGTTTTTGTTTGTTCTTCCGTAGCCGTAATCTATATGATTTGCAAACTGCTCAGAAAACTTAGAAGTTGAAAAATGATCCGCAAATCAAAAACTAAAAAAGGGTAAGCCGTGAATCTTCACTTTTTGGAAACGTTAGGTTTCGCTGCATTACGACATGATTCTGTCGTCATCTCCTTGTTTCTGATTCTCTTTGTCGTCGGTAAGCGTAACTCGTCTGACTCGCCACTCTCCCGACTCGTCTGTTCTTCCTGTGTCTCTTACTCAGCCCTCTCTTCTTCTCTTCTTCCTCCACCTCAGGTTCCGACATTGGGACATAATGCACAAAGCTCAAAGGCAGAATAGCTGCAAGAGACTGTACAAGAATCCCTGCAGGCAGATTGGAATAGTTTCCAGATGATATCCCCACCATAGAAGCCAACCCTACTCCCAGAAATCCGCTAACTATCGACGCCAGACACAGAGTTGCAGCCAGGAAAGAGGTGACAGATCCTTCACATCCTCGTGGGCATAGATTTGCGAGCAGGACCGAGAATGGAAGGAGCTTAAACTGGGCTAAGGTCTCTGCTAAACTGGAAAAGCAGAGCACGAACACCTCGTTGGAGATTCCGAGACCAAGATTCATTTGTTTCACCAGGAAAAAATCGAGGGCTAGCGAGAAACCATACATTACTTGCACCACACGGACCAGTTGCCTCATAGGAAATGTCTTCCAGCTGCGATCGTAGACCACGGTCAATGACAGAAGCATCAACTGTCCGATAACTTTCGACATTCCGATAACCGAAGGATCGAGATTCAGAACTTGAGTCTGGTAGCAGAAGACTGGTCCCGAAAGCACGGGGACCATAGCAATGGAAGCTACAATCCAGATAAGAGGCCGGGAGATATCATCTGCCTGAACTGCTTCCACAAGATTCGAGAATTGCTTCTTTACAACCTCCAAACCCAGGTCTCCCTCCAGACTTAGTCCCGTTATCCATGGTAAGCCAAGCGATTCTTCTCTAGAAGATACCGAAACAACGAGTTGCACGGACAACAGTACGGCAAAAACCAGAAACATGATTCTCGGAGGCGTTTTGAACAGGCAATATCCGCCAAGCAAGTTTCCGAGGATTCCTCCAATGGCTGAAGCCATGAACGCATAAGACTGGAGGCCGTTCAGTTGGTATCTCTGTCCGAACTCTGCGACAAGTGCGTCTTTGGCAACTTCAGTGATGGATGCTCCGAGGTTACTGAGCAGAACACAAGCCATAAGAGAAGGAAGAGCTTCTCGAGCAGCCGGGATTAATGCCAATGGACCCCATGCTATGATCTGCAGAAGCACTGAGACATTCAAGTTGTATCAGAACCAATCCTTCCTTCCCTTCCAATGGAGCAAAGTTTGTGGGTTTGTTAATGTTATAGCTTTCAAGAAATCCTATACTTTTTCATTTTTTACAGAAAAAAAAAAACATACAAGTGATCATCACAGGAGAATCCTGGATTGAGAGTATTTCCAATTGCTAATGCCACGCGAAGAATCATAGTGATCATGTTACGTGTTCAATGGCTCTTTTTCCCGCATAAGAATCTGGAGAATTCCGACATCATCAAGTTTCTTCTTATCCCATCATAGGTTTCAAACCTCGACAACCTTGGAATCTTATCAACTTAGGATGAACTCCATGGATTGATTACATAAAATTTAGTCTGAAAACGGACAAAAGAAAGATAAACACTGTTTCTTGGTTCATGTTCTTAGAACTAACCTCCAATGGAGATGTACGGAATTCTCCGACCACCGCCGATGTGAAGAACATCCGACAGAACTCCGTATAGAGGCTTAGCCACCATAGGAAGATTACCAGAGTTCTGCACAAGCTGAAGCGTCGATGGCTGAAACCCGAGGTTATGAGCCATATGGAAGTTAAGCGCCAGCCATGGAAAAAACCTGAATCCTTGTACCCAGTACCCTAATGCACACAGAACGGCTATTTTCTCGCCACCCGCTCGCTGAAATCTCGCCGTTTCTTCACACACACAATTCTTTTCCCTTCTGACGATCGAAACACTGGCGAATGTTGTCCTTACGCTGGTTTTTACGACATGGGTATTGCTCTTGTCCGGGTTCTGCCTCTGTTTCCTGTTAAGGTCGCTGCTGGGTTTTATTCTGCAGAGAGGTGGTTCCAAAAACTTTTTAGGGGATGCGAAAATTGGGTTTTGGATTGATAATAACGGGTTGATAATCATGGTTCTAACGCTTCTGTTTCTGGTTATCTCCTGGGATCAAAATCTAAGAAACAGAGGAAGAAAAAAAGGAGGGAGTAATAGAAGACGAGAAAACAGAGGAACGAACCAATAGTTTGCGTTGGCAAATGTTGATGACCTCACATGCACATTATATATGTGTATGTATCAGTGTATGTATGCATAAAAACCCTAACTGGGGAATGAATTCTCTAATCAAGAAATGAGGTTATGTGGGAGAGGGATCTAGAAGAGTGTAGGAAGAGTATTCTATATATACGTACGCGCGTGTGTGTGTGTGCCATGGTTGTAATAGAAGCAAACAAAAGTTGAGATACAAAGGCTGTCTTCCACTAATCTTTGTTTCAAATACGCTAATAAAGTTGATTACTTTTGTGTTATGGCTAAATAATTCGTAATAAAAAATTTGGAAAAAAATAATAAGCGTAGACTTACTTTCAGGGGGCCCACACCTCCAAGGAGATCGGCTAACGCTTCTGTTTCTGGTTATCTCCTGGGATCAAAATCTAAGAAACAGAGGAAGAAAAAAAGGAGGGAGTAATAGAAGACGAGAAAACAGAGGAACGAACCAATAGTTTGCGTTGGCAAATGTTGATGACCTCACATGCACATTATATATGTGTATGTATCAGTGTATGTATGCATAAAAACCCTAACTGGGGAATGAATTCTCTAATCAAGAAATGAGGTTATGTGGGAGAGGGATCTAGAAGAGTGTAGGAAGAGTATTCTATATATACGTACGCGCGTGTGTGTGTGTGCCATGGTTGTAATAGAAGCAAACAAAAGTTGAGATACAAAGGCTGTCTTCCACTAATCTTTGTTTCAAATACGCTAATAAAGTTGATTACTTTTGTGTTATGGCTAAATAATTCGTAATAAAAAATTTGGAAAAAAATAATAAGCGTAGACTTACTTTCAGGGGGCCCACACCTCCAAGGAGTTCGGAAGAGTTGAGTGGCCAGTGGGTCCAATGTCTACATAGATCTTGCAGAATCTGTTCTGTTATCCAAACCGATTTATGAACAAATCGAATTGAGAAATGAATTTTCTGTGCAAATAATATAATTTCTCAAACTATTGGGGAATTATTAAAGCAAATGAATAGTTTTGGGGTTGATATTAATAGTTAAAACTTTTGGGGGTCTTAGAGCAATTCTATTAAATTTGGGAGCGAAAAGGGGCGATAAGAAAAACACAGCTGGAAATTTCTGGGGACGCGCTTTCATGGATGTCTCAGCGAGCTCCTCACTATCCCCAATTTTCACCAAGCATAATGACAATAGCAGGAGCCCTAATTTCTCTTCGAAGAACCCGGCATTCCAGGTACCTTTTCATTTGAAGAAGTTTGAACTTTTAGCTTCTCCCCTGTTTGGTTCCCGAGAATTTACTTCCTTCGAAAGGAAAATGCCGGAAAAGAAATGGGCGATTACGCCTTGGAATCTCGTCGGTTGAGACTTTTGTATTTGATTTTCTTCCATGGATGCACAATCTGGTGGTCTTTTTCTGGGTGAAAATAAGAAAATTCGAGAAGTAGTGAAGTTCTATCTTTGAGATATCGGTATCTGAGATCGGAAATCCCTGTGAAGACGCAAAAAAGAATTGTTGTAATTGGTCATATAAATTGACAAGTTTTGTCTGTAAAATGATTCTCGTAGCAGGTGAAATCGTTTATTACATGCCAACCTCCAAAGTTTTTGGAAGTTGGCTTTACAAAACATGCAAGAAATGTCAGTATCAAGCCCAGGAGCCATGGAATCCTGAGAATCGTGGTCTTGCCCGAGTTTGCTCCAACCACAAGAAGCGAAAATCTGCGGAACAAATTTCTGCGTCTCGTCAAATGCAATTACCATAAGAACAGGCCTGGGGAAGTGGTCATGAATTGTTCCAACAAGTTCAGACAGAATGTCTCCCTTGCATTAGTTCGGCTTGTTTCTGTTCTGCTTGTCTCTTCCATCTCCGTTGTTCTCACTGAATCTCCATCCTGTAAGTGAAGTTTCATATGAATACAATCTCTTACTGGGGAGTGATGGTGATTTTCTGAATTGCTGTTCTTTTTTCTTGTCATCGCCTTTATTTCTAAAGGGGCTCTTACCGAAGAAAACCTTCTCTTCCTCGAGGCATGGAGAACGATTGATCGCGCTTATATCGACAAAACCTTCAACGGGCAGAGCTGGTTTCGTTACAGAGAGAATGCTCTGCGAAATGAACCAATGAACACGAGACAAGAGACATGTAAGTCAGATCCCTGACATGAATGCCTTTCTTCATGTCTGATTTTCTTATGGAAAGAAATAGTTTAACACGAGACAAGAGACATGTAAGCATAGGATAAAGGGAGACACTGATACATTGCCAACTTAGTTCAAGGTGCTTTACTTTCCATGTGTGTTTGGGTTCAGACATGGCTATTAAGAAGATGCTTGCCACATTGAACGATCCTTTCACCCGGTTTCTGGAGCCTGAAAAGTTCAAGAGTTTGCGGGTAAGAATTTCTTTTTATCTAGTCATACTGTAGACAGTATGGTATAAAACCGATGAGCTAAAGCCGTGAAATGAGACATATGTAAGATATAGTAATGTCTTGTTTGAAGGCAGTCTGGAACACAAGGGGCGCTCACCGGTGTAGGGCTGTCGATAGGGTACCCTCCTGGATCGGGTGGATCACCAGCTGGCATTGTCGTTATATCAGCTGCTCCAGGAGGTCCTGCAAACAGAGCAGGGATTTCTCCCGGGGATGTTATCCTATCAATAGATAAGACTACAACAGAAAGCCTAACTATATACGACGCTGCAGGGATGTTGCAGTGAGTCAAAACCATCTTATTCTAACTATTTTCAATGTCACTAGCCTCTTGAAACTTTTAAGGGTACTCCCATCGGGCTATAGCTTATCAGAGAATGTTTCGGTGGAATGCAGGGGACCTGACGGGAGCACGGTGGAGTTAACGATTCAGAGTGGACCCGAAACAAAAGTCTTGTCTTTGACGTATGATCCCAGTCTACATTCTCGGGTTTATCTTCTTTCCTTTCACTAGAGCTAGCTTTGTTCTGTTTGCGAATTCCCGTATGCTTATGTAATCAATGTCCTTTTGTGTCAAGGCGAGAGAAAGTATCAATGAATCCAGTGAAGTCAAGATTATGTGAAATTCCTGGTTCTGAGAAGAATGCCCCCAAGATCGGGTATATCAAACTAACATCATTCAACCAGAACGCTTCTGGTATGGAAGAACTCTGTCCTGTTCTTGTTTCTGTTCTGTTTCTACAGCGATGGGCATGTGGTTGGTTGATGGTCTCTTCTCAGTTTCTGGTTCGGATTTGTATAAAGTGTGTGTGTGTATACTTATTGTAGGTGCCATCAAGGAAGCAATTGAGACTCTAAGAAGCAACCACGTTAACGCATTCATATTGGATCTCCGAGACAATAGGTAGGTGATCTGACCTTGCAACTTCCCTTTATCGGGCAATCCTCGTTTCCTCAAATGAATCTGAATCCGTAAATCTTTGATGCAGCGGTGGGCTTTTCCCAGAAGGAATCGAGATCGCCAAGATTTGGTAAATACGCAGTTCTTTCCTCTCCCGGATTCTCGTCTTCAACTTTCAGAGAATCAGAGTTTGGAACTCATATCGCTCTATAACCCATATTCCAGGTTAGATAAGGGAGTGATCGTATACATTTGCGACAGTAGAGGCGTACGAGATATATACGACACAGATGGAAGCAATGCCTTAGCGGCTTCCGAGCCTTTAGCCGTCCTCGTATGCTCTCCCTCCTGTATCACAACACAGAATTCTGTCAATGGAAATAGTATAAACAGACAAAAAATGTTCTCATCTTCTCCATCAGGTTAACAAGGGAACGGCTAGTGCCAGCGAGATATTAGCCGGCGCCTTGAAGGATAACAAACGTGCCGTCGTGTTTGGGGAGCCGACCTACGGGAAAGGGTAAGATAGTCATATCATCTTGTCTCTGTCTAATTCCCATGGCTGCCCTCCTTTAAACGACTATGGCGATCCATCTTTTTCACACTTTTGCAGTAAGATACAGTCAGTGTTTCAGCTGTCAGATGGTTCTGGCCTGGCTGTGACTGTTGCTCGTTACGAAACCCCGGCCCACACTGATATCGACAAGGTCTTTGCTTCTTACCCGTGGCCTGTGCCGTTTGCGTTTTACGCTGCTTATTTACGTGTTTACCCTCTCGTTGATTGTGATGATAGGTCGGCGTAATTCCCGACCATCCGCTTCCTCGGTCTTTCCCGAAGGACGAGGATGCTTTCTGTGGCTGCCTCAAGGATCCCGGAGCTGAGTGTTATCTCAACCAAGGCCAGCTGTTTTCTAGATGATCATTCTTACTTCTCAAGGATGAGCATTCTTTGTTGAAGATTTTTCCTTACCTGTAATCCTTCAAAGATGTAGAGTTTAAGATACATGTATAAATATAAGAACCCATGACAATGGGAACCAGTTCAAGTCATTAAGACAGAACAGACCATGGATGGATTTCTAACTTCCTCTGTACTGTCTTGTTGTTTCAAGAAACAATTTCTCAAGTCTCAAACAATTGAAAATTTGTTTATGGAGATTACCAAGGAACAAAATGGTAAAATCTAAGCATGTTTGTCTAAGAGCTTAAGAATGGGAACATAGATACCAACAGTCTCAACAACAATGGTTCTGGTTCTTCTCTTCTTACTCTCTTGTAACCAGTCCTCTTCCTGTTCCCTACTGGTTTCCTCATCGGTTCGTTTTTCCCGTGAGATGGCTTGGGAATCGACCCGTTGCTGTCCAAATCATCCCACCCACCAAACCGAGAACTAGAAGTCACCCCAGCTGAACTGCTGTTACCTGTACGGCCCATCTCAGATGGAGTGCCGTTGCTCCCGAAGCGTGATGAATAGTATCCGACCCTTGTATTCTTTCTCTTTTCTTCTTCTTCCTCCTCCTCCTCCTCCATTAGCCCAAGGTTACTTGTCCTGGACTTTGTTCGCCGTTTATCCCGGGCTGTCAACTTCTGGAAAGCTAGAAACAACAACGATGGTCCAGCGGCTACTCCCAATGCTGTGAGGAAAGCTTTGGGTCCAGTTGCAGACAGAAATGATATGACGATGAACGGGAGAAGATATCCATATGACTTGAGGACCTGCGGTGGCAAATCCATACGCAACGTGAAACCAGAAAGGATATGTTTCAAGATCGGCATCGACCGGTAAAGAAGCCTAGTGAATGTTCCTCTAATAACTGAACTATAGCCACACCCATGGGACAATTACATGTATGCAATCTTAACTACAACAACTCATCTCTGGCAAAACTCTTCTGATACTTGATTATACCAGGGTTTAAACTGTAATTATCTTAGCGTAAAGAACAAAGGAGCAAGATTTCCATGTAATTAAGGAAATTACCTTGAAAATCCAAACATTGTCTATAACTTCCCCCACGAATCGCCACGGATCATCATCGCCACCGCCGCCGCCGTCATCGTCATCCAAACCATCCTCCAGGAGCTCCTCTAATCGCCACCGTCGTTTCCTCCGCCGCCTCCAATTCCTTCTCTCCGCCCGCCCGTAACCGCCTCCGCCATCATCTTCACCCGCCGCGCCGCCGCTTCCGTCGCTGAAACCCCGTCGAGCTGAGGGAGAAAAACTCGCCGGGACCAACAGTACTATCGTTGAGGAAGAGCAATGGATGATACGAGAAGGAGGGGGAGCGAGACTAGGGTTTTGGAATCGCCATGGAAATGGATTGGAGAAATTATGGAAGATGAAATCGGAGGGTCGGGGCAGCGAGAGACGCAGAGCTCTATCCGCCATTACCATCTGAGAGAAGAGAGTGAAATATTCTTCTCCATCTATATACTATACGCTTTCGCCTCGTTGTCATCATCTCCTCCATTGAAATCGAAATCCTAAACCGGTTCGATTTAACGGTTCATTCTTCGATTCCAAATTTGAACCGGATTACGAGGAAACTAATTGTGGATTACATCTAAATGCAGAGTACCGAAGATCCCACGCATAATCAGGGGTAATTTAGGGTTTCTACATTTCATGGCGGAGGAAAAAACAGAAGCCGAGATAGAAAATCCGAGGATCATATTGGGCTTCGGTTATTTACGAGGCCCATTTTAATAATCGGGGTTTTGCATAATCGTCTAACAAGCCCATCATAATTGTATTTGAATTTTGAACCGGTTATATTTTTTTTTTACAAGGAAGAACCAAATCGAAATCCGTATGATAGATGAGAGAGTTCAAGAACAAAAGAAATGGGCAATAAGAATTTCAAATATTATTATTATTTAGTCAAGTCTTGCAGTAATTAAATTTGTATTATAACAATACCATTAAATTAATACACATGGCCTTTAATTTTAAAATAGAAGAATAAAAATTTTGTTACCAAAAGTGTCAGAATTAAGCACCCGAGTCCGAGTGGTGGGCGCATATAATTTCCGACATTCATGTGATCACATGGACTTACCATATGTTTCCGAATTTTTGGTTGGTCCAATTCAAGGGGAACCATTTGACTCCCCACCATTCCCTTCAGTTATTACAGTTGTGATTTTAGTTACATTTATCATTATTTATTTTTGTCACACATGTGTGTATATATATATAAACGTAAACCGTATCCTTGTTGCACCATTGTTTTTGGAGGAAAACAAACAAATTTTGTGGCCCATGTGTTCTTCTTTATAATATATATATATACACACACACACATATACACCTTGTTGCACCATTTCTTTTTTTGTTTGGAGGAAAACAAGCAAAATTTGTGACCCATGTGTTTTTCTTTTTGTAATATTTTCTTATTCTACATATATATATATATATATATATATATGTATATATGTATTATATTCTGTGTGATCCACATAAATTTATATATATCGTATTAGGGTTTTCTTCCGAATTTTTGATGTGATTACCAAGGAATACCAAATCTAGGATTCGATTAATTACGTGAACAGAAGGCAATCTACGTGGACCAACACCTTCTTTTCTATTAGGGTTCATATGTAATTGTTTCGAAATATTTTCTATAAAGGGTGGCCGTAATTATTTATTCTGCTAAGTGAAATTATTATATGCTGCTCAAACAGGCCAAAGTCGGCACACTTACATATATAGAGAATCGATTTAAGTGCTTACATTTTTTCAGGAATATTTTCATGTTACCTCTAATGAATGACATTCAAGTGCTACATTTAAAAAAAAAAAGGAATTGATTAGACGCCACAATAAATGATGTTAGTGTATTTATGATCTAAATTAAAACTTGTAAAATGCGATTCGGGTCACATGATTAAGCATCTGACTACACCGGTCGAATCTTAAAATTGTGAAGAAAATCTTCGATTAATGAGTATATATACTATATAATATGAATATATCAATGTTGTTTTCGAAATTATTTATAAGCAATGATTTAACCCTTTTTTTCTAGTAATATAAATACTAAATTTAATGTGTTTTCTTGGTGAGATTCTCCGGTAATGATTACACTAATTGGAAGGGTAGTTCTTTTAATTTTTAAACAGCAATTGAAATGGCTATAAAATTATTTCTTTTAACGACAAATAATTCTTTCAGATGCGGGAAATGATTGGCTTGAAACGAATATATCATAACAATAACCAACAAAATATTTGGACCAGAATTTGGCTGAGAGCGTATAACTTTAAATGATTAATATACATAAATATATTATTAAAAAATAAAATACGAAAATTAAATAAATTCCAAATGCGATATGACTAGTAAGATGGGGATGTATTTAAATATTTTAAAGAGATCAAACAAGTGAATCGTGACATTCGAATTTCGCTTCTTACGGATTAAATATTATCTCACTTCCCGCATTTTCATGTGGCTCACACATCCATACAAATTATATGCATGTATTTATTCATACATTGCATACTTACCTATATATATATATATATATATATAATATTTTTTTATATGTTGATATTCCTATCTACACAATGTCGAATGAATTTTTAGTCTTCGATTAATATCCAGAATTATTTTAATATATTAGAACTCACCCAACAATATAAAAGTATCTAATAAACACACTGAATAATTGTAGTTTCTCTATCTTAGCAAAAAAAAAGACATTTTATATATTTATTGAATTAGGTCTTTTTACAAAATTATACATTTTTTTATTTTACATATCAATTGTTTTCTTATATATATATATATATATATATATATATATATATTTAATATCGTAATCATCAACCTACATACCATCCACCCAAAATTTGGTTAATGAAATATATCAATTAGTATAAAGATTCATGGGGATAAGAGACCCCACGATTAACGAAGTGAAAGAGAATGATCGATATTCTTTGTTAATCCATTCCCCATTTTTTTTAAATGTTTCCCTATAACACTTGTATGTGAGGGAGAATGGAACACGCCCTTTTTTTTTCTTCAAATTCCCATGATTTAACAATTGAGAAAAATACAGAAAACGTGTGTTCCAAGAAATATGATTTGCAATATATATCTAACGTGGTGATTATGATTTCGAAATTGATATAATTGTCCCGGCAGTATAAACGAAATGGGAATGTTACAACTCTATCGATGTCCCCCGTATGATTTGAAAATATGAATTTTTCACTTCACAAATGATTCAAAAACTATATATATATATATATATATATATATATATATATATATATATATGATGTGTTTAAGCAACTGGTTTGTACGACGTCGCTTTAACTTGATATAATATAAAAGTCTCGGAAGTGGGTCCCACTGTGAATTCTGGGTCAACAACGTTGACTCGAACGACTCGAAACCCTCTAATACGCGTATTATAATAGCAATGTGTTTTCCCAATGAAAAATTAAAAGATATTTTATTTTCCTAAATGGGTTTTTAATGAGAGAGTTAGGGAAAACATGGAATATTATTGTATCTGCATGGACCGACGTAAATTTGAAGAAAAGTCAAAACTTAGAAAATCGTGTAAAACATAGGATGATACGAAATGGTCTTTAAAGATAAATTTACGAGGAACGTCCAAACTCAAATGTGGAGTTTGATTTCTCCTATATATATATATATATATATATATATATATATATATATGTATATGATGTGGTTAAGCAACGGAAAAATGAGCTCCACGTCCACTCAACATGTCTACCGATGCATGATATAATGTGTGTGTATATATATACACACACACATACACATAAATACATTATATTTCTTCATCGATTTCGAGAGAGATGATTCATAATGGTCGGTGAAAACATTCCAATTAATACTCATCGAGAGCACGATTATCGTATATTATACGTATCGTGGACCAATAACATTAATATAATGAGGGGAAAAAAAAGAGTATATTGGTTTTCCTCTAGATTGCTGCATTTGGAAATTCGTCAATCTCATGGAATTTGATGAGAATCTCTATAATCACATAAGATCCATCCATTATGTATGTTTGAATCTCGGGTAATGAATTTATACTGCATTATCATTGGGATATCAAACATATTTTATGCATCATTTCGTTTATTCACGTATATACATCCAATAAAAAAATTTGAGAAATTTAAATATCAATCTCTACAAAACTTAATTAAGAATACCTATTACCAAAAAATGTATATATATTTAGACACCATAATTGATCGTAAATATATAATTATATTAGTTTTTCATTCAATTTCTATAACGCGTTAGAGATTTGACATTAGATTGAATAATTAGATTAATATATCAATATTTTAATGATTAAGTTTGATTTCCTTATTTAATCTTCTAAGAAAATGCAACAAGTTGGTGTGCATTATACAAGAAGAAGTCGGTCTTAATAAAATTAATACGCATGCTTCTTGCTTATTCCGATATGTATGTACATATGTAATTTGGAATATATAACCATTAACCACACATAAAAACGTCTTAACGACCAAAGCTAGGTTCATTGGATCTTCATTATATATATGTATCTCGTACATATATTAATATTATATATATACACTGTAAATATTTTAGATTCTATCTGGTAGTGTGTTTATTGAAGTTTTAGATCAACTGCTAATAATTCAATCTTAGCCCTTTGTATTATTTTCTAAATATCCAATGTGTTTATATTATAAACATACCGAGTAACGATATCTAAGTTTACGTGTAAAACATTTCATTTTTATTTTTCTTTCATTTCATAAACTTTGTCGATTCGGTTAACATCGTATTATTTTTAAAATATAATCCATAATAAATTTTAAAGGCGTGATTTGATTGAGATTTCGGGTTTAAATGTAGTGGACTTTCTGTAAACAAGATTAAATCCGTATCTAAATTAATCCCTTGCTAGGGATGTGAGATTTTGAATCGTCGGAAGAACAAAATTAAAAGTTTCTCGACCGAATAACAAATTATAAAGAACGTCGAATGGATGCCACAGAATTTTCCTAATGAATCAAAGCTCATATATATGTATATATGTATATATATATATATATGTATATATATGAAGTGAAAATCGTAATGCATATGCATGCACCTTATTGTCGTTGCTTCCGAGATGCATGTGTTGCCCAACCAACGTAAATATTAATCAAAATAAACAAAATTGGAAATTGACGATATATATCTTTGCCCGATTCATAAACGAACTTGCCCTTTTTTTTTGTGATATAAGAAATAAAAATTACAATACGTTACAATAGACGGCGAGGATAAACTTCATGATCATATATCGTTTTCAAGTGGATGCTTCGACATTTCACAAAGGAATTAAATGGAAGAGCTCAATTAATTTCACATGTACATGTTTTATATATGAATCCCAATCTTATGCAATCTCACTTTATAATGACTTATCCCTCTCAATGCTCTCTTCATACATAAACTACTTGACTTTTCTTGTAGTCCAATGACCTTTCTTGACATATATATGTCATATATATATATTGGGTAACCGGATGTACTAGATTGAGGTCCAAACTAATCCCATGGCGTGATTAGAATATATTTGGTCCTCTCTAATTTGAGATTCGAACTCGAAACAGAACAAGCATTTTGTGTTCCCGTTTCATCGGTTAGACTATCTTGGTTGGATATGTCATATGCATATATATATATATATGTATTTTCAATAATCCGGAAAACCAAAATGGACCTTGGATGTTCTGCTGAAACATAGACTGACCGTGCTGTCGTGTCTCTTCATTGAAGTGATCATGGAAACATGTTTTACCCTTTTTGGTTCGTCGTTTTGGTGGCAACCTGACACCTTTTGTTTCTTCTTCATTTCCTCACATCATTATCCTCTCGGTTTAGATCCATAGAGAGTGTGCTCCGAATTTATGATTCATTTATTTAATCTTTAGTAATGGCTGTTGTGAAGATATGTAGGGTTTCAACTCTAGTTATTACGATTAATCTATCATTATGGATACGGGTGTCAAACGAGCCGGCTCACCTCGTTTCGCTCGAATCTTTTTGGGTTCAGCTCGTTAAAACGAACTAGAAAAATCTCGGCTCAGATTGTTCGTCAGTTTTCCAATCTGAACGAGCCAGCTCGTTGACCCAAACATATATAACATTTTTTATTTATATTTATTCTAAATTTAAATAAATACATAAAAAATTATTAAAACTCCAATATCATAAACTATTTAAAAAAAGTATTGGTTGAGATTTCAAAAGATAAAAAATAATTTAACAATAGTTCAATAAAAATAATTTAAATAGATAATAACAACAAAATATATTTTAATAACATTTTCATATTTATACATATACACAAGGTTTCGAAAGAATAAATGAAAAGAAAAATAAACAAATAAAGGTGGCTGCGAGCTTATCATTTGAGAATTAAAATAATACTAAGAATTAAAAAATAAAATTATATATTAAACCGGAAAATAATTTAAAACATTACAAATCCCAATTGCTTTCAAAGCCTCGCTCATATGACCAAAGACTCTGTTTCTCTATTTATACACCTTCCTTTCAAATCTAACCGGACACAAATCAAATCTCCATTTCAGCATTTGACCTTCCTTGTCCTTAAATCTCCCAAATCTTTAAAAAAAAAAAAAAAAAAAAAAAAAAAAAAAAAAAAAAACTTCTCTCCTCTTATCTCAGAACAAGACAAAACACACAAACCGTGAAGATGTATAGTAATAACAATAACCAAGATTGTGTGAACATTTCGAGCATGTTTCAGAATTTCAATCCCGACATTTTCTCCCGGCGTTGCGTTTGGGTGAACGGTCCGGTGATCGTTGGGGCCGGTCCCTCCGGCTTAGGCGTTGCAGCCGGTCTGAAACGACAGGGCGTGCCCTTCATAATCCTCGAACGAGCCAACTGCATTGCCTCTCTCTGGCAAAACAGGACATATGATCGTCTCAAGCTTCATCTCCCAAAGCAGTTCTGTCAATTGCCCAACTTTCCCTTCCCTGAAGACTTCCCTGAGTATCCGACAAAGTATCAGTTCATTCAGTACCTTGAGTCCTACGCAACCCATTTCGACATTCGCCCAAAGTTCAACGAGACGGTTCAGTCCGCCAAGTACGATGAGAGGTTCGGGTTGTGGCGGGTAAAGACTGTGTCGGAGACGGGACTTGTCGGTTCTTGCCAGTTCGAGTACATCTGCAGGTGGCTTGTGGTGGCTACTGGAGAGAACGCGGAGAAAGTGGTGCCTGAGTTCGAGGGTCTGGAAGATTTCGGCGGTGAAGTCGTTCATGCTTGTGACTATAAGTCCGGCGAAAGGTACAGAGGGAAACGAGTTCTTGTCGTCGGATGTGGAAACTCGGGCATGGAAGTTTCTCTTGATCTCTGCAACCACCATGCAAGCCCATCGATGGTTGTTCGTAGCTCGGTAAGTCTTCTTTCTGAGACTACTCCAAAAGTTCGTAACTTTGGACAAGATTCTGATCTTCTCTGTGTTGGGTCTCATCACGGTCAGATTCATGTGTTGCCGAGAGAAGTTTTGGGGAAATCAACGTTCGAGTTAGCCATGAAGATGATGAAGTGGATGCCACTGTGGCTGGTGGACAGGATTCTTCTGTTTCTTGCGGACATGATCCTGGGAAACACCGAGAAATACGGTCTGAAAAGACCACAGATCGGACCGATGGAGCTGAAGAACACTGCAGGGAGAACTCCGGTCCTTGACATCGGAGCATTGAAGAAAATCAGATCCAAGAAGATCAAGATCGTGCCCGGAATCAAGAAGTTTGGTCCGAGGATGGTGGAACTCGTCGACGGTCAGATTCTTGAGATCGATTCCGCTGTCCTCGCAACAGGGTACAGAAGCAATGTACCCAAATGGCTCACGGTATATAACACCTCCCTTGTGTTTTTTTTCCATGTTTTTTTTTTTTTGGTAAAATGCCTAAAGCGTGGGGAGAAATAAAATGAGGGGACTGCTTGTTTGGTGAACAGGATAACGATTTCTTCTCGGAGGATGGGATCCCGAAGAACCCGTTTCCAAACGGGTGGAAAGGGGAGGCGGGATTGTATGCGGTAGGGTTCACGAGAAGAGGGATCTCAGGCGCGTCGCTCGACGCGATGAGCGTGGCTCACGACATTGCCAACAGTTGGAACGAAGAAACTAAGCAGCAGAAGATAACTGCCGCCGCTCGTCACCGTCGTTGCATCTCTCACTTCTGATCTCTCTCTCTCTCTCTCTCTCTCTCTCTCTAAGCCCTCTCCTTTGCAGAAGAAACCCCCCAAAAATAAAAATAAAAAATTGTGAAATAATGATAATTAGGGTTTCTTGTGTGTCAAGGAAGATGAGGCTTTGATATAGTTTTTGCAATTTTTGTTTGTATTTTATCCTTTTCGGTGTTTTACCTGATTCTGAAATCTGTAACAAGATTTGGTTTAGATCTAATACCATGTTGATGTTCATCATGAGGAGGAGCATATACATCCCTTTTATTTAGATGTTATTTTAATGATTTTAGGAAATTATGATTACAATGATAATTAACCACAACCAACATACATAATCACATCATTCGATTGGTTTTCTATGTAATTTACTAACACCTTGTAATATTATATGTTCCTCTATACATAGATTAAAACTTGTATCACACCATTCAACATTTCACCAATCATTTCAAAGCACCAAGGTAATTTAATTCTCTAGTCTCAAGATCAAGTTACCTAAAAGAAAGAAGCTTAAACTAATCTTTTACATAACAAAGGAAACGGGGTCCAATTCATCATTGCATGTGAAAAAAAAAAACTGTTAGTGCCATTACTCCAAGCACCACATGAACTGTATCATCCTTTTATTACGAGTGAAGGTAGAAACAAAATCCGAAATGATTCAAAGCATTCATCATATAAGGAGCCCATCCTTCCATTGAGGATGAATAAGGACATTACCAGACATCAGGACGGAGCTCCCCAGTTGCTGGAGGCATCCAACGGCCGGAATTGTACACGCTTTCCCCAACCTTCCATCCGGGCACATCCTTCATCACTTCAGCCTCGTATTCCAGATACTTTTTCCACTCGCTCACAAACCTAATATGAACAGATCGAGTGAGACAATCCTTTTGAGTTGTAGGACTGAGGCGATTATTTCACATGAAGAATAGAGAGGGTTTCTCGGGGAAAAGTCTCTACCTTTCATCTTCTTCTGCTTGAAGCATAGGTAGTATTGCTCTACGAGCAGCATATTTCTCCTCCTTAAGCGCCCTACACATCACATCGATCTTAATATAATTTGCTTCTGAGACTTTCATCACCATCAACATTATGCAATTAAAATTTTCCCCAGTTAGAAATGAAGTTAGGAAGTGCATAACAACATAAATGAAGCTCAGTTGACTTATTAGTAGAGATTCAGACAGAATGAGATGATAAATCCATATGCAGGCACAACGAATCCAGCTCATGTTCAAGACTAGATGACAGAAAGATTATAAGGTGATGCCTACCAACCTAAGCTCAATGAACCAGAACACCAATACCCAATGCCAACATCTTCTGGCAAATTCAATTGATTTGTTCATCATAAATTGACAGTAGTCACTCAAGGGATCATTGACTCCACAGATGGCAAATGAGCTTTAGGTATGTTCAATAAAGACACGAGCCTGGACTAGGGTAGGATTCACTTTTGCTTTAGACCAAAGACTAGAATATGTTTTGGCATGGATGGGAATGCATAACCATAAAACAATAATCCAACGAGCAATTAAATCAGCAACCGAAAGCACATCAAAGTCTCGGACAACCAACTTGGTGTAACTAAGCTCCTCGGCAGAATTTTTTTTAATCAACGTTTAATTCCACGGACCAGTGGTATGCCAATGCCATAACATCCTCAGTAGCACAAACAATATGGAAAACACATTTCGAAGGTCAACACTACTATGCTACTACATAGAATGTTAGTTTCGGAATCAAAGTAAAAAATTTCAAGCTTCAAAATTTAGAATCCTCATTCACTTGGGATCCCAGGAAAAACCAAAACAACAAGCAGAAAAGGGCTTGATTTCAGAGTGAGTAACACAAAACTAAATTGCAAGAACTATTACCCAGAAAAATGCAATCTTTATCCATACTTTCCCAAACCCATCACCATCACTAATCGCAACGTCAATTGTAAAACAGAAACCAATCAAACCCATTTCAGCTCCAACCAAAATAGAGAAACAAAATGCGAGTGATCAAACATCCCTCACCTGCGGTGCTTGTTGCCCTGTCCAACCTGATACATCCCGTAAGCAAAAGCACCGGAGACGGCGAGGAAAATGGCCATAGCACTCGGACCTTTGCTGGGAATCCGTCGAGCATATCGGATCGGCGGGAACCCACCTGGCGGCGGACCATCCTGAAGCAGCGGCATGTCCTTCACGCTCGCCATTCCAGGCTTGTTCCTTATCACCGCTTCCGTCATCTCTTCCTCGTCTTCGTTCGATCAGACGATCGAAAGATTTTTTTTGTACTCTGATGTATTCGCCCCTTTTGTCCCCTTGGATCAGAGATTTGATTGTCGACTATTCTAGGGATTTTGAGGAACAAATCCACTTTTTTTTTTTCGAAAATTTGCCCCAATTTTTTTTGGGTAAAAATAAACTGGGCTTTTAAGAGGCCCAATTCTCTCTAAACCGGGTTGAATTCGGTTGGATCCAAACCCGAACTTAAAACCGGAAAAAGCAATCATCTTGGAGAGGCAGTAAAACCCTAAACCCTGTGAGAGAGAGATTTTGAGGTTGCGGCTTCTAGAACGTTGTGGTCCTGTAAAAGAGACCATTTCTTCTCTCCTACAAAACCTTAACCCTCTTCGAAGTATTAAAACGTATTGCTTGCTCTACTCAGAATTCGTCGCCATGTATCGGTTTGTCTCGAGCATTGCTTCCAAAACGAGGTAGATCTCTTCGGGCTATGGATTTTTATGCTAAAATGGAATTAATTGTTGCTTTTACGAATCCGTTTTCTGTTTGGTTCCCGAGAAACCTGTGGGAAATGAACTTACATGAATGACAACAGTGTCAAAAGTTTCGGTTTTATCCGATTCGTTAGAAGAAATCGGATTAACCATGACGGGTTACCCTTTTTATCTGCTTAAGTTTGGATCTCCCTCCTTGTATTGCTTGGTTCACGCGGAATATCAAGAATTTGAGGAACCTCTTGTTCATGATTCCATATCTCGGCTGATTGTAGGTTCCTCCTGTTTGTGATTTAATCAGTTCTGCCTCCATTTCCTGACAGTATTGTCTCTCTTTGTTTCGACAGGATTGCCAGGAACTGTACAAACCAGGTAACTGTCATTTCAGTCTTTTATGAGGGCTGATCTTTGTAGTCATTGTTGATATATATCTTGATGCTTATACTTTGTGTCATCAGATAGGAAGTAGGCTCACTTCTAGTAGAAATTATGCGGCGAAAGACATTAGGTTTGGTGTTGAGGCTAGGGCTCTGATGCTTAAAGGTGTGGAGGAGCTTGCTGATGCTGTTAGAGTCACTATGGGACCCAAGGTATCGATTTTTGTTTGCACCATGGCTTTCCCTTCTGAATTGTTGGTTACTCTAGAATTCATTTATATCGAGTTTGAGTGAAAGGATAATACAAATTGTTTGATTGGATAGATGCAGTGATCATTCATACAGGGCTAAACTAAAGTTGTGTGTCTTTATTAAATATGAGATACAATCATACAAAAGAAAGCGAAGCTCCAAAGAATGTGTAAACAGCTGAAGGAGTCTAAAAAGTTTTTTTTCTTTCTTTTCCTTTAAGGGTCGTACCGTGGTCCTTGAGCAAAGCTGGGGTGCACCCAAGGTGACAAAGGATGGTGTAACTGTTGCCAAGAGCATTGAGTTCAAAGACAGAGTCAAGAACATTGGTGCCAGTCTTGTCAAACAGGTTGCTAATGCTACAAATGATGTAGCTGGTGATGGTAAGGGTTTCTTCCATTTTGCAGTTTGTCTTTGATTGCTAGTAAAAGTTGTAGGACAAGTTAGGATTCAGTAGTGTCAGTGCTCTTTAACCTTCACTTCAATCCAATCGTAGTTGTAAACTTCATTTCCTGTGTGACTGCCTTCACCGACTTGATAATGGGGAAAATTTGACTCTGGATTCTTGCTTCACCTTAGTGTTTGTAAATTTTGTCTGGAAGAACCTTTTGTATCTGTGGTTTAGTTTCGTATCCATTCGTCCAAGTTTCTTGCCTTTTTGTTATATCTAACATCAGCATGATGTATTTTCAGGAACCACATGTGCAACAGTCCTTACCCGAGCTATATTCGCTGAAGGGTGTAAATCGGTTGCTGCTGGAATGAATGCGATGGACCTAAGACGTGGTATTTCAATGGCAGTTGATGCTGTTGTAACAAACTTGAAGAGCAGGGCACGCATGATTAGCACATCTGAAGAAATTGCCCAGGTAGGGACAATATCAGCTAATGGAGAGAGAGAAATTGGTGAATTGATCGCGAAGGCAATGGAAACAGTTGGCAAAGAGGGAGTGATCACAATCCAAGTGAGTTGAGCCTAAAACAGTTTTTAAGTATGACTCACTTCATGATTATATGCATTTCATGGTATGGAAGATTGTTGATTGATTTTACAATATCACTTGACTCTTCGTGCAGGATGGCAAGACTTTGTATAATGAGCTCGAAGTTGTTGAGGGTATGAAGCTTGATAGGGGGTACATTTCCCCGTACTTCATCACCAACCAGAAAACCCAGAAATGTGTAAGCATTTCCAGCATGTTGATCGATGGATTAGCAAAAAAAAAAAAGGTGTTTGAATTGGTTCTCTTCATTGTCTGGATTTCTTGAATTAATCATTCTGCATTTCTTCGATCGTAGGAACTTGAAGATCCTCTCATTTTAATCCACGAGAAGAAAATCTCCAACTTAAATGCTGTGGTGAAAGTTCTGGAACTTGCTCTCAAGGTAGGAGCAAGTTTTTTTTAACGGCAATTTTGGTTGTTGATAATGTCTTGTATGTTCTCAACTTCTCATTGTATGTGTGTCTGATTATCCTTCACTGTTGTGTTTTTAGAAGCAAAGGCCATTGCTGATTGTTGCCGAGGATGTGGAAAGCGATGCTCTTGCCACCTTGGTCTTGAACAAACTCCGTGCTGGAATCAAGGTTTTTCTTTTGATCTTATCATATACACTCTTTATTTACGACATCGCGATAAGCATTATATGTTGTTAAGGCTGATGATGTAGATTGTACCGTGTTGTAGGTTTGTGCTGTCAAGGCCCCCGGTTTTGGAGAGAGCCGTAAGGCCAATTTGCAAGATCTCGCTATTCTCACTGGAGGGCAGGCGAGTGCATGCTCTTTTTTTCCTTTGATATCACAATTACACTACATGTTTTTTTCCCGCATAAGCTATATATGATGGTGCTTTCTTGAATTCATTGAATAGGTTATCACTGAAGAGCTGGGTTTGAATCTGGAAAAGGCCGACTTCAGCATGTTTGGAAACTGCAAAAAAGTGAGAGCTTTGAAAGCTTAACCAAAGCACCTTATCTGTTATAACTCTCATCTGTTTGTTCTCGTTTTCCCGGTTCAAATTATCATCGTGCATTGTGTTTAATTTACATGGGACTCATTTGTCGCTCAGGTGACAGTATCAAAGGACGACACTGTGATTCTAGATGGGGCTGGTGAGAAGGTTTCAATTACTGAACGATGTGAACAGGTCCGGATGGTTCCACTTATTAACAAAATATTTGGCTACTTGATATGGGTCTCGACTTGTTTTAACACTTCAAAAAACACAGATAAGGTCAGCAATCGAGTTGAGCACATCTGATTATGACAAGGAGAAGCTGCAAGAGAGATTGGCTAAGTTATCTGGTGGTGTTGCTGTACTGAAGGTCTATCTTCAATCTATATCCACTCCATTGCTAAAACACCTTCAATGGAAAAGAAAAGTCATATACACTGCTGTATATAACGGGGATGAAATATGGATAATGGGTTTTGCAGATTGGAGGAGCCAGTGAGGCTGAAGTTGGGGAGAAGAAAGACAGAGTGACCGATGCTTTGAATGCCACCAAAGCAGCCGTGGAAGAGGGTATTGTCCCAGGTAAAATCATCCAATTCTGATTAAGTTTCTGTTAAAATCCCACAAAAATTCTCTGCTGCAAATAACTCGAGAGAAATTTCAATGCATACAGGAGGTGGAGTAGCTCTTTTGTACGCATCGAAAGAACTCGACAAGCTTCCTACCGCCAACTTTGATCAGAAAATCGGTGTCCAGATCATTCAGAACGCTCTCAAGGTTTTTCTCCAAATTATATAACTGATGTATCTTTTCATAAAACTGGCTCTAGCACTGTAACTCAAAAACCTGAATTTTGATGCAGACACCTGTTCACACAATCGCTTCCAACGCTGGAGTCGAGGGTGCTGTTATCATCGGTAAGCTTTTGGAGCAAGACAATCCCGACCTCGGATACGACGCTGCTAAAGGTCGGTTTATTTACTTTCGGGTTATAGCGTTCGCCCTATTTCCGGATCCACCGGAACTGAACCCCTTTTTGCTGTGTTTTTGCCAGGCGAATACGTCGATATGGTAAAGTCTGGTATCATTGATCCCTTGAAAGTGATCAGAACAGCACTTGTTGATGCCGCGAGGTATTATACGGATTTCTTCTCCGGTGTTTATCATTGTGTTTTCGGGTTTGCGATATTTTGATAAATGTTTTTTGGTTTACGCTTTGTATGCGATCAGTGTATCGTCTTTGTTGACGACGACGGAAGCAGTGGTGACTGAAATTCCAAAGGAAGAGAAGGAAGCTTCTCCGGCCATGGGAGGCGGAATGGGAGGCATGGGTTTCTGATCCTAACAGTCGAAACCCTAAATTCTTATTGTTTCCCAATCGGCTTTAAGAGATTTTATTTTGGTCATGAGATGAACTGGTTGCTTCGTTCACAAGGCACTCTTGGTTTTTGTGTAATAATGATTAGAGGTCATTCGCATGTAACTTTTGCCACTGTTTTTTTTTTCTCACAGAAATTTCAATCGTTTAAAATTGTTGAAAATAGTTGCATATATATGTACATACATACATACATACATACACATATATGTTATGTTCACCCACCCCCTATAAAATCTGGGCCAGCCCATAATCAAGCGAATTAATTGGATGCAAAGTGGAACAAATGCAAAATATAAAATCGCCGTCTGTGGGGATCGAACCCACGGCCACATGGTTAAAAGCCATGCGCTCTACCGCTGAGCTAAGACGGCTTCGGGCTTAGTTTATTATTTTATATTATCAAGATTTTGCTTAGATCAGGATCAAAATTCCACGTCATATGTATATAGAGACTAAGTCCTCTCGAATGAAACCTGGCTTCGACCCGAAGCGATAGGTTTGGTCGCACCCATATAAATGTGTTACTATTTTTTTTTGGCAGACATGTGATAGATTAGACTGCCCATTTTTTTCTAACAAATAACATACATAAAAACTATTCATAAAAATGTTTTAAGAAAATGATGGGCTAGTCTCAAGCCGAGGAAAGCGTGTTCTTCAACCCGACGAATGCTCACAACAGGGCAGATCCGAATATTTAGATTATAGAAAATGAAAGGACAATAAAAAAAGATAAAATTCAAATCTCGGTCTATATGAAGTCCCTTTGGGATTCTGAAAAAGAAGCAATACTCTTAATCTTCTACGTACACCATGAAAAGTTTGATGCATGCTTCAAAACTGGCCGAAGTTCTGATTTCTAATGCGAAAACGGCAAGAAGTTTTCCTTTATGCAGGGCCTTTGTTTCTGCTTCACCAAGGCCCTTACAAGTAAGAAACAGAGCTTCTCTCTCAAACATTCTTTACATATACTTTGAGATTCCTAAATCAACAAAAAAATGTTCAAATTACACCAAATCGAATGATTCTTTCTTTCTATATATATATTCGCTTACCGGAAATTCATTTCAATAGATTCTATATTTTTAATTGAAATGAAAGGGAAAGAAGGAAGCGGAGCAATGCCAAAACGTGAAGGAAGCAGCGGACGCAGTGAAAGACGCAGCCAAACAGGTGAAGGAGACCACTGAGTTCGTCAGAGACGTTGCTGCTTCTACGGCCGAAAGTGTAAGCCCCACATATACATATACGTATATATACATATATATGCATGTATCATCGATCTACGTGCATGCATGTATGTGATATCATATATAGAATAATTGATTAATACGTGCATGTTGAAATGCATAAGGTGACCAAAATGACGAAAGATGTGACGGAGAAAGTGACGAAAACGGCGGATACCATTACGGATAAAGCCAAAGGCTCCGTCTCCGGCGTTGTGGGAGTCGCCAAGAACGCCACCGATATCATCAAGAACAAGCTCTCCGGCGACTAATTAACGACTTTAATCTATACATACATATATACGCATTATATATATGCATATGTTATATATGTTTCAATTGTAATTCACATAATCGACTGTTGAACCCGTTATGAAAAATTCATGAAATAGAGTTCAGTTTGCGTATCCACTAACACGCAAACATAATGTTGTATAAAGCCGAAAATGGCCATCATAGACATGGAATGGCATGTGGGTAAATATGAAAAGGCTCATGGACAAAATTAAAGGACCGATTTCATGATGGTTGTAGGTAATAAAACACGATGCATATAAAGTCATGGCAATACCGACAAATCTCAAATTATAATATTTGCGTAACTTGGATGGTTGGTAACCATAATTCGGCCAACCAAAAGGTGTAATGATTGACGGCGAAAATAAAAGTTACGTGTCATTATTTATTGAGAAAAAAACTAAAATTCAAAAGAAAGGAAAAAAGCATAATTAAGCTACCGATTTTCTTCATAATAAATTTGATTCTCGATATAAGTATATATTTCCCATTACTATTAATTGACTCTATATATGTCTAAAATCATAACCACAACATGGGACAGAGACGACAACACTCCGGGCTTTAACTCGGAGGTCAGTTTGGGGTTGCTTGCGGCTGAAGCAAACCCGAGGCTGAACGAAATAAAACACAAAAAAAAAACAATGATTTTGGGTTTCAAATGACAAATGTGTGAAAATGTACACTTTTGTCGTAATACGGTATCGGGCTTGACAGAGCTATGACGAGCAGCGAGAGCCTCGCCGGCAAGGAAGAGCGCCGGCGTCAGAAGTGATGGCTCCGACCATGGAAGATGACTTAGCCGCCAGGCTCGAGGCTCGAGCGTAGCTTCCTGAAGCTCCGGCTCCAGAGGGAGTGAAGTATGCGCCGTTCAGAAGCATGTCTCCTTCCGATCTCCAGTTCCATCCCTTCCATTTGCTCGCAGGCGTTTCCACTCTCTTCGTCACCTGTTCAAGAACCATCATCGTCCCGAATCTTTTGAACTTAATTTCTGTTCGATCATTACACATGCTTTTTTTTGGTCGGTTTACCTCTTTGGCAAAAGGGTTTGTCGGAGCGGCGTAACGGTTGCCCTGGCTGTTGATTGTGGGATCTGCGCTTCCACCGATGGCGTACATCTCCCAGTGCGTGTAGTCGTTGTTCACAACGTGGAAGTAGCCATGCCTGCACCTGCAATTTTCTCCCAGCTGATTAGAACAGACAAAAACAAGAACAGGGAAGAGGGTAAATCTTGTTTCGGAGCTGTGTAAATCTTGGTACCTAGGCATTCTCTGAATGAGACCGATACCGAAATGGTTAAAAGCGATGGTCACTTGCATAGCTTTGTCCCTTGTGTAAGAATCGCTGTGTCCAAGCAACATCACCTGTTTCAGAAAAAACGAAGAACATCTTCAGCATTAGGTTATTGATCAGAGGACAATGCTGAAACTCTAGGAAGAACCCTAACCTCGTTATGGTGGGCGAAGTGGTTGTTAGAGATGGTGATCGCTGTAGATCCCATGACGGCGTCAACCAGCCCATCAGCGCAATGAGACAGCGAGTTGTGATCGATCCAGATATGACTCGACCCGAAAATCGAAATGGCGTCACCGTCCGCCATCGTCCTCCACCCGAAATGCGTCTCGGAGCTTCTCACCATGGCGTTACCAGTCGGTTTACAGTCATGGATGTGTAAACCGTGGATGATCACGTTCGTAACGAACTGAACCGTGATGCAGCCACCATTGGCGATGTGGACGTTAGCGCCACGACCGTCGATGGTCTTGAAGCTGTTGACGATGAGTTCCTGTTTCAACTGAATCACCATGTCGCGTTCGAACACGATCCAGAGCGGTCGGTCCTGGACGACGGCGTGTCGGAGAGTTCCAGGTCTAGGGTTGACTGGGTCGTCGTCTCGTGGGTCGGTGACGACGTAGAAGCGTCCGTCGCGGCCGCCGATGGCGTTGCGGCCGAACCCGATCCCGCAGTCGGCGAGGCGTTTGCGGTTCTTGTGCCAGTTCGAGTCGCATCTCCAGCAGTCGTCGATTGGGTTGCCCGTTCCGCAAGAAAAGTACCCTAGCTTCCTCCTCTCCGTGTGATTTCGCATGCTCCTGACATATTTCAAGATTTCCCCTTCTCATATGTTAACTCATGTCACATCGCATAAATCAGCTTAATAATTAATTCCCTTCTAAAGATTAACCAATTGTCCCATTATATATATATGTGTGTGTGTAGCAGATAGTGACATTTTTATTTTTATTTTTATTTTTATTTTTATTTTTATTATAGATAATAGTTGTAACTTCCGTTGAATTGTGTCGGTGGGATTTGATACCATCACTAGATTCTGTAGCTAACGGCAACGGACCAAGACGTTAAGTACAGACAAACAGATTTAAGGACAAAACAAACAAGTTAAGTGGATCTCGTCTTGGATGACCGACAGATACGATACCCATAAAGCAAAAATAAAAAAGGGATAATCGCATTTAAATACCCGAACTTTTACAAAAATCCCACATAAATACCCAAACTATAAAATTGTCATATAAATACATGAACTTTTCATAACTCCCACATAAATACCCAGACTTTTAAATTTTTTCCAAATCAACCACTCATCCGTTAACGGCGTTAAACGTTACTGTTCACTCGACAAAAAACTGATGACTCAGCAATGACTCAGCAAAAAAAACCCGCTGACTCAGCAAAAAGTGTTGACTCAGCAAAAAAATAATATTAAATATTCAAATTTTTATTTACATATATTTAAATTAATATATTCATATAAATTCACACATATATATATATATACAAATATATATTAAAAAAATTATTTATAATTAATAAAATACATATAAAAATATACATATACAATTAATATATATAATTATAATTAGTTATATATACAAAATATACATATACAACTAATTAGGGATTTGTATATAATTATAATTATATATATTAGTTGTATATGTATATTTTGTATATATAACTAATATATATACATATAAATCTTATTTTTAATATATATTATATGTATATATGTTAGTTATAATTAGTTTTATTTTAATATGTATATTATGTATGTATATAAATTTAATTATAATTATTTTTTATTTTAATTTATATGCATTAGTAATGATATATATATATATATATATTGTAGTTATGTGTATATGTATTTTATTAATTCTAAATAATTTTTTTAATATATATATTTGTATATATATATATATGTGTGAATTTATATGTATATATTAATTTTTTGTCGAATGAACAGTAACGTTTAACGACGTTAACGGATAAGTGGTTGATTTGGAAAAAAATTTAAAAGTCTAGGTATTTATGTGGGAGTTATAAAAAGTTCAGGTATTTATATGATAATTTTATAGTTCGGGTATTTATGTGGGATTTTTGTAAAAATTCGGGTATTTAAATGCGATTATCCCAATAAAAAAAAAATATTTTTTTAAAAAATGATTAATTGTTCCACACACGTGATTTATTTGACAAACTAAAAAAAAAAAAGTACCGACAAACAAAATAATTTCATAAAAATGCATACATTGAAATAGGAGGTTCACTGCCCAATGAAGAGTACGGAATCCGTATATGCTACATTGCATAATTTATTGATATACAAGAAAATGGAAAAGATAATACAATTTTTTTATTTTAATGAAAATACGAGTGGTAACACAAAAAGGCATTAAATAAGCCAGCTTTTCATAAGAAGAGGAAATGGCATAGGACTGTGATGGAGTCGGAGGTAGGCCATTAAATTATAATACCCCTCACAAAATAAAACAATATATGTAATTGGAATTCGATGTATAAATACTCAAAACCATAATTCCGATTATGGGTCTGCGCATATAATATACTTTGGTATACTTACATTTCGACCAAAGAGGCGACATGGTCCGCAACTTTGTCCGGATCAGCTACCGCATGTTCGTTCCACTCCGGCTCCTCTCTTGTACATATACAAAATAATTGTAACATATAAATTAAAATAACCAGAAAGCCATAAAGTATTATATACATACATATATATATATATATATATGACACACTGCTCAAGAAAGTCGCTATTCGGAGAAACCGTTAAGGAGCAGTTAATGCGAGAGAGACGGACTGAATTTGATACAAATGGAATATAAAATTTTACTTGCTGCCATTGTTGTGCTGTTTGAAGCTCGGAAGTAAATTAGGAAAAAAGAAAAAGGAGATCTTTTGCGATTTACTATTGCTGTCGGTTTCAGATCTGCGAAAATGTAGTTTGGTTTTGAGCTTTTGATATTACAAACTGAAGATCGACACGTTTTTTTTTCTTGCTCGCGAAAAACTCGTTTTCTCTCATTTTCCCAGCATCCAAACAGGGAAAAAACATTGATCCAAAGAATCTCTCAGAACGGAGGGCAATGCCGACAAATCAGATACGAACTACGAAGAAGCGAAAATTCGATGTAGACAACATAGATCTACTTATTCCGTACAGTCAACTGAAATTTCAACCGAGACAGGAAAATTTTCAGAAATTTTCTCTCGATCCAAACAGAGAAGCAACGAGAGAGAGATAGATACCTAGAGAGAGATATCTTATCCTCCGCTGCGTTCGCCATTGCCGCAATGAACAGCAGAGCGAGGAAACCCCAAGTCCGTTTCGCAGGAACCACCATTGCAGCAAAAAGAAAAAACTCCCCCACTATCTCAGTATCCAAACAGAGGAAAAGGGGAAGGAAACTGGAGAAGAAGGGTCAAAGTGACATAGTACGAGCTTCGACGACTCGGCCCTCTTATAGAATACGATTGAAAGGCTAAAGCACATGAAAAAAGAACCGTTAAGACGGCCGTTGATGTGTTGGTATACGATGTCGTTTCGTCAGGCCTCGCACCGTCACCGACCTTGACGTTTTTTTAACACCTGCAAAGTAACGGCGTTAATTATCTATATGATTTCCTTTTCTAACCACCACTAACTGCTCAATCGCGTTATTTTCTTGATCTCTCCCGCTTTGACCCCCCATTTTTCTTCTTTTTATCTTTTCTCACCAATAATTATTTCCGTATCATTTTAACCCCCCCCCCCAATCCAAAAAATTTTAAATTCTAAAAAAAAATAAAATCGGACGATGTCTAAATGCGATCGGACTTTTGAAAAAAATATAAAACCATGAAGTGTTGATGTGTTTATAAATTTGAGGAATTAGTTTTTATGTTAAAAATAAATGTATTGATTTTATTCCGCGATTGTTATTTTGGGCTACCAATAATCATAGCTGGTTATAAAAGTATTTATTTGCTAAATATGATTTCATGATGCGGAAAATGACCAAATGAAAAAGCAGAAGCAGATTTTGATTGGTTATGAACTGAGGCATTTTCCTTTGTTATCTTCCCTTGGGAGATTCCGTACCGAACAGACGTCAAAGTTTCATGCATAATTTGCGGTGGGAGAACGAAAACTAAGAAAATATTTTCTTTAGATTAGAAAATTTTCCGGGAAGATTTTCATTTTGATTTTCCCAGGCGCCAATCACGGCGTGGGCATGGAGTGGAACTCCGCGTTGACTAACCAACAAGGACAGCAACTCATCTGTTCTTCTCACGAGCTGTTTCACAACGACTCCTTTTTTTTAAAAAAAAAAAAAACATATCAACTCAATTTCTTCTTTGAAAAAAATCATGAAAATTTGTTATACCGATATGATAATGATCATGACATTTAAATGCATATAATTAATTCATATCCATATTTATAGGTTTCATCGATCCATTTTGGGGCAAGAAAAAATCCTCGTATTATAAAAAAAAAAAATAAAAAAATTCCTCGAGGATCAAATGAATTAGTTTGATTTGGCTTTTGGGAGCACAAATAATGGCTCCAATGCACCAACCAACCTCCGCTCATCATGCCAAGCTTGGAAGGATGAAGGCAGTTATTAGGGTTTTGACTCTGTCCGGTTTGGAAGTTAAAAATCATTCCGAGTTTTTTTTTTTTTTTTTTTTTTTTTTTTTTTACTTTTGTCGCATAATGATGCTCCTATGTCGGGTCATGCCAACATTTCATGAAACAGTCCGACGGTCCAGATTTTTTGGTACGGTGAAATTACGAAAAGATTTCACGATGTACACTTGTATATAATCATATATATATATATGTATATTATAAGATTCAAATAACGTATCCGATTGATTAGATATAATTCTATATATACTCCGACAATTATCCGTGGAAAACATTTCGTGTAGTAGTGAGTAATGACGTGCTTACGTATCAAGATACTCTCCACACAATCTTGTGTATATATATGTTTGTAATACATTTATATATAAAATTCGAATACTATATTGGTATATGCGTGGATCTACGTAATGATTTATAATTGTATATTTGTTTTTGTTAAAAACTTCACATGATTTTTATTCGATAAAACGTTACCCCAATATCCCAATATAATATTATATATATATATATATATCATAATCATAAAGAGAGGTTGGATTAGTGGTGAGCTTTATTGAGGCTTTTGTTACTCAATTTACTTTTGCAAAAGTGGAAAAAAGTTGTAAAAGAGAAGATTTTGTTAACCCAAAACTAGCGGCCAAATTGGTCTCTAATTACTATTTTTTTAACTAATCGGTGTTTTTTTTTCTACTTTTCTTTTTATATAATTTATTTTTTTCGTAGATTATTCGCCAAGTGAAAAACAGCCAGAATCCCATTGACGCCATATGTCATATGTGTGTGTATATATATATAGTTTTAATTCGCAATTGTTTTTATTTAAACTCTAATGAATTATATAAGAACCGCTGCATCAATTTTGACCTTGTCATAAACACAACGCAGAAGAAATTTGACGTCCTTAATAATGTCCCTTATATTTTGACTAGAATTTTGAAATTTGAAAACGATAGTCATGAACTAATTAATATGCCTTTAAATGCCATATTTGAATCCACCAAATTTGTGTATGTTTCTGTTGACCAAAATAGTGTTGGATGTGTGATATATATATATATATTGTAAATTTGTAATTGAGTTTTAGTAAATTTTTATATTGATCAATACTTCATATATATATATATATATATACACACTCACAAAGAGAGATATACTTTTTTTTAGGGGTTAAAAAGAATAAAAAATGTACTCATCAATTTAACAGCGTGGAACATATCATTACATTTAATCAACAGGATAACATCCGTAGATGAAATTTAAAAACAAAGATCGAAGTGTGAAATAGGTTTTCATACACACAAATGACAATATACACTCACATACAGTCATTAATTAATGGGAGAAATCGTTAAATAAATGTATACATTGATGTATATGTTGGAAAATTGTTCATTTTATTTTATTTATTAATTTGGTTTCTCACTATATTAGTAGCAGCACCGACAACTTCGAACGTTACAAAAATAGTAGAACGAAGTTCCCTTTAAGTGGGATCCACTGGTGAATGAGCCGATAACCAATTTTCCTCACCCAATATCGTATATAATACATTTTTAATTAATTTTTTTTTATAAGATGTGATTCTTCTATAACCACGAGACCACTAATTTCTCTTTCATTAAAAAAAAAAATACAATAGAGAATCAACCGAAATATAAAAATATCATTACAATTTTATTTGATATTTCTAAATAATAATTATTTACAATTCAATTTAACGTTTACATGAATGAATGATTCTAACCATTTGCGAAGCAAAATTTGTTAGGTTAATTATGACTTAATAATTCGTTTTTGGATCATCTTCTTGATTTTTTTTTTTTTGAAGAATGAATATTGTCACAACCTCTACTCGATTTGTGTGTGTGGCTCATTACAATGTCAATGCATAACCCCACAGATCACATGCTTTCATACGCCATTTGTTCCTCCAACCATCAACAACGCATTCATAATTAGCCGCTACAAATTTCCCAAAATAAAAAATCTACTAGCAATTATTAAATAATATATATATAGGGTTAATTTGGTAATTGTGCGTTGGGCCGAATTGTTGTTTATATTATGCTCTATGGATGTGTGTGGTTTTTCAAGGCCCATAATTGGCCCATCTAGAAACACTAGTGAGATCTCAATTTTGCCACGTCATGCTTACTCTCTCCCCAGGCAAGTTCCACCGCCCCTTAGCTTTAGTACACGCTTTTATCATTTTTTTTTAAATTTTACACGTTGCATTTTTTTTGGTCAACACACACAAACCAGAAAAATGCCTTATTTGATCGAAGAATTGATGTTCGGTATTCAGGTTATCGCAGTTGGAATTTCGGTTATCTCGTTAACCGGACCGGTTAACATTTGAACTGTGTAGAATCGTACTACAAGAATACTCTTTTTTTTTTTTGGGGGGGGGGGGGCGTCACGGAGCTGTCACTTCGGTTTGACACAGACTAACGAAATCAGCAGATCCATCTATCCATACCCAGGAAGAGATCCAAGTGAAAGCAAAAGTTGTAGGGGAAAAAATGCAGTACAACCATTTGGGAAGATCAGGATTGAAGGTGAGCACGCTCTCGTTCGGCGCGTGGGTGACCTTCGGGAACCAGCTCGATGTGAAGGAGGCGAAGTCGATTCTCCAGTGTTGTCGCGACCATGGCGTCAATTTCTTCGATAACGCCGAGGTTTACGCCAATGGCAGAGCCGAAGAGATCATGGGTCAGGCGATTCGCGAGCTGGGTTGGCGCCGATCCGACATCGTCGTCTCCACTAAGATCTTCTGGGGTGGGCCTGGTCCTAACGATAAGGGTTTGTCGCGGAAACACATCGTCGAAGGAACCAAGTCCTCTCTCAAGCGACTTGATATGGATTACGTCGATGTGCTTTATTGCCACAGGTAAAGGTTTGATTTTTTATTTTCTTTTCATCTTCAAGTTACGGGGCCTTTGATTGATTTGATCTGAAGTGTGTTGATTTTATCGATTTAATGAAGTGGGTTTGTCTGGAATTTCTCTTGCACTGTTGTCTGAGCATTTATTTGTTCTGTCTTTTTGTTGTTGTTAATCTCGAGATCTGAGGAGAAAGTATTTAAGGCATTTTTTAACTGCGCCGTTCTAGCTCGTGAGATTTCGTTATACGTACGTGTATTCATGCCGGTTGATAGACTATGCTGAGATCCCCTTAATCTTTTGTGGTGCACAGTTACAAGAATTTGTAATCTATAATAGATTGAGCATTAACAAAGGTGTTCTTGCAGTCTGATGATTATCAGACATTGGATGTCATAAACCAAACCTGTCTAAGATTTTAACAATTTCATATCATTGATCTAGTAGATTAGTTTCGCGAAGATGGGTATTGGTTTCCTTTGTCTGGTGAATTGATCTTTTGGCCAAATAGTCTCGCATCAGTGAGGTATTAGTTTTTTTTTTTGTGGGTGTTTTGTGGATCTGTTAGTTTGTACTGTGTTTTCATTTGATTTTGTTTTGTGGTTGCTGCTGATTGTCCAGATATACAGCTTTCTATATTTATGCTATGGTTTTAGTGATCTGTAAGGAATGTAATTTAAATATGGGAAAAAAGACATCTTTCGTTGTAATGGCGTTCACAATGTTGTTTCACTAGAGTCTTGCAAAATCTACATGACAGATTCTTCTTTTTATGTGTTGTGATTTCTGTGACAGGCCGGATACTTCAACTCCGATCGAGGAGACAGTGAGGGCGATGAACTATGTGATAGATAAGGGGTGGGCATTCTACTGGGGTACAAGTGAGTGGTCAGCCCAACAGATAACAGAGGCATGGGCAGTTGCCGAGAGGTTGGATCTGGTTGGGCCAATCGTTGAGCAGCCGGAGTATAACATGTTCGCCAGGCACAAAGTTCGTACCTAACACCTATCCTTACTCTGCTCGCATATCTTGTCCTAAGAAAGAATCGTTGAATTATTTACATAATTTTGGGAAATAGTGGTAGATCAGATGCAGTTTCGACTTATGTTAGTTCTGTTCTGTGGGTAAACTTACTGCACGTCCACCTCTCTTGAACAGTCTTTTATGCTTTTATTCCATTCTTGGTGCATTAGAGGTACCGATAAACCCAGATTCTTTACTTATGGGTTTGTATTGTGCAGGTTGAAACAGAGTTCCTCCCTCTGTACACCAACTATGGCATAGGTCTTACTACATGGAGCCCACTTGCATCTGGTGTGCTCACCGGAAAATACAACAAGGGAGTTATTCCTCCTGACAGCCGATTTGCATTGGAGAATTACAAAGTAAGGCTTTGCTCGCTTACAAATCAGCTCATGTACATACAGTTTCTTGCATTCTTGGTCATGAACAGTGAATCTGTTGTTGCCCCTGGATATCGAGATCTCTGCTTTTGTATCTAAATTCTCAGGTTAAGCCCTTTACTTGAGCAGAAATGATGCGATCTTTCTTCTGATTTCTTTGTTTGCAGAACCTGGCCAACAGGTCACTGGTAGATGACGTACTGAGGAAAGTTAACGGCCTCAAACCAATCGCGGATGAACTAGGGGTGCCGTTAGCTCAGCTCGCTATTGCTTGGTGTGCCTCAAATCCTAACGTGTCATCTGTCATCACTGGTGCTACGAAAGAGTCCCAGGTTAGTTATTCAAACCCAGTTTCTCATATAAACCATACATCCAATCTTATTCATTTCTATAATCCCAGCTTATCTGCAAAGTTTATGGTGATGGGTTTACCTGTAAATTAAAACACAGCAAAACCCGCTTGCCCGAAAGAACAAACTTGAATTCAGAAACCTAGTACAGTAAAGCTGCTGATAGATTCTTGAATCCAAGAGCTGAAAAAGATTGTGTTTTTTTTCATGATGCAGATCAAAGAAAACATGAAGGCCGTTGATGTTATACCGTTGCTGACTCCTGCGGTCCTGGACAAGATCGAGCAGGTGATACAGAGCAAGCCAAAACGCCCTGAGTCGTATCGGTGAGGAGGATCAGGAGATGAATCTTTCTACTCGATTTCCTGGTTCTTGTTCGTGTTCCGGAAACCGAGAGATCGATCTGGTGATTTGTGTGTCGTTCATTTGATGTCTTATGTTGTTGTACTTGTTACCGTTCTTGGCCTTCGCTATGCATTGGGGACATAGACGAGAAACAGTATCTGTTGTTTATCCTATGTGACAGTGGAAATTATAACGGAACCATATCGAACGGTTCAGATCGCGCTGTTTGGCTTATGTTCCATTCTTTTTGGACGATCTTGACCGTTGAGTTAGCAGTGGTTTAGTTTTTATTTTCTCTTGTAGGCACGACATATATGTTACATGTCATATACATATATATATATATATATGTGTATGTGTACGTGTACATATATACGCATCCATTCACACAGAGCACATATAATGTTTAATTAGAAAAAATGTAAATTACTAATCAAAGACTGTGATTTTAGAGATTTATTACAATTTACAACAGAAGGCCCTGTTTGACTCCTCTGGGCTAAAATTATATGGGGCCTTTTTGAACGAAATAAAATTTTAGTGGCCGCTTAAAATATTGCCAGAAACATTGGGGTGTAATAAAATGAAGTTAGAGGTTTTAGAGAATTGACCCATTGGTGGGCACGCATTACAAAGCCTAGACTCAACCAACCCTATCTTCTTAACCTGACACGTCAAACATTAATTAGACTCTCGACGGAAGTAAAAATACATGTTTCAAAATATTTATAGTTTTTACGTTATTTTTCATATTTTAAAATATTTGTTATTCTTTCAAAATATTTTTTTACAATAATTTTCAATTTCATCTCTATTAAATTCTAATAAATTATTAATAATAATATTGTTTTTATTATTAAATAAAGTTATATATGACTTTTCCTATCTTATCTTAAAAAAATATGTAATAATCTAAAACAATAATTATTTTGAAACGGAGGGTTCAATGTTTTTCATGCAATTTTTCTGGTAAAATATTTAGATGCAATTTAAAGATTAAGGTTTTAATTAAGTCCCAAAATTTAGAGGTCAAATAACAATAAATAATGTCCTAAAATATTAGTTGAAGTGTTTTTTTCCTTCCGGAAAGCATTATCCGATTATTATAGGTTTTAATTAACTCCCAAAATTTAGATGTCAAATAACAATAAATAATGTCCTGAAATATAAGTTGGTGTTTTTTTTCTTCCAGAAAGCATTATCCGATTATTATACAGATACACAAAATATTATCGGATTTTTCGGTCCAAAAGTTATTTTGATTGATTTATTTATCAATCTTTTTGGGTCACGAACCGCCAAACCAAACAGTGCACGGGCCTATATATATATATATCATCTCGTCGGAGAAATTATAGTGTCGTGTTGAACCGAAATTTTCCAAGAAGACGATTCGATTCTGTTCTAATCGGAGAAGATGGAGAAAGCGATCGAGAGGCAGAGGGTTTTGCTTGAGCATCTCCGTCCTTCTTCTTCTTCCTCGCACAATTTCGAGGCTTCTCTCTCTGTAAGCACCCTCCCTCTCTGAAACCCGATCTTGCTTTTTGTTTCTAGGTTTTCGCCGGGAATTCTGGTTTGTTCGTTTGATTCGATGGCCAGGTATGGTTTGTTCAGTACTCATTGGTGTTTGAGCTGAAAAATTATGGCTTTAGCGTGAAGAACTGGGATTGGTTTGATTGTTGAGCGGGTTTGTGGTTTTGATTTGCGACTTGGTTTATGGGATCGAGATTGAATCTCCCTTTTGGTTGTTTGATCTATTGGATAATTTGGATTTCGGTTATTGGTGTTCTGTAGCAAGCGTGCATAATCTTTTTCTTGGAAGTTTCTCATGTCTTTTTGTGTTTGTGGAAAAGTTCTTTTTCCATGCCTTTAAAGTCAAACTTTTCTGATTGAAATCATAAACTCAGAGCAAATGCTACTTTTCCCGACATGCATTTAGCTGTAGGGTTGACAGTTTGTCGTCCAATGAGGTTGCCCTTGCCTTCTGAAATCAATTTAACACAAGATTTTGATTTCTTAACTTCAAACTCTATAATGGTCGGTGTATGTTCTCCAGAAACGTTGTACGTGACAAAAATTTGATACTTTAGATGTTTACCTCTCATCTACGTTGCTTTGGTTTGCATATAATCCGTCTAAAGCTGTCACTATGTGTGCTTTGGCGGACAGTTTCATCTCTCTAATTCATGTTTGTGATTTGCCTGGAATTATCAATACTCTTGTTTAACTGATCTTATTAATGTGTTGTTACCAACTTACCAGGCCTCAGCCTGCTTGGCGGGAGACAGTGCTTCATATCAGAGGGCTTCACTATATGGGGATGATGTTGTGATTGTCGCGTAAGTCTCTCTCTCTCTCGTGTTTTTGTTTCCAAGTTTCTTGTGAATAACCCACCTTTCGGTATCTCACAGGGCATATAGGACAGCACTTTGCAAATCGAAGCGTGGGGGCTTCAAGGACACATATCCAGACGACTTGCTTGCACCTGTTTTGAGGGTCTGCATGCACTATGCCTTCTATTCTTTCTTTGTTGTTATTTTTTTCTCCCTTCTGCTCTGCTTATATGACACCTTCTTGGCTCAGGCGTTGATAGAGAAGAAAAATGTTAACCCGGCTGAAGTTGGTGACATTGTTGTGGGAACTGTTTTGGCGGCAGGATCTCAAAGAGCCAGTGAATGCAGGATGGCTGCGTTCTATGCCGGCTTCCCTGGTTTGTTTTCTTCGAGGCTTGGTCATGCGAATGTTTTGTTATTGTTTTGTGTACTCACGTTGTTATTGGTCCCTTTTTAGAAACTGTGCCTGTCAGAACCGTGAACCGACAGTGTTCATCTGGGCTTCAAGCTGTTGCTGATGTAGCCGCTGCCATAAAAGCAGGATTTTATGACATTGGTACAAGACTAAAACCATATTTGATGACTGAAGTTGTCTTTTCTCGGCACGTTGAACCGAGCTAATGATATATTGAATGCAGGTATTGGGGCTGGGTTGGAGTCCATGACAGCCAATCCAATGGCATGGGAAGGGTCAGTCAACCCAAAAGTACTTTCTCTTTTCTCTTCCTCTTCCATATTTGGGATGTTGTCAAGTTTGCCACCTAGTTTTTTCGGCGTTTGTGTAACTATTATATTATGTTGTTGCAGGTGAAGAGCTTTGAACAGGCACACAACTGTCTTCTTCCAATGGGTGTTACTTCAGAAAACGTAGCAGCTCGGTTTGGTGTCACGCGGGAGGAGCAGGATCAAGCTGCTGTGAGTGTAGTGTGTGAATGTATTCACAACCCCATAGATTCTCTCCTGTGCTGATTCTTGAAGTGGTATTTTTTTTAGGTTGAGTCTCACAGAAAGGCAGCTGCTGCTACTGCTTCTGGTAAATTCAAGGATGAAATAATCCCTGTAACCACCAGGGTATTTACTTGATCCTTCTTGTGGCAATGATAACGTATACTTGAAATTATCATGGCTAATCGATGTTAAATAATCTTTTACTTGTTAATGATCCGTGTTTCATGTTTCAGATTGTTGACCCAAAGACCGGCGATGAGAAGGCCGTGACAGTCGCTGTTGATGATGGGATTAGGCCGAGCACAACCCTTTTGGATCTTGCGAAGCTGAAGCCTGTATTTAAGAAGGACGGAACCACGACTGCTGGTTCGTTCGTTACAGAATGAATTGTTTCGCTGGAGGAAGAGATCTGTGCTCTTTGCATTATATTAATTCACCTAACGTTTGTCTTTCATATTTGATTGAAACAGGAAATTCGAGCCAAATAAGTGATGGAGCAGGAGCTGTTCTTCTAATGAAGAGAAGTGTTGCGATGCAGAAAGGACTGCCCATTCTTGGTGTATTCAGGTGGGTGTGACATGACATTTCCTCTGCCCGTTAACTTTGAGTAGCGCCCCGCCGCCCCCTCAGGTAAGATCTTTCCGACAACATTTCTAGCATCCTAAGCGGTTCTCCTCCATACTTGTAGGACATTTGCTGCGGTTGGTGTAGACCCAGCAATCATGGGGGTGGGACCAGCTGTTGCCATTCCTGGTGCAGTTAAGGCAGGCGGCTGGTCTGGAACTCGATGACATCGACTTGTTCGAGATCAACGAGGTAAAAAAAACAGAAGAATTTTAACTTCTTTTCAAGATCTCTTCTTCGACCATAGGAGGGTATGATAATTCTGTGTGGGTGTAGGCATTTGCATCGCAGTTTGTGTACTGCCGGAACAAGCTGGGACTTGACCCAGAGAGGATAAATGTCAATGGAGGAGCCATGGCCATCGGACATCCGTTGGGCGCCACAGGGGCGAGATGCGTGGGGACATTGTTGCACGAAATGAAGAGGAGAGGGAGAGACTGCAGGTACGGGGTGGTGTCGATGTGCATTGGGACTGGGATGGGCGCAGCTGCTGTGTTCGAGAGAGGTGACGGAGTGGACGACCTCTCCAATGCCCGTAAAGTGGAAGCCCATGGCTTTCTCTCCAAGGACTCCCGTTAAAGACCCTCTCACCCTTTCTCTCCATTACAAATAAATATATTCAATGTCTCTGGTCTATATATGCCTCTCGTAGGAATTTGCGTCTGAACAAACCATTCCCGCTCGTTAAAGACTACTTCCAAAGTGTTCACCGTTGGAGATTTCATCTCTCCCTTGTCGGAATAAATGGAAACAAAGTTCATATTTAGCACGTCTATCTTCAGCAGCTGCATCGTTAACACTTTTACCTGTTGGACATTCATCTCAACCTTAAAATTACCTTCCTGGGGATAACTATATTCTTCCTAAAGATCCCCCCCCCCCCCTTTTTTTTTTTTATAACTATATTCTTCCTAAAGATCCCCCCCCCCCCTTTTTTTTTTTGGTTTGCTTCCACTTTTTACATTTCTATAGAGATTTTCGTTCTCTCAAGGTACCCACTTTGATGAAGATGCCAAATCCTACTAAGTTTGCAGTATGCACCGGTTTAGGACCATTGCCTGATATCCGGTCTTTGGAGTATTATCACAGTAGAAATTCACGCATTCTAACAGGTCTCTTCACAGCATTCGTGAAACCCTGCAAGGACACGCAATAATCAGGAAAATTAAAAAAACGGATTGGTTTTTTAACAGCCGGTGGGTGCCGGAGTGACCAAGTGTTGGCAAAAGTGAACGACATACCTCGTTAAACTTGAAGAGAAGCGGTCTCGAGTCTCTTTCTGCGGTTGCAGCCTTCGGTCCCACCCCATCTCGAGAATCTTTTCTCGATTTCCTAAACCTGTTTATCCACTAAAAGGTTAGGACGATTACATACATTGCTTGAACACCTACTTTGCAGGCTAGAATAACACAAGTGAAAGTTTTCAGTTGCATGGATACTTCTACTCATCCATGGTTTTTTCCCTGTGAACTGAAGCTCCAGCACATAACAAAAGGGAAAAAAAGAAAGAAAGTGAAGAACAACGGGAAATCAAAATTTGATCACCTGTCAAAGAAATTAACGGCGGCGCGTGAAGGCTTTTTCACATCTTTAGAGTTGGGTTTTGAAGTTGGAGCATTTGCAGAGGAAACCAACGGAGGAACTTCAGAAGTGCTTGCATTTCGTCGAACCTCACTTGACGCGACATTGGATTTCCCGTTCAAGTCGTGGTTTCTCTTGTTGGTTTCCTGATTGTCCACGATCAGAGATCTTCCAGCGCTTGATTGCAAAATCCTTTGCTTCTCTACCTGAGTTTGACATTTATAACAAGATGTTAGCTGAAGCCGAGCAAAACACCTGCCTGTACTGAGATGTTAACTGAAGCCGAGCAAAAATCCTGTCTGAACTGAGATGAAGCCAGAGCAAACGTGAACAAGCTACACACCTCATGTACCAGCACCTGCTTCATTGCTAAGGCAAGCCCACGATGACTGTACTGGTGGCCCTGTCAAACATCGGGGAGAAGACGAGTGTTAGTACAGAGGACAAAACTAGTAGAAGCTGACATGTAAAAGAAGCACAGGTACCTTGAAACTAATGAGATCGAACAATGGTGGATCTAAAGCAAGAGTCAAAGCATGTGAAGCAGCATCCTCTCTGAGGTTACCCGAAGCAGGATTGGGTTTCACATTCTTATATGTGACAGAATAAGAAACCATTACGCTTACTAGTTCTGCTAAATCATCCTTTTCCTTGTCTGATAGTAAGTGTAATGCCACCTGAGGAACAGAAACCAGAGACCTCAACTTTAACAGACAGATAGTATGAACATCAGAGATGAAATCAGAAAGCCGAAGAACAAGAGAAGTTTGGGAAAGACAACAGAATGAGAATAAGAGATGAGCATTCTGGCCATATGGCAGGAAAACCTAAGGTATAACGGAGGAACAATAAAAATATATATCAGATGTTACTATCAACATTAGGACTATTTAGAAAAAAAAGAAACTGTAAGTACAAGAAAAAAAGGAACGAATATTAGAATTACCGGTCTAAGAGTTGGTGGAGAAAGAATGTGCAATAACAGAGAAACAGAGTCTTCTACAAATGATTTGATTGACAAATGCCTCCCGATATAGGGTGGGATTTTGTGGTGCCAAGACCGCAAGGACTCCTGCTTTTCCGTCAATAACGTTCTACATCTGGAGGGTTTCATTTGGAACAATAGTGATAAGCGGGAATCCCTTGGAAAGTTTCATGTTAAATAGTAAAAGATGATAGTGAAATTACCTCTGGTGAGACTTCGGCCACTCGATGATTGGTTTTTGAATTTGAGCCACATTACTATGAATAGAAATCGCAAGACTGGGAAAATAAACTGCAGCGAAATGTCAGAAAGGAACACCATTATAAGATTCAATAATTGTCCGAAATCCTAAGGCGGATAAGGATTGGCTTTGTAAGTGTTACCGTAAAGGGGCATTTGCTGAGAGCGCATGATATATCGATGCAGCATATCGGAAGTTCCAAGACAGTCCAAGCACCTTGCCTGTAAATTACAGTGGGTTAGTCCATAGGGTACATCATGTTAAAATCTAGAACAAAATAGCCACGTAGGAATGAAACACATGAGCCTTACTGTCTTCTCCATCACTGGATCATGATAACTAAGCTGCAATATATTTTCATGTATACCATCAAAAATCAAATCATAGTCGCCCCTGCACAGTCAGTTAACTTGTTAAGCAGGAAGGAATAGATTGATCAGACAAAGAAATGAAATGTGAAAAATCTAATCATTTTCTCGCACATACCGACTGGATATTAGAGAGTGTAGAAAGTCAAATCTGTTGCTCATACTGCCTGTAGTATCATTTCGTTTCTCCCGTTTCATTTTTCTCTTATGGAACAGCTACAAAGGAGAAGCATACTCAGCTATGAAGTAACATTACCAGGAAGCAAGATGCTGGATATACTTAATTCTGCATAGTTACCTCTTTCCAGATATCAAATAAACTCTTTGACACATCTTTCCGGCCAACAACTTGAGATCCGATATCCACCTTAGAGGTAGAGAACCACATAACTCATATCAGTTATGACAAATGGTAAATCAAACAAAATGCCAAACTGCCCTAGGATTGAAAATGTCAAATTATTACGAGAGAATCCCTCTAAGCCCACAAGAGTCTTACCACATTGAGTGCTTGTTTCTTCTTGTTGAGAAACTGAAGAGTGTTCAAGCATGCACGTATATCACATTCTGTGACCCCCGAAAAAGGACAAAACAATCGTTTAGGAAACAAGAATATGTCAAATAAAAAATTCGGTCATACAGTTAAGAACATGTGGAGAGTGGACCATATAACAGGTCAGGGACTAAATCATAACAAATAACATGTACAGTGTACTTTGAGAAGGAAGATGAAAAAGATACCAGTGTATTCTGCTAGAGCAGTCATGGCAAATGAACTTGTTCTGATCCCCTCCTTGTTACAAATATACTTGAGCCTATTGTTGCACATTTCAGCACAGTAAGGTGATAGTTAGGACATTATAAATATGCGCAGATGATCAAAAAATGGATCAGTTTTATATTTGAATATACTTTACCAAATACCACAACCCAAAACAGTCTCCAACATTCAATATCTACGAAATACAAACTTCATGATGCCAACATATATTATTAAGTTTCTATTAGTTACATGAAATCAAATCCCGTTCGGTGACAAATATTCTGAACCTAAATCCAGATTGAAAATTTAATTCTAACATGTTGCTGAAAATTGATCAAACAGTTATCAACTATAATACGATTAGCCCATAACGAATTGAATGTTTAAAAATTCACATGCATTATTCAATGTGCTTCACTTTGTTGCCACTGGAAACACATCAAAATTCTAAATTGTAATGAATGAGAAAGTTCCTCACCCTATCTACCTCCTCCCCCCCCCCCAAAAAAAAAGGACAACTGAAATAATTCATTCTAAGTTTCTTGTGTGCATACCCCTGCCATGAAAAAAGAGAGAAAAATTTACCTATTTACCACACGACTCACTGTTGGTTGAACAAATATATGAATCCTGAAGAAGAGTGAGCAGTGAGAATTTGCCATCAAAATTGAGCGAAAGGTTTATTAAGAATGAGCATTTCATAAGCAGTTGACATCAGCATTTATTGCATATAATTAAAAAGTTCAGAAACAGCATGCTCCCATGAAAGAAAGGAAGATACTCAAAGTGAACTAATAGCAAGCAAGACTTACTTTGCTACTTGTCGCAAAGGTCTAAGAGCAGGTGCATACAAATCATTACATATGCAAATGACAGGTCTTGAAAGCGACGGTGTTTGTCGCTCCTTCTTTGAGGATGTTTTTCCTGACTGTCCATTTGCTATATTTTCCTTGCTCGTAGCACGGTTCCTTTCTGCTGATGCCTATGCATCCAATACACAATTAAATATCAAAAAAGAAAAAGAAAACCTCGGAGCTGATCTAGATATAATAATTAAAGCGGCCAAGTCTAGTATTAGTTGGTAAATAAAGGCCCAGAAGGCACCACCATAAGACAAAATGGCAGCAGAAGTAGGAGACAATTGGCAACCAGTATTTATAATGGCGGGGAGAACCAAAAACAACAGACTACTGTGCAATTACTTTGCAATTTTTATCGAATTACAAACAAAAGTAGGCGAGATACTAATATGCGTGCTTATAGGTACACCTTACATTTAAATGTGCATTAGGAATGGAAAAGAATGAAGTGCTGCCAGTCAAAACTCAGCAAATTGCAAATTTAACCCTCCAACAGCAGACGATTCTCCAGTCCAATACAACATGAATATACATACCATTTTTAAAATAACATCAACCGCTCCTTTTCCTTCGCCAAGAGCTCCATCTATTTCATCAATGACCTACAGAAATGCTAGTGAGTTTCCTCCACTTTGAGCAGCTGTCAGGAATCCAATCAAAGGTTCAAAGAGAATGCAGACAAGGTAAAGCATACCAAACATTTGGGTCTTGAATCAGCAGTAACAGAGTTCATCTGAACCACATCGAGTATTTTAGCCTCAATTGTTGAAGATGATCGCTCATCGCTTGCATTAATCTGCATTCACAACATGAATTGAGTTAACGCAATTTAAAAGGCAACCTAGAACCACATTGATAACACAGTTTATAGGGATTCAATGTGCGAAAGCCACAAATACATGAAAACGTAGTTTTTCGGCGTCATGCAGGCAAGCAAAATCTGTGAGATGTCTCACGTTATTCCAACAATTGAAGAGTGCTTCCAGAACTCGACAGATTTGACCTGTACCAGTAAAGGGTATAAAGGTTTACCTCCACAACTCGATATCCACAATGTTTAGCAGCAACATGTGCAAGTGTAGTCTTTCCAAGCCCTGGAGCACCACAAAGCAACAGGATCTACAGCAGTAATGACCATTAAGATTAGCTTGGACATCACGTGCTAATTGCTTTGAATTTTACAAGACCAAACTTAGAGATAGATTGTTCAATCACTGACCTTCTGCTCTGGGGGGGCAGTGATTTTCGACTTTTTACTGCACAAGTCTTGCATGTCTCTAACATTACTATTTCCATGATCTGGATTTTTATGAAACCTAGAACTTCCGTTACTCCACCTATGCAGTTGGTTATTCCTTGTGAAAGTTGAACCATAAGGTCTCTGATGATGACTAGTAGTAGAATGTCGTTTCAGAGCAGACAATACCTCATCAGAGGTGCTCCTAATTTCAGAGCCAAAAACAGAAGCATCCCACTGTTTCAGCCATAGCAGAACCTGAGGGATGTCATTTGTGGAATCTATGAGTAGCTCCAATTAGATTTCAGCCTCAAGTCACTGTATTGATTCAGCAATTATCTACGTACAATCTCAGCAAATAGCTACAGAATACCTCGCGGTTTGTCTGCTCATCACTGAGAAGCTCAGTGAATGAACTTGGAGAGTATTTGTCCACCCAGAGTTTTTCATGAATTACAGATGTTTCAGTGGGAACAGCAGCATCATTCTGATCTTCAGAACTAGATTGCAAGACCTTCAAACATCAAAAGATGGCACCTACCGATTAGGGCAGATACAATACAACAATCAATGATGAATGGTGACTATGCAAACTATGAGTCATGCCATTCGTACACATTAGAATGGAAATCAACAAAACTTTTTGAAAACCAAAAGCTAACGATACTGAAAAATGGCCCTGAAAGTCACAAAAATTAACACATCAAGTTCAACGAAAAAGCACACACTTACCCTGTTGAATGCCTCTTGTTCTGATTTTTGAAGAAGAATGCTGATGGGTTCGGAGATAAGACCTGCAATGTCAATGGAAGGTAAACTAACCACCAGGACAGAGAGAGGGCAAAGGAGAGGCTTTATGTATGCCCTAAAGGAATTGCAATTGAACACTCTTTCACTTGCAGCTAAAACCAAGAAATCCAAGTTCATACAGAGGATTATTCATTTCTGACTTTGCAGGCAATAAAAAAGATAACTTCGAAACCACACAACGCAGAAAAGAGAAAACTTGAAAGTTCTTCCTACCATTAGTTTTCCCTTTCATATCAAGTTTCTTCACTCTCTCGTCTCCATCGGCCCGGCAAATCTTCGCGTAAACCCTCTCTCCTCCATTTGGTGCAGTGACCGGAACGCATTCTCCATCAATCTCAGAAACATACCTAAAGATTCCAAGAAATTTCAAGAGAAAATATAAAGTATTTCGAAACTCTTCAGATGATACACCTCGCAAACATTACCTGGACAAAATAGTCTCCGGCGGAATCGTCTCTTCTTCCTCTTCCATAGCTTGGTCGTTATCCTTCCCCGGAGAACGTCTAAGCCAGTCTTCATCGTCGGAATTTCTCCGATTATCGAATTTGCTTCTCTTCTCACGAGACGGCGAGATTCCGCTGCCGTCACAAGGCAGATCGGGAGTTTGCGACCTGGGGCGTTTGTAGCCGTTGAAATCATCGTCAACAAACGGCAGAGATTCCGGTTTCCTAATCTGAGGTTCATTGAACTCGACGTCGTCTTCTTCGTCGCCATCGATTGGGTAGGGTTCCGGCGGGTGGAAGTCGAGGTAGTCATCTTCTTCTTCAAGGAAGTGAGAGTTGGCTTCGAGTAGCTCGAGCTCCTCCGGTAATGGAATGTCGAAGTCCATATCTCGTTGACGAGACGTAACGTAGTTTGGTCAAGATCGATGAGGAAAGCTGGACTGAGGGATCGGGAAATGGGTGAACGCTGAGAGAGAGGGAGGGATTTTGGCGGGAAAGCTATGGCGGATGGTGCAGTAGGGTTCGAGGCCCAGTTTTGATTGGTCCATAAGATTTTAGGCCCATTTCATGAGAAATATGCGGCCCATGATGCTTTTCATTTTCGCCCCATATCTCTCTTTTTGTACCACCACCGACCATGGGTCCATGGTTGATATATCAAGTTAAAATAAAGTCGATTGAGATTAAATTTTCGATGCATATGAATATGATGCTTTAAAATATATTGTAAATACATTGTTAAATATAATTATATATATACACACACATACATAAATGAAAAAAAAACGTTCGAAAATAACCAAATGGGAAGAGAACTTTTTTTAATCACCAAAACTATATGAAAACCACACGATCATTAAAACTAGCCAAAGCAAATGCAGTGACAACAGCCATGGAGACAGCGAAACTTCAAAAACATATTTTTCTCGTTTCTTTCTCCCCACAGAAAAGACAGCCAACAAGTTCAAAGAATCCATTTCAACAGTTCCCATGAATCACTCGAAAACTTGGCTAAAGACTCTCATCATGACGAGTATTCAAATGGCTGCGGAGGTTGAGGCTCGTCATCTACAGCCATGGCTGAGCCAGTGGCTACGTGTTGCTGGGATTGACCAGCACCGGCTGCACCGCTTGCTGGTGACGTGGTCGAAGTGGGTGCATCGGTCAAGGAAAGAACCTCCGGCTCGTTTGGACGCAAGTCTCTCATAAGGACGAATCCCGACGTGGCTTGCTTCACTGGAACGTATCGGCTATCTTCCATGAACTTTATGTACTTCTCCTGTGCAGGAACTACTCGTGCCGGGTTTACCAGAATCTCAAACGATGGCTCGGGTTCAGCCTTCTTCTCTGCTGCTGCTGTCGAGCTATCGACCTGACAAACATGGAGAAATGTCTCGAGAGATCGAATCACGAATAGTCCAGTCATGGAAATATGTTCCTACATTACCTACCTGCATCGAGTCTGCATCCTTTTCGGTCGATGATTTTCCTTTTCCAGATCCGCTCTCATTGCCGGACTTTTCTGCGTTTGCTGCCACCTTTTCGGCGTTAGCTTTCTGCTCTGCTTCTTTCTTAGCCCTAGCTTTGGCTTTGGCCGAGGTCGAGAGCACAGCAGTCGGTAGTTTGGCAGCAGTATTGGCGGTAGGAACAGTGGTTGGCTTCGGGTACTCGAACAAAGATGGTTTCGCATTGGACAAGAACTCAAACTTCGGGACTTTGAGATCGTAGTTCAAACCGATGAAAGCGGTCGGGGAGAATGCCAAGCTTACGAAATAGATCAGAGGGTACCAGTACCAGAATTGGCTGAAAACAGCAAGGCCGATGACCGCAGTGATTTTGTCGTGCTTCGTCTTGGAAAGCAGTCGAATAGTGACGTTCCTCCCACCTGCATCGAGTATCCCCGAAGCCAAAATCGCTCCCATCTTGCTCATCGTATCCTCGTGCTTGTCGAGTATGATCTTTTCAAGTTGACGCCTACAAAAAGGAATGATAAATCGAAAATCATTATACCAAAAGATTAAATCATTTCGCTGCTGAGGGAATGAACAGATACCGAGAAGCTACACTTGCCTAAATGCTCCGACCCGGGAATCGCTTGCCTCACTGATCTGGACCATAACCATGGCCATAGCTATTAGAGCACCCTGACGAACAAAGTCGACTACATCTGAGGTAAGTGGCTCCAACAATGATATAGCCTCACTCAGGCCAGTGCCTGCGCATGATATTCCAACTGCGAGAGCGGCACCATACCGAACGTGCGGATTGTATGACTCGGAAAGCAAGGATACAATGCGAGGGGTCTGCAGATAAAAAAACAGAATGATTCACTAGTGAGGAGGATAAGAGTACATACGAAATGGGAATTCATAGCAAGATGAAGAAAACTGACCTGCTCCGGATCAGAGTACAGGACAAATCCGAGGGCTAGGACAGCGGTTCTCCTAACATCATCGCTGACATCAGATACGGCAAAGTGAAGCAGCTGGCGAATGGCCTTGTTGTTAGCGGTTCCACAGTAAGCCAGGGCCAAGGCATACATGCCACCGTAACGAAGGATAGGGTCCTGATCTCGAGTCATCTGCTCAATCAACGTATCTGCTCCCTCTTCTCTACCATATACCGTAAGGGCAATACCTAATGCCAATCCTCTGGGAAAAAAGAATTATTCGAGATGCTAGTTTATTAAGTGCTTACAAAGCAAACCATGTTACCAAAAGGATGATCATATGATACTCTTTTATGTTACCTTATTATCTTCTCATGTTGTGTCTCATGAGCATAAGCAAGCATCTCACTTGCCTTTTCAGTTGCTGTTCCAACCAACAGTAAACCCATACTGATACCGGCAGCTTCACCAGCTACAGCACTGTCAGTGTAAAGCACACTTTTGATATCATCGTATATGTCTTCATCAGCCGTTCCCAAAGCTGCTAAGCCAAGACCTAAGCAAGCTCCATGTTGAATGACCTGCATCCATTTTAATCCCCAAAAAAAATTTTGATTCCCTGTGTAATAAAGGAAATCAAGGGAGATTGTCCACAAGTAGGAATAAGGACTAAATCATCACCTCAACACTAGTGCTACGTAGGCTATCGCGTAGAAATTGTTTGATTCCTTCTCCATGGTTGGCATGAATAAGGCCAAGAGCATATAAAGCGCCACCTTCAGAGTAAGGACTTCCACCACCACCGGCTCCTCCCTGAGGTAAGTAAGGGGCCATCAGTGACCTACCTTGCTGCAGGTGACCTCTGTGAATAACACCTAATCCTGCTGTAGCACTGAACTTAGCCCAATTGGTGGCCCTGCTTAGCCAATCCTGCCAATTCACAGAAAGGAAGGAAACAAAGAAGTTGAATATACATTATACTACACAAGTTCAATATACTCAGAAGGGTTAGTGTTTGGTCACACAAATATGAAGTGAAATTGTTTTACCAAGTTCTCTCTAAGAAATGTATCCACTGTTGTCCCTGCATGCATTATGGCATTAGCATAGATTGTAGCACTGTGGCAAACACTGTTCCGCATCTCAACAGACTGCTTGATCGTCTTCAGGATCAGCAGATCAGATCTATAAACAACCAACACATATCAATAATATAAGTATTTATATGCCGGTTTACTTCACATAAGATAAAAGAATATTTTTTTTAAAAAAAAACTCCTTTTAGAGTATGAATTTATTTAGAGAAACAGCCGTACTTGTTATGGCTGAATAGAAATTGAAGAGTCAACTGTATTGACGTCTCTCCAGATAAAATTCCCTTAAGCTTTGTTAACCTCTCAGCATATGTAGCTTCAGAAGGATCTGTTTCTTGCACATTTGTCACAGATGGAGTGCCATCCACCATCTGAACATCTCCTGAAGGAGTCTCACCCTGAGCAGTAGTAGTTTCAACAGCCTGAACTGCTTCAGCCAGACGAATCTTGGGAGCCGGAAGGCGGTCTCTAACATTCAAGAGAAATGCCTGGTGCTCGTTCTCCACCAGATCAAAAGCAATTTGAAACGCCAATAAAGCATCATCCTTGTTCTCAGAACGTAGGAGCTTCTCCAAAATGCTTGCAACACCTTGAGGTTCATCCAAGAACATAAGGCATTGACAAATGCTCAAATAATCTGGAGAAGGAAGCTTCTGGTAGACATTAACAAGTAAACGAAGCACCTACAAAAAATGAAATCAATAAAATGAGAATGAAATCATTTTTTGCCAAATCAGGATTGAACTAATTAACCTAGAGAAGTAATTTTGCAATTGAACATTGTCATTGACAAATTTCCAAGTATGACATTTCATACAGTAATAAGAGACTCACCTCGTGTCTATATTCTCTGCGGTTGACAAAGGAATGAGAAACATTGATGCAGTACGATAAAGTTCCATGAACGTTATCACTTTTTGTGATAGCTTCCTCCAATTTATCCAATCTCTGGCATTCTATCGCGATGCCCATCGCCTGCTGATACTTCCCATCGCTAATACATCTGCAAAACAACAAGCCATATAGAGCAATTGAAGATCCAAAGTTGAAAGTTCATAAATACAATAAACTCCCCATACTTGTCAAGCATTCTTTCAACAATGGTCTCCAATCTGGGGTCAATGATCACCTCCTCATTAGACTCAACCGCCTTTGACCTGAGGCTAGCATACTCATCTATAGCTTTGGCTGAAAACATAACAGAAGTACCAGATCAGTAAACATTTAACATTGACCTGTTCACATCTCTCAAATAGTAAGTAAAGTAGATATGTCAACCAAGTTGGTCTCAAACTTGGCCATGGACTTACACGGAGCATATCTAGTTCTTTTCCTTTCCTAACCAAACTCGAGGAGCATATCTAACATTGATTTATTTCTATTGTAAGCTATATACTTATTCTTGAAATTATGTTCCTATCATATGTTCCATGTTACAGTGACACAGTCATTGTAATCCTAAAATACAGTGCTGGCTGACATGTGCAAGAAGGAAGGAACATGATAAAGCTTCAGGATCCTTACCCAGGAGCGTATGGACATAATCAGAATCTTCTGAGACATCAAATAGGGACCTAGCCCCAAGGGCATAAGACAGTGAATCATTAAGCTCACCCAAATAATAGAAAACCTGAGACAAGATTCACAATCATTATGAGAAACGTATCCTGTAATGCAATCCCATGTATCCTCCACTAATATGTAGAGAACAAACCATTTTTATAACCAAACACCTCGAAAGTTTAGCAAAAGCAAAAGCAAAAGCAAAAGCAAACCTTAGAGACAAGCAATGCAGCAAGTTGTCTCTGATGTTGATCGAATTCTTCATCTTCGTATAAGCTCTCTCTACAGAACAGAATTGCTAGTGCGAGTCAGCTATCAAACATTGAAGATCATTGTTGAGATTAAAGTTAATAGTATCAGAAAACCGGAGTCATGCGCCTATACAGCCTGTACAACTTCAGCTCATAACCTTGACAAATAAAATGATGAATGGACAGAACCACACATCCACATCTAAAGGACCAAAATTTTCACGAAATGATATCCGTAAGAGGACATCAAACCGTAATAAAGCACATAGTAAATTCAGGTTGAAGGTAGAACTCTTTATTACATGAGGATGACAATCGAATGGTCATTCAGAAACTAGAAAACCAACCTCTTCAACTTAACAAAGCTAAATCGGCCCCCACTCAATTGCCCAAGGCTCATTTCCAAGTCTATGAACTGAAGCATTACTTAATAGCTCATGAAATTTTTCAAAATTTTCCGGAAATTCCGATGGCCCGAGTACGAGGGGACTAAAAGAACGATAAATCGCATGAAATCCCACGATCTCTCCCAGAATCGCCCACCGAGCAAAACAGATCAAGTGAAAAACCCTAATACAACAAGAAAACCCCAAACCAGAAAAAGTTCGAAAGGGAGTACATGATAGGGACGCTAGTGGAGATCTCGGGCCAGAATTGGTCGACCAAGCTGTTGAGATACGAGAGCGCGTGAAGCTTCAACGAAGGATGTGTTTCGTTGAGCATTGCCAGTAACCCTCCCGCGGAACTCACCATCATCGTCGCAGCCATAGCTCAGAACTCTTCGAAACCCTAGCTCAGCGAACGTAATCAGACGAATAGAGGCCAATCTTCGGAGAAGTCAAATATAGAGCGAGATTCGAGAAACACAATTCTCGGGTTTTCGCCCAGAGCAAAAAAAAATCACAAGACGGAGAGAGAAGAAACACAAGCCTGGAGCTTTTGGATCTCTTCTATAAGGGGAACTTGTCGAATATTAAGAAACGTACCCGACAAGTCAAGAAATTAAAATGTGTCCCAACTGAATAGATTTATTATACTTTAGCCCCTAAGGTAACGTAAAATGAGTTATGGGCCCCCGATTTCCCAAAACTACCCCCAATAAAACTGAATTTTATGATTAGGCCCTTGCGTCTTGTCACCATGATCCCTTTGGGGGGGGGGGGGGTACAGAATTTCTTTTCAGGTCCTTCATCTGTTGCTGCATGTCTGTTTTCACCACTCTGGTAATTTTTCTTTATTTTATAATTTGAATCAAAAACTCGTCATTTATAATTTGTGTTGTGAATGAAGGAAAAAATAATGAAGCAGGATGTTAATTACGACGGAGAATCTTAAATCCAAGAAAAAAGAGGCGTTTGAAATCAAGATTGCTGACAAGTAGAACGCGACGGACTTCTCAATGAAGAAACAAACGTACACGTGACAGAACCACGGAAAACAAAAACCAAAGTGGAGAGTACAATGGACACAAAGAGCGACAAGGCGAGAGAATCTTCCACTTTGATTTACCCAACAAAGAAAAGAAGAAGGGACACTACGAGACACTGTTCATCCACCTCCGCGACCATCAGCCATTTCTTCATCCACTATCTATCCATCTATCAGTGACTTGGCTTTTGCAAACGATCATTGGGGGGTTTTCTTAAACGTTTCATCAGTACATTCGTTGTATACACAAGGGATAGATGAGAAAGGTTACAGTACTACAGAGGAACAAGTGAAACGCAGAGTCAAAATTCATGTACCGCAACAAAAAAGACTTACCCTAAAACCCCCTCTGCTGTTCCTTGTAACCTTCTCTTATGAGCCTATGATTTGGTCTGGTAGACAAAGGATCGGTATCGGTTTTGGGTACACATATCCTCCGCTATGTTACAGACCCATTGGAACAGGCTACACAAGATTTCCTACTTTTGCTTTACAATGTTAAGAAAAACGGATTATGGAAGCTAGAAATGGAACCCACCTACCAACCCTTGTAAGCTGATTCATGATAATTAGCAGGAAATGCTATAAAAGCCTGAATAATCCTTCTCTAATGGTCCACCTTCTTCCACTCGTAGCGTCCTGGCAGCGGTTTCTCGTTAACGGGATCAAAGTTGTACCTGAAATAAATAAATAAATTATCAGAAAATGGAAAACGAACTAGATGAACAAAATTGACCGGCAAAGTTTTAAGTACTTTTGAATGAACTGTCTTTGCTGTTCTTCCTCGGGACCGGAGAAAAACTCGTCCATTTCATGTGTTGTTGGTAGGTTACGGCCTGGCAAACTCTCTCCTCTTCGGCTGGCGTCCATTACATCACGGTTAGAGCTTGTGGATGATCCTTGGTTCCTTGCAGTTTCCTGATTCCTTATCAAACTGCAAGGAGTAGATTCCCTTGTGGACCTGTAGGGGAGAGAAAAATAGAATGAAATAAACAATTGGCATGTCATATTATACAAGGCTCCCTCAAGGAAAAGCAAACAAACTTTATTTCCTTTATCAGTGGCAAATGCAAACAGCTTCAATTTCCAGATTCAAATAAAAAGATGATATTAGCTAGATAAAAAGAATAAAAGCAGCCTATGTGAGCAAACTTCAAGCGAAATGGCTTCCACAGCAGCCAAAAAACCAACACAAATACAGAATAAATGCAACTCCAAGAACAAGTGCCACGCTTTTAAGTTTTAACCAATCTTAACATCAAAACCCCGAAAACAAGTGAAGATAGCTAAAAACAGTTACAAAGTTCCAAATTATACAGACCCGTCAAAGTCTCTACAATCATACCTTGATATCTCAAGTTCAATTCACAGAGCTATATATATACATATACAGAACTTATAATTCTGAATCTACATCCTAAACTTCTAGCCAAACAAGATGACCACTGACCACATTCCCCTATAAGCTTTTTATGCAAGGAAGAAATCTGCACAAAGTTACAGAGACATTTCACTTACAAATGCAACATTCTTTACATAAAGGCACATAAAAAGTTTCATGAAAAACCATTTGTCACTTTCACCTTCCTACTACATACGTATTTCACCGTATTCTCTCAAGAAAAGATCCCGTTTATTCATCTAATTTTCCCAGAAGCAGAGAGAAGTACGGCGTGTCAGGAAAAGAAAAGCTGAAAAAATCAGATACAGGAAAAAAGATATATTTCAAATCGGAGAATTGAAAACCCCAGTTTCAGTTAGTAGCAATGGAGAATTGAAAAACCCTTATTTTTCTTTTTGCTGTAGAAGTGGGTTTCAAACAACCAACAGAAATCCAAAATCAATAGCAAAATTTTCCAGGACTTTCTCTTGATTTTCTCAGCAACCAAACAAAGTTCAAAAGGCAAATCCCTTCAAAGACAAAGTTCACATAAAATTTTGCGTGAACTAAAACACTTGTATTAAAGAAAATCCCTTCAAAGACAAATTCAAGGCATGCGAGAAATCCCTAAAATTGTGGGAGGATGAAGAAAAACCCTTACCTTTCCTTGTCGACTTCTCCATCGACTTCCTTTTCGCCGACCAGCAAATCCTTCTCCTTCGCGCAGACAACACTCTCGGCAACCGAACCCGAGCGAGACCCATCGCCACCAGAGCCGTGAAGCGAACGCACGGGGGAATCGAATTTTTGGGAATTAGGGTTAGGGCTTTCGATGCATGTTGCTTTCTTCCTCTGCTTTCTCCGTTTGCCGGAGCGAATAACAACAATCGACGGTTTCTTCTGCAGCCGACGACTACGGAGTTGAAGATATGGCCCAGCTCCGTCCACAAACTGCGGGGGCGGTGGCGGAGGAGGAGGAGAAGACGGGAGGGAAGAGGTGGATTTCTGGAGAGCTAGGGATTGAGCTCGAGTGAGAACACCAAGGGACGGGTGAGAGACATCCATCAAAGCGGCGACTTCACCTGCAGTATTGCTCCTCCTCATGTACTTCCCCATTTTTCTACCCTTTTCATGGGAAAAGAAAAGGCATACGCGGAGGGGAAATGGACGTTTGGGAGGTGAGAAAATCGGAGTTAGGGTTGAAGCCGAAGACTCTTTCTCTCTCTCCTCTTATTCAGGTGGATGCTGCGTCGCGTAGCCAATGCGACTACTGTCTCGTCTACTAATACCTTTTGGCCTTTTTCTTGGGTTTTTTTTACATTAAAAAAAAAAGATACATGGCAAAATTAACTATTTTAACTCGTATGTGTTATCTTCTCGATATGGGCGTTACTATTTGGCACTGAACCAATAATTTATGGTACAAGTTGTATCGAATATTACAGGAAAATATCGCCATGCCAATTTTCTATTTGGCACTGAACCAATAATTTATGGTAATTTATGTTTATAAGATAATAGAATTAATCCCTATCTCCTTTTTTCTATTATTTTGTTTAGTTCCTATTAAAATCAGACAACCAAAACTTATTGGACTTGTGGTTATACACCTGTAGCATGTGAATTTTCCTCTCAGTTTCAACATCCATAATCATCACAGCACTATCTGAAGCTGCAGCAAACAAGTGACGGTGACAATTCTTGGCTGGAATCGCACTTGTGTGCTTCTTGCCCCCTGCTGCTTGATATAAAAAAAGACCCTGAGATTACGAAGGAGATCACAGAGGTCCAAGGAGAAATACCCGTGAAACGCGGAGGCAAGAATACGTATTGATGCTCCAGAAACGGATGCCGTCGTTGCTGTCACAGGAGCAGAGCAACTCGGTTTTCTTAGGGTGGAAATCAAGAGACGTTACAGGTTGAGTATGACCATCCATTGTCCGTATGTAACTACCAAAAAAGACCAATCCAGTTCGTATCTCCATCTAGTGGGGTGATGGGAAGGGAATATATTAGGCCACTGAACCAAGTCGGTCCTTCCCGTATGTAACTAACAGGTTGGCGAAAAAAGAAAAACAATATTGGTTAGTTGCAAAAACACTAATCGACGGCTAAAATACGGAACTTATGAGCCACTGACATCATAGTTTATGTTTCAAATGAGACTGCTAAAGGGACAGAGTATGTACTTCAGAAGCATCCCAGATTTTAATTGTTTTGTCGAACGAGGATGCTGCCAGTTGAGTAGCATTATGTCTGAAGCGAACGAGGATGTTCTTCTGGAATGCACTCTGTTTGTAGTGTCTCCATGTTCGAAATGGAAACCTACCGACGGAATCCATATTATCTGTTTTAACAAACAAAGATCTTACCTATCATTGTGATGTCTATAAAGAACGAAACGAAACAAAGATCTTACCGTTGCTTCTTCGTATCGAGCTAACCTCCCTGAAGCTGTAAACTGAAACAACAAAAAGGAACAATTTTCCGATGGTCGAGTAATGAAAGCAAATGACCTTACTGTTACTACATGGTATAGTAGTTGGTATTAGGTTTATTCAGTGAGATTAGAGAGAATGCCTTTCGATTCAGCATCTTGCTTAGAAGGAGTCCCCCCCCCCCATCTCCATCATCTTGTGACGAAAAGGATTCCACATTGTTTCCAAACCTTTCCATCTCTTCCTGCAACTAATATAAATTTTTCATAAGCAACAAATTCGAAGAACAGGGATCTATTCGAAGAACAAGATCGGGCTATAAAAAGGATCAAAAGAACTCAGTGTTCGATCAAAGAACTTGTAACTCAAATTCTCAAGAATCTTAAATGTGAACATCAAGACGAACTAAGCCGAACGGAGTAGCTGTTCCCTGCGGATCAGAAGCCCTAATTCGATCCTCGCAAGAGATATCTCCAGAGATCGCGCATTGCCTCTGCGTAAACAGCGCCATTAGAGACTAATCGATCGGGAATGTTAATTACAGTAAACAAGAACTCGAGACTTGGGGAGAATTCGTCTATTAGAGTATATTGTTAGGATTAGTATAAATACATTTTGTATGGATCATTTCATATTAATCTTAGAGTATATTGTTAGGATTAGTATAAATACAAAATGTATTTATACTAATCCTAACAATATACTCTAATATCGTCAAACTGAGAGAGCAGTGATTGAATTCGCACCTGATCGATCGCAAAGAAGTGAATTTAGGGTTCTTGAAGTTCGAATTCTTTTAACAGTTTTCAGGTGTGCCTACACTGGATGGAACAAAAGCTATCAAATCAGCCGGATGAGAGGGAATCAGGGAAATAAATAGTTTGACCAGCGCGAGTTCCGCAAGTGGGTTTCAAATGGGCCTTCATATAATGGGCTTTTATGTTGGGTTGGGCCGTACACTAACCCAAACCCTCAAATGAAATATCTATTGGCGGTTTGCGAACGAATTATTCGAGGATATATCCATTTTTGGATCAAATAATTTGTCGTTTTCTGACTTTTACCTATTTCCAAGAAAAACGTTAGTAATATTAACATTTCTAATTATGATTAAAAAAAAACAAAATTATCATAGGGTCTCGTAATATTTACTTGGAGCTGTTTTAACGGTTAGAATATACATGGCTCTTTCAGCTTCACGTTGGAAACAACCCAAGAAGAGAACTTTTCTTCTCTGCTTGTGAATTCCTTTTCCACCATTTCAAATCTGTCGTTAGATCCCTTCTCCGAACAACAACAGAGTGCTTCTTCTAGGGTCGGATCCGATTCCTCGTAAGCAACGGATCTCGACGGTCCTTTTGGCTTTTCCCGCAAGGCGAGATTTCCAGGAAAGGAAGAGAAAATTCTTTGCCCTCTGTTTTTAGCTGATAAGTTTCAATCTTCGCAAAGGAGTTTTCTTTTTTCGCAAACTATTGTCGGCAGGGGACACATAGTTCCTGGGCTGTGTTCCGTACCCGGGTTTGTCTTTGTTTCCGATTTCGTGCGTCGGATCATCGAATTTCGATTTATGGTGTATTTCATTTCTGGTAAAGTTTAGGGATTTGTATGTTTCATGTGATAGATGCGCTTACATGCTCGGGAAAACAAGTGGAAGCTGTTTTTTTTTTTTTTTTGCAATTGGGAGTTTCTTCGTGTTTCGGGGCTCATCCTCCATTTTCAGAACAATTTGCTCAGGCTGATGTTGGGCAGTCGGATTTGGGTTTTAGGGTTTATCTAATTTTGCTAAATTTGCAAAACTTTTGCCCGTTTCATATGCTTCATTGGATTTCTGAGCATTTGGAGAGGTTCTAAGACATATGAAGCTAGGATTCGGAACTTGACTTGTGAAGACCGGTTTCAGGTTTTTTGTTGTTAAAAGTCCTGAGACATGGCTACCATTGATGATGTCTCAAAGTACCTTCACAGCCCTGCTCACAAGGCTGTCATCACCAGAGATTATGCTTCTCTCAGGAGAATATTATCCTCTCTCCCACGTCTGCATGACCCGGCAGAGATCAAAACCGAAGCAACTTCCATAGCCGAGGAGGCGAAAGCTGATTCCATATCGGCCATCATAGACAGGCGTGATGTTCCAAACCGGGACACGCCTCTTCATCTGGCCGTCAAGCTCGGGGACGAGGCCTCAGCCGAGATGCTAATGGAAGCGGGAGCAGACTGGAGCTTGCAGAACGAGCAGGGATGGAGTGCTCTCCAAGAGGCAATTTGTAGTAGAAAAGAGGGTATAGCCATGTGTATCGTCAGACATTATCAGCCACTGGCATGGGCCAAATGGTGTAGGAGATTGCCTCGGCTCGTTTCCACAATGCACAGAATGCGGGATTTCTACATGGAGATCACTTTCCACTTCGAGAGTTCGGTTATACCCTTCGTTTCCAGGATAGCGCCTTCAGACACTTGCAAGATTTGGAAGAGGGGAGCAAATCTTAGGGCCGACATGACTTTGGCTGGGTTTGACGGTTTCAGGATTCAACGGTCGGATCAGAGTATAATGTTTCTCGGAGACGGGTCGGAAGACGGGAGAATCCCGCCCGGATCTCTCTGCGTAATATCCCATAAGGAAAAGGAGATGATGAATGCCTTAGAAGGAGCGGGAACTCCTGCATCAGAAGCAGAAGTTAGTCAAGAAGTGGCTGCCATGTCCAAGACCAGCATTTTCAGACCAGGGATAGATGTTTCTCAGGCAATGCTTTTCCCACAGATGACATGGAGGCGGCAGGAGAAGACAGAAATGGTCGGACAATGGAAAGCTAAGGTGTACGATATGCACAATGTTGTTGTCAGTATAAAATCGAGGAGCATACCTGGAGCAATGACTGAAGAGGAGATTTTCTCCAACTCTGCCCGAGAAAACGAGACAGAGACAGAGACAGAGACAGAGGATGATCTCGAGGATATCTTGACAGAAGACGAGAAGAAACAACTAGAACTCGCTATCCAGTCCAGTTCTCCAGAGAGTTCTAACCAGACAGCTCGGCTGGAGAAGAAAGAATGGTTCAGTGGCTGGAGGAGACGAGACACAACCAAGCATCATGAAGGGAACAAACGGAATATTCCCCCAAGAAGTTCTCTTTCTGCTGATGAGAAAGCAAGCGATGAAACCCTAACTGGTGGAGGAGAGATAACACCTGCAAGACACTCAGTTGGGGCTGCAGCCATAAGAGAGGGGAGCCGAGAGAACGAGTACAAGAAAGGGCTGAGGCCGGTTCTTTGGCTTTCCGAAAGCTTTCCACTACAAACCAGAGAACTACTACCATTGCTTGATATCCTCGCAAACAAGGTTAAGGCAATACGCCGTTTAAGGGAGCTGCTGACTACAAAGCTGCCTTCTGGGACATTTCCTGTCAAGGTTAATAGATGGATCTGTACCAATGTTTGTCCCTTCCTCACATATCTTTGGTTCTGTCTTAATCTTCAAATTTTGCAGGTTGCTATTCCGGTGGTACCTACAATTAGAGTACTTGTAACATTCACAAAGTTTGAAGAACTACAACCAATTGAAGATGAGTTTGTGACTCCACCATCGAGCCCGGATACTCCTTATTCTGTTAAAAACAGTTCAAAAGCAGGAAAAACACAAACCTCAAGCTCCTCCTCGTCATGGTTCCAGTGGATGAAAACACCGGATCTGCATCCAACAAGCTCAAGTTCTGGAAGCTGTAGTATCAGTAAAGCAGAAAACGAACAAGTCCTCTTTGTGATTCCCCGGGACTACAAATGGGTCACAGCTGAAGAAAAGAGAAAGAAGATGCAAGAGAAGAATAATGCTAGGAAGGGCAAGAATCAGAAATCCTAAAATAACTGAATTTACTTGGGTAATTTAGTAGATCAACTCATAGAAAGAAAGACTGAAACTTGATGCTTCTTGTATTAGTGAAGGGATTTACGACACAGCACAATTCATCGCTACGACAGATAGATACTGAGAGAGGAAAAGGAAATGTAGGGTTCTTACTTTATCGGTTCTTGTTCTTGTTTCCATCCTCAAGATGTCTCTGTAATAAAAAATACACACTCCACAGGAACAGACTACAGAGTAGAGAGATGGGTGTGTTTTCGGCTCAAAAAATTTTAATCATTCATCAGGATATTGAAAACGAGCATAGACTATAAAAGATTATGAACCCAAACACTAATCTACGAACCCACCAAAAGTTTTAAATCTGTTTCAATCATTGATCCATCAAAGATCATTTTCAGTATCGAGAAGGTTTACACTAACAAAAACAATTGAAAAAGAAACAAAGAAAAGGGCAAACCCATCTAACAGAGAAGAGAGAAGATAGAACGACGGCAAAAAACAAACGCGGACATTTACCAAAAGGAGTTTCAATCAGCTTAGTAGCAGTATGGGGACTGATAATTCCATGCTAGGTACACTTGAAGCCATGACAAATCGACAACACGATGATGAGGATCAAGGCGATGATGATGCCCAGGACTATGAGCTTTATCTTCATGTTCTGCAGCCACATCTTTCTCCTCATCTGAGTTCCTTGTGTTCTGAAATCTTGCGCCTGTAGATATCCGAATAAATTAAGTGTTATGCAGATGTAACAGACTGCAAGATAAACATAAACCAAACAAAGAGATGTATACGTACAGATAAATGCATGTATTTGAACCCAAAACTACAGAAACAATTTGACAAAAGGAGATAACTACTCACTTGTGAGCGGAGGTTCTCAGTTTTGTCCACCAAAAGCTCGATTTTCTCACCACGGTCAAGGACCTGCATCCATATGAAAATACAGTCAGTTTCGGGGAAGGAGAAAATCTGGTCCTTTGGGGTGAGGCAGAGAATAAATGACTATTTTAACAATCTGGGGAGTTTGATATGGACAACGATAAATCATATTACAAGAAAAGAACACGCTTCCTTCTGACCTTCTCGATGTTTTCCATCATAACACCCTTAACTTCGGACACCTGAGCCTTCACCTTGGCAAGTTTGCTGATCTCCTCGGGGTGATCCACGCAGTACTGCATGTGCTCCTTCAGTTTAGACCTTCAGTATAAACAAACAAAGTTAAAAGACAGCATTCACAAAAATGGAAATAATGAGAATATCTTTGAACCCCAACAGTAGAGCTCAAAAGGGGAAGAAAGGAAAAGTACCCAAACTCTCTGTTCAGGCTGTTGGCTTGAGCAGTAGCAGCTTTCCCCCCACCATATCTCTTGTTAAAATCCTCCTTAACACGCTCCAAGAATGCCATTGGAATCTGCCTCCCAACAGATTCAACGGCAACAACACAATAGGCTGCATCAACAGAAGATAAGAACTTTGGTTACACAAGTAGACATCCACATGGACCGAAATCATACACCACTACAAGCTTGTTACAACAGTCAGTTTACGAAATGAGATTTATGGAAACACGCGTCCATTGCAAATGATTTCCATGCTTCAGAACAAACAACCTATTTGATTTGCCTAATATGTGAACCAAAATTCATCACAATGAAGCAGACAATAACAAGGTCCATCTCACAAACAAGCAATCATAGAACCCATGAAACAACAAGATCCAGGACACATCTCCGATTGCGACTAAACCAATTATTGGATCGAACCAAGACTTTAAGCAGTAGGATTGATGTACTTATATCCCAATACATACACATAATAAGATGAAATCTTGCTTCAGCCATGTTCACCGAGAAACCTGAATGCCCATATACGCAAAATCTGATGAATCAATCAAAAGAATTCCTAAACATATATGCGAAGTTTGCACGTATCAATCAAAACGGTTTTAAAATAAATCCACTCGAATTGCATACACCGATCTCCAAATGTAGATCAAAACACAGCCTCCCGATTCGAAACCAATATACGGATCAACGCGTAAACGGATTCAGACGCACAAATCTAGCATCGAAACGTGTCCATACAGAGAGAAGAAGACCTACTGAAGCCATTTTCAACGAGGTAATTGAACGTGTGACCATCGCAATTGTAGGTAAACTTGTTGTTCGAAGACGGGAGCTTTTGCAAGCACTGTGCGGCGACCGAGGTGAAATTGCCCATGAACTCGGTGTACTCGGCGAGAATCACCGTGCCGCGAGCGACGAAGCTGTAGATCAACGATTGTTGCCCCATTTCTTTTCTACCCGCAATCTCGACGAACGAAAACCCAAACACCAGACTGCGACCCGATCGATTTCGATCAGAGAGATTAGTTCTTTCTTCGTGTGTACGAAAACAAAAAGGTCTAACGTAACAGAGGACGCGAGAGAGAGAGAGAGAGAGAACGCAGCGATCGGAGAGAGAAATGAAAATGCTGGATTTGCGCGACAAGAGAGAAGTTTTCCCTTTTAACGTTCCATTAATAAAGTTTAATATATGATGATATAGTTAATTAATTCAAATACAATTTTCAGGAATGTTTTTTTCCCCCTGAAATTGAAGACTTTTAATTTTTGGCATTTTAGGAACTCAATGTTTGAAAAGTCTCTAATTTTGAAGCCTGTTACTTTAATGGCCCTCCAGTTTTGACCCTAAAGCTTCTGGAAACTCAGGATTAACGCCTTAACATTTAAGAAATTAACATTTGCGGCCTAAACTTTGAGAAAATACAAAATTAGTAAGAGTTTTGAAATTTCATGCTTTATATGCTATACTACTACATATAGAGAGAGAGAGAGGGAGTGAAAATAATCCAAGGAAAGAAAACAAAAAAATGCCTAATTAGTGTGTGTGTGTTTATCAAAGTTAGTTGAACCGTATAGAAGAGTACACCGAGTACAAAACATAAATTTATCAGAGTTGGAGGCCAAGTGGGGCCCAACGGAGGATCAGACCGGTGAGGGTGATCGGAGAGTTGCGTTTGGTGAAGCAGTTCCTCCGACCAAAACGTGGATTCGATTCCGGAACTTACCTTTGGATTCGGACAACCATCCATATCATTACAACGTGATTCTTTTTTTGGTGTTGTTTTTTGCCTCTTCAACAAGGAACCGGAGAATCCATGGTGAATGTGAGAAGCGAATCTATGTTGTACAATGCATAGATTTTATATTGTATATACATATCGCCTATACAAAACCGGTTCAGGACGACGTACACTACTATCAGACACATGAAATGAGGATGGCGCCATAAAAGAAAAAAGGAAAGCACGATTTACCCGAGTAAGTATAGGGCTGAGAGCCTGAGATATAACCCGAGGAAGTTCCCAGATTAAGTACACTTGAAACCATGGCAAACTGACAAGACGATGATGAGGATCAAGGCGATGATGATGCCGAGGACTATGAGCTTTATCTTCATGTTTTGAAGCCACATCTTTCTCCTCATCTGAGTTCCTTGTGTCCTGAAATCTTGTGCCTGTATCAATTTTAATTTATGGAACACCATAGAAACAACAACGGAGAAACTGAAGGTATTTAGAAATGTGGGTCACCATGTACATACGACACTAACTAACCTGTGAGCGAAGGTTCTCAGTTTTGTCCACCAAAAGCTCGATTTTCTCACCACGATCAAGAACCTGCAAATGAGTGAATCCAACGTTAATATCTGAACATATGTTTAAGCGAGCAAGATGGGTAAGGGCCTCCAAAGATGTAACAACGTAGTTTAACTTTAGTCTTACTAACCAGACACAGTGGCAGATACATAACAGATGTGTAAGATTGTAAATTAACAAAAGAAACGAGTGCTTGACCTTCTCGATGTTTTCCATCATTACGCCCTTAACCTCAGACACTTGGGCCTTCACCTTAGCAAGCTTGCTAATCTCTTCAGGATGATCCATGCAATACTGCATGTGCTCTTTCAGTTTAGAGCTTTAAAGCAACCACCCGTGTCAACAACTAAACCGGGAATATGGAAGACAAAATTATCAATATCAATAAGGAGATGTTAAAGAATTACCCAAACTCTTTATTCAAGCTGTTTGCTTGAGCAGTTGCAGCCTTCCCTCCACCATATCTCTTGTTAAAATCCTCCTTAACTCGTTCCAAAAAGGCCATCGGAATCTGCCTCCCAACAGAGTCAGCCGCAACAACACAATAGGCTGCAGAAGAAGAAGAACAAGATTGGGTATTCTTAATTCCGTATAGATCAATAAAAGTAGAAAAACTTCCAACATAATCAGGAGGAATGGGGTGAAGAGGAACAGTCTATTGGCCATTACAAGTCCCGCAGCAATACTGCCCCACAATCTGATCACGTATAATACAGTAAGCAAAGCATAAGAATAACCCAGAGGTAACTGACCCAGGAAACATCTCAAAACAAACAGTCAGACCCGTTATTCAAATCAAACCAGCTAAAACCTTGTAATGTTATAAATGAAGAAACACATGATAAAGCAAACCAGATAAGAAGACAGATCCAGATTCCAGATCACGATTTCAGTTTCATTCAATGTATGATAAACACAAATCTATCACAGATTACATTCGAAACAAGCCGAAGGTACTACTCACAGATAAATCGAAACATAAAATTGACTACACACGTATGAATACATCAGAAAAAGAACAGTACAGATCGAGAGACGAAGACTCACTGAATCCATTTTCGACTAGGTAATTGAAGGTGTGGCCGTCGCAGTTGTAGGTGAACTTATTGTTCGAAGACGGGAGCTTCTGGAGACACTGTGCAGCGATGGAGGTGAAATTGCCTTTGAACTCCGTGAATTCGGAGAGGATCACAGTTCCGCGAGCGACGAAGCTGTAGATCAACGACTGCTGCGCCATTTTCTTCACTTGAACAGCGATGAAATCCCTAACGCCAGAATAGGATCAGATTGATTGATTGATCGATCGAGTAAGCGATCAATCGAACAGAGATTTTTCTTTGGCAAGGAGCTGCAGATCTGGATTCAACCGAGCGAGACGCGGACGTCGTACACAGAGATCAAGAGAAGGAAGCAAACGCTGCAATCGAGGAAAAAGGGGAAAACCCTACGAGGAAGAGCCAGATTTTAGATTAATATTTATAATTAACACGCCATACTGTGATTTTTTTTGGGGGGGGGACCACCAAACAAACGTATTTGAAGTTTGGAACCACTGCAAACAAGTTTTATTATAATAAAAAAAAGCATATATGCATTTTTTTTACAAATAATAAACGTATTTAGCATAAATCTATTTTATACTATAAAGAATCAAGAATTCAAATGGATTTAGATATAAGCTTTTTTCTCATGTATTATTGATTTTAAAAATGCGATCTTTACCATATGCTTTGAGAGGACATACGAATTCAATGTTCGATCAAAAACAACTGCAACAACCAAATCAAAAACAGTGGTTCTTCTCAAACCTGAAAATTGTTTTATATCCAATTTAAACCTTTACCAAACGATCCTAAAACCCCAAATTGAAAATACCAACATGTATAACCATTAACCAAAACCCGGTATACTAAATCAAAATCCAACAAGAAAAGATCATTACAACTAAGATCACATTGGACCAACCAAGTATGTTTTACATCCTAAACCTTTCCCATGACACTCATCGTCAGTGAATCCCAAGCGCTTGCATTCCACGGATCATTGACATGGACGAGCCGTACACTTGCTTGCGGTCTACGCTGCCTTCCTCTCGACCTTGTTCGGCGAAAAACTTGTCGTTCCCGTCCAAAATGCTCATCACTTGGCTCATGGTCGGTCTCAGACCCGGGTCGGTCCTCGTGCAAACTAACCCTAACCGCAACAGCCTCGCCATCTCTCTCCGGTCGTGCTCTTCCCTTAGACGACTGTCCATAACTTCCTCCAACTGCCTCTTCTTCGTTCCGACCAAGTCCCGGATTCTCAACACTAGAAGTACATCCTCTTGTCTCCTCCGTAAATCCACCGCAGGTTGTCCTGTAACCATCTCGAGAATCACGACCCCGAAGCTATACACATCTGCTGTCGTCTTGGCCTCGCCAGATTCCATGTACTCCGGCGCCATGTACCCGAAAATCCCTCGAACCGATGACCCTTTCTTCTTCCTAGCCGCTTGATGGGCTTGGTCGTTTCTTGCCATGAACTCAGCCAAGGCGAAGCCACCAAGCCGCGGGTTCATGTCTCGGTCGAGATGGATCGTGGAGGATGTTATGTTCCGGTGCACTACTTGCTCATCCCATTCTTCGTGGAGGTACCGTATTGCACAGGCAAGGGATTTGATCACGTTGTACCGGCTCCTCCACCTCAGGACCGGGTTCTTGGGATTCCGGTTATGGAAGAGAAGATGGCTTAGCATGTGATTGGCGGAATAATCGTATACAACGAGCATTTCCCCATGTTCAGTGCACCATCCCCGGAGCTGGACGAGGTTACGGTGGCGTAACCGGCCGAGGTTCACGAGCTCGGTCGAGAACCGGGTTACCAATGCTGGACATTTCGTCATACCAAGCCGTTTGACCAGAATATGTTGGTCGCGGTTTAGTAAACCGTAATAGGCCGTACCAAAGTCAACCTCGGCCACGCGGCGAGCGTCCGAGAAATCATCCGTCGCCGAAACGATGTCGCTGAATGGAATTTCCTTGGGCGTGTCCACGACAAACGACTTTGACGACTCAAGGCGCCGGCTGTTGTTGCTGAAATACCCGTTTTGCCCCTGCTCTGCCGTATGGTAAATGGATTCCTCCAGGGCAGTGACGTAATTCGTCGACGATGTGGACTCTGCCGACGTGTTGGAGCTCGTTGTGGAGGTTCGGTTCGTTGTCGTCGTCGTCGTCATGGTCGTTGTGGTCGGCGTAGATGACGTCAGGGAAGTTAGAGGGATGTAACGAGGGTGGTTCTTAAACGACGGTAATGCCGGAAAGGTGCCGGAGATTTCGCCGGAAAGAGCCCCGGTGACCCATTTCATGTTGGGTCGCAATTGCGGATTATTCAACGTGCAGAGCAAAGCTATATGAACCAATCTCTCGATGTCGGAGGGAGAATAAGATCCCTCAGGCAAGCGTGAGTCGCCGACGTTAAGGATTTTCCGGTCAACGGATAATCTCCGAACCCAATCGAGAAGGACGATTCTATCATCTGGGTACGTAAGATCGACGGCGCGTCTGCCGGAAATCACCTCGAGAACTACAACGCCGAAGCTAAACACGTCGGTTTTCGCGGTGGCTACGGTCTTTTGCCGGAAGCTCTCCGGCGGCAAATACCCAATTGTCCCGCCAATCCGAGTCGATTCCGCAACTCGGAACTGGTGGTTCCTAAACGATGACATCGACGACGACCAGTCGTAACTCGGTTCTGACTCAATCCCGTGCTCGAGCCACCGAGCCAAGCCGAAATCGCCCAATCGAGCATTGAACTCGGAATCCAACATCACGTTGCTGGTCTTCACGTCCCTATGAATGATCTGCGTCTCCAGTTGCTCGTGGAGGTAAAATAATGCGGCGGCGAGTCCTCGAACGATTCTCGTTCTCCTATCCCAATCCAACGGTTCGAAACCCGAGTTGCTCTTCTCCGGTCGCCGGAAAAGTACCCGGTCCAAGCTCCTATTCGGCATGTAATCGTAAACGAGTAACAACTCGTCCTCGTGAATACACCACCCACGCAATTTCACCAGATTCCGGTGCCGGAGCTGGGCGACGGCGACTAGCTCCGCCGCGAAAGTCTTCTCGAAATGTTCACCTTTCTTGTCGGCCAAACATTTCACAGCCACGGTGGTTCCGTCGCTCGGCAACACCGCCTTGTAGACCCGACCGAATCCGCCGCTTCCGAGGATCTGGTCGTCGCTGAAGCCGTTCGATCCGATATACAGCTCGGAGTATCCGAAGATTCTCGGGTTTTCACTGCCGATTTTGCCTGAAATCTGAACACCTTCCATGTCGGCGAAGAGTTTTGTCTCTTGCGAAACAGAGTCTCTGCAGAAATTCAAACTCGCCCATTTAGAATCTTGTAATCGCCGGAAAAGATCTCCGATCAAGCCCAGAACTTGACCTCCACAATCCCGACGCTTGGTCTCTGTGTTTCCGGTGTAATCAACGGTGACAGAAGGCTTTAACTCGCCGGAAACCGCCGGCAAGACGAAGCAGAGACGACGGTCCACCGCCATGACAATGTGAAATGAAAACGAGACGCTTACAACATACGTGGAAATGATTTGAACGATTTAAAAACTTTTGGAGATACAGAGTAAATGCGGCAAGGGATTATATAATATGGTCATAATTCATAAATACGGTGGATGATTTATCTGTTCATTTACTTTGGGATGGATTTTCAACGAGATTAGGTTGATTTTCCAACCCACAATTTTCTTCGCCTCTTGTTTTTGGGACGTGTCATTACTAAGGAGATTGATTCTTTAATCGTATGTTTGTTTCTCGTATATAAAATTCTCGTCGATTATAGATTTCAAAAAAAAAAAATATTTTGTCCTCAGTTTAATTTAATTTTTTTTAATTGAAAATTCATGAGGAACCTTTTAATTTGTCGTCTTCTATATTTCACCTAGTTGAAGATAAATTCTCACCAAAATGGCACGAATTCTTCCATTAGGTAAACATAAACACAAAAACGAACAAGGCAAAGCAAGTGGGTAACTAACAACAAGCACATGTTTAGATAAATATTGCAATATGAAAATAAATCAGCCGAAAATCATTATTAGCATTTTTGAATAACTCCATTAGCTCGGGTAATCAATCAAATCAGGCCACTATTTTACTTATTTTCAAATTGATTATATCACAGACACATGGAATTTCAATGTCGAGATGATGCCCCTTGAATGCTAAACAATTACATTAAGCTGTATTTGAAATGGCAAGCAATAAAAAAACAGAGACCCATAAAATTTTATTTATACATAGACATCAATTTTAAATATTTTTATCATTTTTTAATATTTTTATTTTTATTTATCTCACAAATTGAAACGATTTGGTCCGAACTTGCCCGTTTAACATCACTAATTAAAAGGCATTTGTTAACCTTTGATTTTTTTTAATAATTAACTATTTTCATAAACAATACGGAGTTATTTGAAATTTTGGATTTGATTTTTAATAGAGATTTGTTGCCTAATATCAACATTAATAAATATGGATAACATCGGTGGATATCCAGAATGTATATAATAATTTAAATTTAAAATTAATTATATTGGCTAATGTATGAGCAATATAATGAAATACCGCAACCATTGGCGTGATTAATGTCGTCCGGATATGGACTTACCTTGAAGTATGTGTATTATCCAAACAAGCGTGGGTACATATAAAATAACTATATATGTATATATATATATATGTTGAAATTATAATTGTTGCTGTTTTTAAATTAATTAATTAATTAATTAGTATTATTGTGGTCACAGAGAAGTCAATTTTAGTACAGTTGGAAATGCTTTTGTATTGATTGAAAGATTGGCCATTGCAAGGTCATTAAATGACGCTATAAATGCTATATAAGATCAGATTTCTAAAGCGATAAAGCTGTAATTTTAGTTTTATAATAAATATAGACGTATAATATTATAATGTTATAAAAGAAATACATTTTTTGTTATAAACGTACACATATATGTATATATTTATATACATACATGATCTATATATCTTCTTTCCTATACCAAATACATTATGTAATTTGCATGTATATATGTTTCAGTGTCACGTATATCTAAACATGCCAAAAATGTTTTATTAGATTAACAAATGTTATAAAATACAGGTATTAGACACGTTCTTTATTATATATATATATATATTTTACTCTTACAAAATATAAACCTTAAACATTTCTGTATCAAAATTCAGTTTGTAATTTGGATACAGAAATCAAATATGGTCCTTACGAAACGACAATAGTATAAAGGTTTTGTTATTTTACTAAATAATATGTAGCTTATATATATATATATAATATGTGGCTAGAGTAGGTTGGGTGATGTGGTTGGCCTACCTTTTAATGGTATTTCCCTTTCGCGAGGTTTCATTTTCATCGGTCGTGAAAAAAAGATCCCATTTAATTAGAGGTTTAGATTAAACGTAATTGTTGCAACCACTCCTCGTTAAGCTAATTAATCGTATAATAATTATAGTATATATATATATATAGCCCTTTTGGCGCCATTCACATTTCAAGATGACAAAATAAGTCTAAAGGTATTGATATATATTCTTTACTTTTTTTAATTGAAATGTTTTGTTCTCTTAAGAGTCAACTATAGAGCGATAGAGATATACAAAAACAAATATCCAAAATTGAAAATTAATCTTCGAAGTTTTCAATTTTGATTAACTTAACATTTTTATAATAAAGATGTCATTCGTGTTTTTTATTTATTTATAAGTATATGTATATAAAATTCGCACAAATATATTTACATGAAATAGGGAATTTACGTTGGGCCAACAAAATCCATGCACTTTGACCAAAAAAAAAATAATCCATGCATGGTTTTAATTATGAGAATCTGATTAGGTCACGAACCAAACACAATGGTACAAAAGTCTGACATTTGGTACTTAGAAATCAGACTCAATCTTGATTCGTTCGATTTTGACATGACGCATGTTTTTAAATTATACAAAATCATAGTAACGGCAAAGAAAAATACAAATTCTATATCACGAACAATTCATATATTTGGAATAATCATTCAAATCGGTGTGTACATCTCAACCATCTAAATCATTCGCGACATTTTATTATCCACAATTTTTAAAATTTAATTTAATTTATTTCAAAGATGGATATATGAAACTTTTCTACTTAAATCTCTACCGTATCCAAACGGATATAAGATTTCTAATATATTTTTTTATAGTTAAAGCAAAAAATTCGAATGTGCCATAATGCATGTATGTGGCAACTAATTGACTAAATCAGCTCTTTATAACTTTATAGTTTATAGATTAAAAAATATAATTTTTAATTATTTTGGTTTTTACAAAATTCGTATCGTCGTTGATGATTAGAGCTGTTAATACATGGAAAATATATCAATCAGGACACCAATCTAACGGAAAAAACGCCGATTTCGATTGCAAATACGTCCAAATGTAGATAGTTTTCGTTTTCTTTTGGGATGGAAAATTGGAAATTGGTTATTATTCCAAAGGGTTGCACCGTCACCGTGATTGAAGCTTGGTTAGTCGATGATCACGACAAATATAAAATATTCCTGTTTATTATATAAAAAAAAACATAAAAATATGTCAGACGTAAATACTTTGACGCTGACACCACATATTGGGCCTTGCATAGGCCCGTTTATCTAATTTAATGGACACTTATTGAGCCTTTATTAGGCCCATTTATATAATTTAATGGACACTTATTGGGCCTTGAAATGTTTACTACGGTCCATCTTTAATTTAACGGAAAATTATGATTCTCAAGACATTTGTCACGAACCTTGGGGCGCAAGTCATCCATTGCTTTTGTGTATGTGCACATATATGTTCAATTTAAAAACGTAGAAATATATCTATATATATATATTAATTATCCTCCACAAATGTAGTTTTCATATTTCTGTAATAATGCAGTATATTTATCAATACATCAAGCTTATATGAAGTATAAAATTCAACATTAAAGCAAAGATAAAAAAAAATGGAAATATTATATATGTTTTTGCAGTTTTTCCGGAAATAATTATGATACCTCGGTATTTTAAACTCACTTCACTTGAAGTTGGACGGTTATATAAGCATATTAAATAAGAGATTTTAGTTCGACAATTAATTACATCAAGAATGCAATGAATTTTATCTTTTTCAAAAACATTTATTTTGCATAAAGAAACAAAATGAGGAAATCAAATGAACGTATTTATATTAAATATAAATTCAGAAACGAAAAATTGCCGCTCGTACGTTACGGCACTCATATCTCTCTCCTTTTTTACCTTTTTTTTGTTTGAAAGTTTCTCTTTTCCTTTAGCAAATCATTAAAATTTTATTTGAAAACTTCTCAATGAAAATATTAATGGTTTCAATTTTCAAACCCTTAGAATTAATTACATTTGCCAATTGGACGAAGAATCTATAATCAATCTAAAGAATGAATTTAATGCATTCGGAGATATAAGAAAAATTATTTGTTTCACACAAAAAAGTTTATAAAAATGGATAATTCATAATATCTGTTAGTTTATAACCCTTTGTTTGTTCGGTTGGATCGTAGGACAGATACCAAATCATCTCATTTTTTTTTATTTTTCTCACCTATTTTATATATTTTCAAGATTTTAGTTTTTATTTTTCAACGTCACTAAAAAAAAGTAGGAAAAACAACCAAGAGATATATCTGTATGAGATGTATATATATATATGATTACAAATCTATATAAACATAGCGAAAATAGGCTTGAATAAAACTCATTAAAAAAAACTACATTTATTTTCGAAAATTTTTTGTGTGGCCAATCTTTAATTGTAAAATCTATTTTTTAATTAAAATAGCAAATTGTTTTCTTCCATAAATTCGATGCATCATTTTCTTGATTTCCTCGTACCTTTTTGCATATTCTCAACTCTCTCTCTCTCTCTCTCTCTCTCCCTGATGGTAAGTTTTTAATATTTTATAGCCTTTCCCTTTGTTATTTCTTCATCTGGGTTTCTCTCTTTTTAACCTTCGGAAACATCACATCCATACGAAATTCCATATATACGCATATATATATAAACGCCCACATATACAAAACGCCTACTTCTTTGCTTGCATTTCCATTATATTCTTTGCGCTGCACCATTAATGGAGGGGGAAAAGTAAAGTTGAGATCTTTATGAAAATTCAAGCAAAGTGAGATTTTTTTTTTTATTTTGTATTTTCATCTTCTCATTTTAATTCTTTTCTTTCTGTTCTTTTTTTGTAAAATTATCCCGCAAAAATGGATTTTTCTTGCTATATGTCTATGAAAGATTTGTTCTTTCTTTTGCGAGATAAATAAGAAATTAAATGGGCTCCTGGAGGAAGTTGTTGGGGTATTAAATCCAATTGATGCCTGTAATGTATTTGTTAATATGCCTGTTTGGGATTTTTCAGCTTTGCTTTCATAGATTCTCACGCAAATGTCAGTCATAGCCCTCCTGTATATGTACGTTTATATATACGTATCAGCAAAAATATTCTCCTTTCTCCGAGAGAGAGAGAGAGAGGTATATTGTTCTGGATCCTGAAAAGAGTTGTCTGCTTTCTAAGCACAAGTCTCTTCACATTAATGGCGTCTGTGTGTTCATTTCTTTGGGTGCATAGAATTTGGAGAGGAAGGGGAAGAATTCATGGCCATGACAGCAACTATATATTCTTCATAGTCTTTGGTGTTTATCTTCTTGATCTTTGAAATCTCTTTCAACTTCTTATTGGTGTAGTCATTGCATCATCTGGTTGCTTCTGTGGTTATTGTGTCCCTGTGTTTGTCTCTTTGAGTTCGTGTTTTTAGATTCACAGGCATTCTTTTGGCAATTAGCCAAATTCTGCCAGGAAACAGAATTGAACATGAAATTCGTCCATTACATGCAAATGCTCATCTTAGATTGGAAAACTGTTGAATGCCTTCTGATGGTGAAGCCAAATATATATGTTTAGTAGTTGTCACAGTCATTCCTTTATGAGTAAGACATGTCCCTTAATTCTCTGAACTTTCTTCATTTAATAAACAGAAAGTGATTGCTGAAGGATGTTTAGTGGTTGTTGAATACGTACAATGACATTCAAGTCTCTCTCTCTCTCTCTCTCTCTCTCTCTCTCTCTTTTTCCCTTGGATTTTTTGGTTTCATAGGGATTAAAGACAATTGGGAATGGCATCAAGTTCTTGTCCTAAACAGAGCACAGTAGCCATGAACCGCAATGCCCCGACCTACCCATCTCCTCTTGCAAGGTACGAGGATGTGGTGGCAAGTCAGAAGCTTTTCATGGCGACCTTGGAAAAGCTTCACTCTATGATGGGTACTAAATTCATGTAAGCTTTTCTAGTTTCCCCCATTTTTTGTACTTATTCAATCTTGTTGCTCGGCACCAAGTGCAGAACTTGAGAGTGTCTAATCCTTAGAAGAGGATTCTCTTACTACAGAACCAATTCCATTGGTTATCTATTGAAATTTTTTAGAAAATGAGCACGGAAAGTCTCTGCCTTTGAGTTTAGCCTCTTGGATTGGATGGATGATTCATGCTAACCCCAATTCTGTATTCCTGTTATTTTCTTGTTTGTTTATCCTCTCCTTGCATTCAAAGTTGTGAACGGCTTATAAAAATGATGCCTTTTACTGGTATGAGTTGAGTTTTGTCTGTCTGTCTGCAATGGAAATCGATTTGCATGGATGTGATGTTTGATCCAAGCCAATGTTCTTAGTCTTTCTATGAAAGTATTTATTCCCTGACTGATGGACGTTGTAACACTTGTGTACCCCTTGCCGGCTCTTCTTTTTCTTGAGCATGATATAGCTGAGTAGTGCATAACCCACATGTTGGATTGTATATACGAAATACACCTGCTTATGCCGGTGATACTTGTGGGTTGCTGCAACATTTTTAGCATCCACATTCATTGTCTCCATTCTGCGTTGTGATTGTAGGATACCGATCATAGGGGGACGGGAATTGGACTTGCATAAGCTGTTTGTTGAGGTAACTTCTCGTGGTGGAATTGAAAAGGTATAATCCATGTAATGTGTTTAGTGTATACGAAGAATTTCCCGTACCTATATGACTTGTTTCGTGTGCCTCGTTTCTCTGCAGTAAGGGGTGAATGTATCTGAAAAATGTTGAATTTCCTCATCATTGGATCTTTCCCTTGCTGAGTTTCAGATCATTAGAGAAAGAAGATGGAAGGAAGTAACCGCAACATTTAACTTTCCCCCGACAGCAACGAATGCATCCTTTGTCCTGCGCAAATACTACTTCTCGCTGCTTCATAATTACGAGCAAATCTATTTCTTCAAAGCTCGTGGTCAGATTCCTCCCGGTATGCACGTTTAAACCTTAACTATAAAGCGGAAAGAAATGTATCCATATATTTTGGTGTTTATGTAAAAGTATTTGTTTCTGCAGAATCCAATAGATCAGTCTCCTCGCTAGGAACCGCTGTAAGGCCATCCTTAGAACTTCAAGCTATAACATTTTCTTATCCAAGGATCGGTTCTGGAGAAAACCCTTCAGGTCTCGTTTTTTTCTCCCTTTCCTTAATTCACTTTATCTGATTATCGCTGCAAATCCGCGTATCTGATAGATGAATGCTACTCGAAAAGGTTACCTCCAACTGTGACTGTCAAATCCAAGAAAAGAGTTTCTTCCTTTTCAGCTTCACAGATTCTGAATCTCACCTGGAACATTGCCTTCTGTTAAACAGTTTTCCTCCTTTTCGGGAAATTTTCACGCAATTGTTATCTTTGCTCCGTATGTGTTATGTTTTTTGGTATATTCCTTCCTGTGTCAAGCTTTCTTTAATTGCAAAACTATCGGTGAACATGATCTGTTTCTCTTGTATAATACCATCTGTTTCTCTTGTGACTTAACAGAAATGAGTAATCCCTCTTCTTCTGCTGTCTCAGCATCTTCAACTGGTTCCCCTGTGACTGGAGTCATCGATGGGAAATTCGAGAGTGGTTATCTCGTTACTGTCACAATCGGGTCAGAGAAACTCAGAGGAGTCCTGTATCAGATTCCAAAGAACTCAGTCCCTCAAGCTCCCGAAAGTTATGGTGTTTTCCCCAGCAACTGGACAGGCAATGCTGCTTATTCTCAGGTGCCTTCAGGGACAAAACGCCGTAGGAGAAGAAAGAAATCGGAGATAAAGAGACGAGATCCAGCTCACCCGAAGCCAAACAGAAGCGGGTATAATTTCTTTTTCGCAGAGCAGCACGCAAGGCTGAAGCCGCTTCACCCAGGTAAGGACAGGGATATCAGCAGGATGATTGGTGAACTCTGGAACAAGCTAAATGAACAGGAAAAAACGGTATGAATAGATCGGATTCTCTCTTCTTTCACTCTTTTAAATTTTCTGGGTAATGTTCCAATGCATAGATAGATGGATCGAACTTTGCTCTTTTGCCGAATACCTCATTTGATTCAGGGCTCGTCATTGACAATTTTCTATGATTTCTGATGAGAAACTGGCTGCTGCTTTTTTGACATTTCTGTTGGAAATACTCTGTGTAGGTTTACCAAGGGAAGGCTCTGGAGGACAAAGAACGATACCGAGCAGAAATGGAGGATTACCGAGAGAAGCTCAAGACGGGTCAGCTCATCAGCAACGCAGTGCCACTGCAACAGCGGCTTTCCGAGCGAGATGTGGAAATGGCTGAAGCTGATGCTACAGTGGAAGAACCCGAGCAAGAAGAAGAAGAAGAAGGTGACTCGAGTGGCTGCTCAGGTGAAAGCGACCTCGAGGAAGATCAAAACCGCCATTCTGCTTTGCCCTCTGTTTTTAGCTGATAAGTTTCAATCTTCGCAAAGGAGTTTTCTTTTTTCGCAAACTATTGTCGGCAGGGGACACATAGTTCCTGGGCTGTGTTCCGTACCCGGGTTTGTCTTTGTTTCCGATTTCGTGCGTCGGATCATCGAATTTCGATTTATGGTGTATTTCATTTCTGGTAAAGTTTAGGGATTTGTATGTTTCATGTGATAGATGCGCTTACATGCTCGGGAAAACAAGTGGAAGCTGTTTTTTTTTTTTTTTTTCAATTGGGAGTTTCTTCGTGTTTCGGGGCTCATCCTCCATTTTCAGAACAATTTGCTCAGGCTGATGTTGGGCAGTCGGATTTGGGTTTTAGGGTTTATCTAATTTTGCTAAATTTGCAAAACTTTTGCCCGAGAGAAAATCGAGGGCTTGGTGGAAGCATTCCCTGCTACCAAAGCGGAACTACCACCAGTGGCCGGTGAGCAAAGCTGAATGGTTGTGCTTTCTTCTTCTTCTTTGGCTTTCCACAGGGTAGGTTACGTCTGGTACAAGTCTTCTCATCTTAGTTTTTTCACCGTTTTTTTTGTCTAGCTTACTTTTGCTACAAGTTATCTATCTCTTCCGACAAACAAGGTTCTGTATTTTGGTCGGTACGTAGGAGGTTCAATGTAGTTGAGTGAATAGATCCTAAAGGTTTCAATTTTCATTTAGAAAAGGTTTTTTATGCAGCATCCCGACTTGACCGTTTCATACCAAATTATCGCATTTATTGGATCGTTCATAACAACTCAGATTGGACAGTTCAACCGGTAAGGAAAGGAGCAAAGCTTCTTACTAACCCGGATTTGAATTCTCACTTGAGAAGATGAGAGATATTCACATGGACTTCTCCGATCTTCTAGTAATCGGGTCAAAAACCTGATAAATTTTCGGATTATTAAAAAAAAAAATCTTTGATGGATACTCTTTAATCTCAGAAATTTCCAATACAAAAACAGAGAAATGCGTCTCCTCTCTTCTCAGATACTTCCCTCCACGGTCGCCGGGAAACCATATCCGGCCGGCGCTGCAAAACCTCCGATCACTTTTCCGGCGTAAAATTCTGCCCCCGACATACCCATGATCATATGCAAATGCCGACATCGTTGGGAATACTCGCAACCTCGTTGTCGGTTGTAATATTATATACGTGAACATCCCCATGCATGATTGTGGTTGACACGCGTGTGTATATATGTGAGATGGTTCCTAAATTCAGCAAGCTATATGATGGCCCGGAAACACAACTAGGCCTGGTCCTGGGCCTGGGCCTGGTCCTGATCCTGGTCCTGGTCCTGGTCCTGGGCCTGGTCCTGGTCCTGGGCCTGTATTACTAAATAATATAATACCGACTGAAATTTCGAAATTATATGTGATAATAATGAAAGACCTTAATACTAAATTTATTTCCAAAAGTGACTAATGCTTATAAAGATCATTATCGATCATTCATAAAGTTAATTCGACGTTTCTCTGTCCTTTTATTTTTTTTATTATTTCATTTTTTTATTTATTCCTTCCTTCCCATATGCTTCGTCTCTCTGCAGAACACTGATTGTTCGCCTACTGTCTCCTCGCCGCGGCGAAGTAGTGCCAACCCCTTTCTTGCTCTTTCCTATAAACCCTAAATTAGGTTAGATCCTAATTAATCTTTAAGCATCGAATCTTTCAATCCTTCTTATGCGAAGCAACCTCTGATTTTTCTCCTTCGGCTTTCGGGGAAATTCTCTATATTTTCGTTTCTTTATTTTTTTGAAGTATGCGGTTTTCCCGATTGCGGTATATGTGTCGTTGATTGATATCAGTGCTTATTCCTGTGTTTTCGGGATACGGATTTGAATGTTAATCTGGGTTGTCCTGAAGTTTGGATGTTCTAGTTCTTTGAGTTATGGGTATTTGGTGGGTAGACTTAATAACTTGGGAAATTCTGTAGGAGGTTTTTGGAATCCTGTAAATTTTGATAATAAACTCTGGAATTTCGATAGTCAGGTTTGATTTTTTCAGTTATATTACGAAATTTAGAAGCTGAAGTTTGACGTTGAAGCATCTGATGGAGATTGTGACCTAATTCCCCCTCCTATTTACTCGGTTTAAGCCGATTGCATGCGTGTAGTTCTAGTCCATTGATTCATTGTTCTTCATTCCGTTAAATTCGGTCATCTGGATGAAGTTACCATATTGTTTGTTATGGTTCGCAATTTGTCTCCTCACTTCTTGCTTTGAAATGTTATTGTTTATGGAGTAGTAGCAATTAATGGGGAAGAAAGCAAAGAAGAAGGCCCGAGCTCCTCCGAGAGAAAAGCGTACTGCTACATCCTCCAAGAATGTTTCTGAAAAACCTAGTCAATGCGGGGAGACAGCTGAGGATGCTGTTGAAGCAGTGAAGGAGAAACAATCTTGTGTCCATTTTGATAAGAGCATTAAATTGGATAAGGTGTTGGAAAAAGTAAAATCTTCGGAGCATATCAAGTGTGGAGAATGTAAAGAAGGGGTGAACGAGAGGAGAGGGAGTAAAGGGAAAGGAAACAGGGCCAAGAAGGGGGTTTCTTCTTCTTCAGACCCGAAAACTGATAAAAAAGCTATTTGGGTGTGTTTGGAATGCGGCCATTATTTTTGTGCCGGTGTTGGTTTGCCAACTGGAGCTCAGAGTCATGTTGTCCGGCATATTAGATTGACGCGTCATCGGTTAGTCATGCAATGGGAGAACCCTCGGTTGCGATGGTGTTTCCCGTGTCATTCTCTTCTTCCTGTTGAGAAGGAAGAGAATGGTGAGATGAAAGATGTGCTAGCGGATGTCGTAAAATTGATTAAAGAAAGACCGTTGAATACATCTGTTAGAGCTGATATTAAAGGTTTGTGTTCAGAAAATGGCAGTACCACTGGTGAGATTAAATCAGAAGGGCCTGTTTCTAGTTGTGTAGAAGCAAGCGATGGTTATGTTGTACGGGGTTTGGTAAACCTTGGGAACACATGTTTTTTCAATTCTGTAATGCAGAATCTTCTTTCCTTGGTTCGGTTACGGGAACACTTCTTGACTGTGGATGCATCTGGTGAAGGACCTCTATTATCTTCCCTGAAGAAATTATTCGCCGAAACAAAACCTGAAGTGGGCTTGAAGAGTGTGATAAACCCAAGAGCCTTTTTCGGGTCTGTCTGTTCTAATGCTCCCCAGTTTAGGGGATATCAGCAGCATGATAGCCATGAATTGCTCCGGTGCTTGCTTGATGGTTTGAGCACTGAAGAATCAAGCTTGAGGAAGAAACTTGGTGCTTCAGATCCTGATGGCAATTCCGCACATCAGAAACCTACTCTTATCGATACTGTATTTGGAGGTGAAATTTCAAGCACTGTTTCTTGTATTGAATGTGGCCACTCCTCAAAGGTTTATGAGCCCTTTTTGGATCTCTCATTACCCATTCCAACTAAGAAACAGAAAACTGTTTCTCGGGTAAAGAAAACTAAGGTTCCACCGAAAAGGGTCCCCATGACTCGAGCCACATCAGAACATCCATATAGTAATTCTGCAGGAAAGGGTTTGATTGCCGCAGATGATTCTATTGGATCCTCTTCGATTTCTCCAACTTCTAAATCCATTGAAAATGGTCCAGTTTTAGAGACTTCTATGGAAATAAACATGGAGAATAGGCAGGCCTCTGAGAATGAGACAAAAACTTATACTGCATTTGATAGTTTTTGGTTGGATTTTCTGGAACCAGAAAGCTCACAAGCCGAGACAGGTTTGGATCTGCAGGATAATGATGATGATAGTCTCCAGACAGCTGAGGCCAATGGAAGGGTTCCAGCTCCAGAGATTCCTGTTGATTCATCCAAAGTTTGGACTTTTGATTGCGGCAGAGAGTCGGCGGCAGGCAATAATGATGGAGATGCAATATCAGGAACCACACAGGGTGAGGATCAACATGCTAGAGAGTCTAACCAGAACACATTTGCAGGCGAGATATCCACTGCGACTGAGCAGGCCAGTTATGTTGGTGGCGATTCCGGTTTAACGCAGAGTTATTCTGTGAATCCTTGGGATGATGAAGAACTTCCCTTGTTGGTTTCAGATTCTCAAGTTCTCTATTTACCATATAAAGAAGAAAGCTCCTGTACTGATACAGCTGGCGTAGAAGCTGAGGCTTCCTCATCATGTGTGAGCGTTGGTCAAGAACAAGACATGAATTTTGATGGCTTTGGTGCTCTATTTGACGAGCCTGAGACTTCTGAAGGACCTGTTTCTGGACCTCCGACCAAGGCTGAAGCTTCTGAAGCTGGTTTTATGGCTGTTAGCAGCGACTCTGATCCAGAAGAGATTGATGATTCTGATTCACCAGTGTCTGTAGAAATGTGTTTGGCTCATTTCACAAAGCCTGAAATTTTATCAGACGACAATGCTTGGCATTGCGAAAACTGTTTGAGGAACCTAAAGCTCCAACGCTTGAGAGAAAAGAAAGCTAGAATTGCATCGAGGCTGAGGAACTTCGAAAATGGAGATATCAATGAGAGCTCCTCCTGCACGCCATTGGATCCGAGCTGTGCAAATGCAGAAAACGGTCGCAGAACTGGGCGTAGCACAGAAATATCCGGTGCTCCTTCCAGTGAAAACCCTCTCATTGGAAGAGAAGGGATTAATTCTTGGCCAGCAGATGGCAGTGAATCTGAAGGAAGTGAAGATGATGGGGACGTGGACTCTAAGAAAGTGATGGCAAAGAGGGATGCAACCAAGAGGGTACTTATAAACAAGGTCCCACAGATCTTGACTGTTCATCTGAAAAGGTTCAGCCAAGATGCTCGTGGGCGGTTAAGTAAGTTGAGCGGCCATGTTGCTTTCAAAGAGTTCATAGATCTTCAACCATATCTGCAACATTCCAGGTATGTCATATTCCATAGCCGCCTTTTGATCTTGAGCTTATTATTCCAGAAGCATACTGTGTGTCGACAGGACCCAGCAAACGGATACTGTTCCAGAATGATTAAGCTGCCTACAAAAAGTTTCAGATTTGCACTTGGAATCAAAACCTCGACCTGCGAAACAGAATCATAAGCCAAAAAAAAAAAGGCATAGGCATAATGGTGGGTGGGTGTGTGTGTTTGGGCAGATGCAACGGGGGAGGAAAGGCAGAGTACAGGCTTGCAGGGGTGGTGGAGCACTCGGGCACCATGAGAAGAGGCCATTACGTTGCGTACGTTAGAGGCCATGATGTGAGAAGAGAGGAGAGTAACAGTAACAGCAGCTTGCCGGTGGAGGGGTGGTGTGAGGCAAGCGATTCATACGTCCGTCAGGTTTCGTTGGAAGAAGTTCTCCGCTGCGAGGCTTATCTCTTATTCTACGAACGAATCTGATCGAACCATCAAATCTCATTGACGACTGCTGTATTCTTTTTTCCCCATTACACAGAAAGGATTCCAGGTTTTGTGCTACTGGCCAAAGAGAGAGAGAGAGAGAGAGAGAGGTGAGGTTTTTGATACACAGCTCATATTCTTCATTTACTGATAATATATACACATATATATGGTTGGTATGTACGTAACCGAGTTATTAATATTATGAGAGTTGTATTATTATCAGGCCTAATTTACATTCTCATGATTAAGCAACCACACGAACATTGGGATCAACAAGTTATTATCAGGCCTAATTTTCTTCCTTTTCTTATTTTGAGCTCATAATAGACGTGAGAGTAGATAAATTAAATACAATATAAATGGACATTTCCTTTTCTGTGGCGTGGGTTTTCAGTTTTCAAATAGCACGGGGAGTGTTTTCAACCCATTGAAAGATATAATAACAATAATAAAAAAGAACCTGAAAGGCCCATGAAATCTGCCTCTCACATGATTCCCCATTCCAACTGGACCCATGACACAAAATTACCAGATGTCAATGCATATAATCCACTAACCATAAAAGAGGATACAAGCTCACGCAAAAAAAAAAAGCTACACATGGCGTTAGCGTCATTTTCCTCTTCATCTATGGGATGGAATCAAAAAAATCTCAAGACCCCGTCCAAATCAATATCCAATCACACACCCTCTCTCATCTCCTGGCCTGGCCGGGGGGCTATTTACGTGTCTATGAACTCTGGAGATTGGACGGTGCGGATTAGCTCCTTCAGGTTAGACAGCACCTGCCGAGGCCCTACACCACTCGCCCCCACGTAATTCAGCATCTGCTCTATGTCCTGCGCCCATCATTCACACACACATATATATGCAATTCTTATATGATTTCTGGACATCATATTCCTACAAATTCAATCCGTCAGAACGACCATTCCACGAGAGATAAATGCCCTAATCTAGAAACTGCACAGCACAAACATGGCTGAAAGGTGGCGGTCCCATTGGTGTTCAAGCAATGTCTCAAGAGGAACAAACTGAGAATTATCACTAACCTTGTTCAACAAGAAGACAGCGTAGGCAGCCCGGGTCGTATCTTGACCATCCAGAAACAGAGGGAACTCTACGAATCTTTGGTTCTGGGAAAGTGTGGCCATCGGGGACATGTCTGACGATGACGAAGGCTCGATGTACGGTGCATAGTCCCGGATATACGATTTGGAACCGCCCAGACGCAAAGGGTAACGTAGTGGAACTGTCATGTAGGAAGCCGTCAGTGATACAGCCTGCAAAAGACGAAAATGAAGCCTTGAGTGACCTCTCTGAATTCCATCCAAATGCTACTCTTTTCTAGCATCAGCAATTTATGCTCGACAACGAAATCCAAGAGATTCGAAGCCCAAATCAAACAAGTTCAAAGCAAACTCTATCGTTGGTAAGGAGCAAAGGAGAAAGGGGAACACACATGGGCAACATATCCTAGGGCAGTTGCAGACCTCTGTGCCTCCTTCTTTTCGGTGAATAAGCTCATCTTTGTAAATGGAGCCATACTAAAAGGCAATCCTAAAATCGTCACGGTTCCTTGACTCATTGGTTTAGATCCTGGTAAAACCATTGAAAAGGAAGTAATTAGCGAGTCAACAGGTAGTCTGCCAAGAGGAAAAAAATCTTTCAGGAACTTCAGACAACAAGTGACAATTTAGTGCTAAAATCAATATCATGCTGAATGATATACAGATGACGGCATGCATTAAGAAGCGGAAAAAAAAGCTGGGATAGTTTTTAGACTTAAAATGCCACAACCCACCAAATCTACTGCCACCAGGAAATGATTCGAGTTCTTGGTCTAGGGAAGGTCCAGCCTCAATCTTCAATGGATAGATAGATGAAACTTGTGTTATCATGTACTGTTGCCTCTTTCTCAGCTTACTCGTCACAACTTTCAAACGAGCATAGCCTCCTTCTCCTTCCAGTTGGCTGTTTGCCTCCTGTGCAAGAGAAATATAAGCTAAACTAGAGGAGATGAATATTGAAGCAAACCAGTTGCCTTCATCAAGGCATCTGTCTTCGAAACAATTGTTCATTACAGAGCTAAAACACAATTTATGAAGAGAAATTTGTCAACAAAATTCAGCAGTGACATGCAGATAGAAAGCAAAGTGTGCCAGTCTTGAGGAGGAGGAGGATAGTGTAGCTAATCAGTTGCCTTCATCAGGCATCAATCTTCAAATCAGTTGCTCACTAAAGAACTAAAAGACAGTTAACTGAAGAAAAATCCAATTGTTAAATCCAGAAGAATGCAAAATGTAAGACTCTCAAAGAAAAGGGGCCAACAGAAAGATGTAACATAAACATACTAACAGAAACAGTAACAATAGCAAACACATAAATGATGCATTTTCCTCCTGAAAAATAATTGGTTCACTACATTAAAGCATCAAACGAGATCATACCTGTAATTTGCTTTTAGCAACGGAAAGAGATGTGCCACCAACCAGCAAAGATCTCACTTCTATACCAAGATTCTCCTCTTTATTTTTAACATCCTGTTCAGCAGCCTTGAAACCAATTGATGTCCTTGCCACCAGCAATTTTCTAGCTTCCAGCCTCTGTCGCATTTCTTCAAGTTCATTTGTGCGGCTCAACGACTCAGCATTGACCTGCCCAAAATTTTGCCGCCCGCTAATCCGCGGGTTAATCAATTAAAGCTCATTGAGATAAAATAAGGGATAGCCAAATGATAGTGTAAATGGCCTAATGGTGGAATGATGGAAGCCTCAAGACGCAGATCAAAAGTCTAGCAACAAACCCATTTTTACTAGGCGAAGGGGAAATGGATCATCCACATTAGATTTCCAATTTCCAAATCAACAGCCTTGGTTCCCTAAACTGATATCTTTGCTTCAAATGAATTTCTTGGCATTTTAATTTTCATTCCGCGAGACAAAGCAACTAAACGGCTGCACAATTACAAAAATTACAAATTTCGATCACTTTCTTTCCTAAAAACGACCATAATCCCGCATGTAGAAAGAAACGTACCATGAGCAAAGGGAACACATTATGTACCTGAATGAGACATTCGAGCTTCTGCTGCATGCTTTGCTTCCTCTCCTGGGCTTCTTTCAGAGCAGAAGAAAGACTCCAAAGCCGCGTGAGCTCGTGGTCGAGATCTTCCCACTCGATTGTCTTCACATCTTCCTTGTCGCCCTTCTTCGACTTCACCGACAAACTTTTCCCCGCTTCTCTTTCCATCAACAATTGTATCGGAAACCACGAAGCGCGAGTTCATGCATTAACTTTCTACGCGAAGATCCGCTTATCTTCATCACAAGCGTCCAAAATCCATCGTAATATCACAGGACCAAACCGGAAAAATCGAGGAAACCCTAACTTCCCTGATCGGAGGAAGAAATCCCTATCAGTTCGCGTCTTGGCTCAAAGGAAAACATCGAAAGCAAGAGAAATCAGGGATTGATCCCCTGAATCCGATTCAGACGAGTTCCTGTATCGCAGAATCGCAAGCTTCGTTCTTGGGGAGAGAGAGAGAGAGAGAGAGAGAGAGAGAGATGGTCAGCACTTCCCGGACTCTTGTTACGGGCGGGTTCTCTGAAGAAGGGGATGAGCAATATGGACCGTTCGATCCCCCGACGAGTGCGATCTTACGAAGGGCATGATCAAAATTCAAAACCAACTTTTTCATAACCGAACGAGGCTTTTGTACCGACGTTTAACCGGAAATGATCATTTCTAACTCAAACCTTCTATTTTATTTTTCGAAATAAAAGCCTTATTTGAATCTTTTTCGTATTTAATTTTACAATTAGTCGTTTAAAGATATTTTCGGATAAAGATCATTCGGTTTTGGTCTTTGATCCCAACATAAACCGGTAACCAGATGTAAACCGGAGAGTGCTTGATCCCAGAAGCGGCCCTACGTCTTCCTTTCTCTCAAAGGAACGGACATCGACCACCATAAAGGAAGAGAGTGCCCGTCAAACGAGTCGATCGGAGGAAATTCCTCGCCGGAAATCCAGATCGTAAAAATTTTGGCTGCCATGGCGGGGGTTTCGTTGAAGTGCGGCGACTGTGGAGCTCTGTTGAAGTCGGTGGAGGAAGCGCAGGAGCACGCAGAACTCACATCTCACTCAAATTTCGCCGAGTCGACCGAGGCCGTGCTCAACCTCGTCTGCACGACTTGTGGCAAGCCTTGCCGCTCTAAAACCGTATGGATCTTCTTGTGATTTGCTCTAATTTTTGCCTAGTGTATGTATGGAGATTTTATGTGGGGTTTACCTTGGGATTAGGAGGGATATTCCTTGTATTCGGTTCTCTTCAGAAGGCTCGTGTAGCTTCTTTTCAAATTGATGGGTATTGAAGCAAAACAAAGTTCCCCTTTTTTCAAATGTCTCCATAGGAGCAGGTTTCGAATAGTTCCAAGGCTTTTGTTTGCAGTGTAAATTCGTTAGCAGATATTATGAATTGAGTGATCCGATGATGTGAAAAGGAGCCTTTTATTCGATGATTGGGATTTATGAGAATCTGAAATGAATCGTGTTTGGTAATTGATTGTTGTTGAGTTCTGACCTTGTTCTTGATTAACCGTAAAGGAAAGTGATTTACATACGAAAAGAACGGGGCACACTGAGTTCGTAGATAAGACATCCGAGACGTTGAAGCCCATCAGCCTGGAAGCTCCCAAGGTTGCCATGGAGACTGATGAAGCAGATGATGGGGGTGGTAGTGGTCAGCCTGCAGAAGGTAGAATGTCATGTTAGCTTATTCTATGTATTGTGGGAGTTTTTGGTTTTGATTTCAAGATTTTAGTCGTGTTATAAATCTTTATATCTCTTGCAGAGATGATTGTTCCTGAAGTTGACAAAAAATTGCTTGAAGAACTTGAAACAATGGGCTTCCCAACAGCACGAGCAACCCGAGCACTCCACTATTCTGGTAGGAAATTGGATAGCCAACATATTTTTCTCTTAAATCACTTTTGATCCTGAATTGATGTTTGATGTTGTTTGAAATGTTAATTGACTTAATTGGCATGTCTTGTTCAAGGACTCTGTTGATATGATGAAGAACTAATTGACATGTCAAATAGTTTCAATATGTACAATAGCTCAGTAAATTATGGCTACTTAACAGATGCCAGAATATGGAAACCAGATAAGTATTTTTCGTCCAAAACTTTGGGATAGACTTAACAGATGCCAAAATATGTTGCTTCGTTTTTTTGCGTACTCATTTTGCTTTGCTCTGCTTCTCACCTTTGATTTCCTGCTTCCAGGTAATGCTAGTCTTGAGGCCGCAGTTAATTGGGTGGTGGAGCATGAAAATGATCCCGACATAGATGAGATGCCAAAGGTGAGTCTCAAGTTGGTAGTTTGCTTTTCAGCAAAATATGCATCTTCTGCACCTTTTTGTTACCCTAGACATGCATCAAATTGCAACAAATTTTTCATTTTCAATATTACAGTTCGGGTCTCAGCATGCAAACCTTCCTTTTCTTTCCTTTGTGTGTATGTGCGTAGAATTTGCCATTATTAAGGTTATTCTCTTCCGTTAAAGCCTTGTACATATTTTTCTTCTGCAACTGTGTATGATGTTGGTTTCACCATATCATTGGACAAAGATGGGAATGCATGTAGTCTCTAAATTACTTAATGGCTTCAATTAATGAACACCTCTCGGTCTCTGTTGATTAACTGTTTGCATAGGTACCTGCCAACACAAAAGTTGAAGCACCTAAACCTACTCTTACACCAGAGGAAGTGAAGCAGAAAGCACAAGAATTAAGGTTTGATGAGCACTTGGTTGTGTGTCATGTGTATATACATTTCTAGGGTACACCAGCGGTCTTACACTTACGTCATTCACATGGCCTTGTTAAATTTACGCTACATTCTCATGTTCAAACTACAAAATCAGAAAATAATAGTTTTGGAGGTTGATTATTTTCTATCAGTATTTTATATTCCATCTGTTTTACAACTTAGGGAACGGGCTCGGAAGAAGAAAGAAGAGGAAGAGAAACGGATGGAAAGAGAGAGAGAAAAGGTTGTCCATGCATCATTATTTAATATTATACGCCATCTAACTTTTTGTTAGTCTTTTACCTATGTAACTGTTGTTTAATATATCATTAGCTCTTTTTTATCTTCTTCTAACATGATATTGGTATTTGGTTTTAGGAAAGAATTAGGATCGGCAAGGAACTCTTAGAGGCGAAGAGAATTGAAGAGGAAAATGAAAGAAAACGGTTCGTTTTATCCCTTTTATATCAGTTTCATTTAGTAACTTTCGTTTTCTTTACTAGTTCTTTCGTGTTGGTGTATTCATATATATTCAGCATACTCGCTTTGCGTAAAGCGGAGAAAGAAGAGGAAAGAAAGGCTAGGGAAAAGATTCGTCAAAAATTGGAAGAAGACAAGGTCTGAATATGTCTTTCCCTCACATTTTCTGTCTCTTCATTTGGTTCTAGTTGTGTTTTTTAAGATGACATCTGTACCTTTTCATTCGATTGCTCTATTTCTTCTGAATCTTGAGAATCATAACAATATATGGAAACAGGCTGAAAGAAGGCGGAGACTCGGATTGCCACCTGAAGATCCTGCCACTTCAAAACCCTCAACACCAGTCGTTGAAGAGAAAAAGGTAAAAAAATTAAAAAATGTCTCAGTAACGGTCAACATCTGTATTCGTTCAGATGCTCTTTGAAAGACGACCCTGTTGTTTTGCAGAGTTCATTGCCTGTTAGACCTGCCACCAAGGCAGAACAGATGCGTGAGTGTTTGAGGTCCCTTAAGCAAAACCACAAGGTAAAAGACCTATTATCTCTGTGCTGTTTTACGGCCAACTGATTTATCGATAACAAGTCCTGAACAAACCAATGTTAACGAAGAGAATATGATATGTTTGGACTCTGTTCTTGGATTGTTGAATACCTTCGTGGCCTATCCATGATTCAAACAAGCGACATGATGTCATTGAGATTAGCCGTTTCAGGTAATTCAGGATAAGGTGAACTATCTAATTTAACGGTATGACCTATTTGTGGATCAGGACGATGATGCTAAAGTCAAGAGAGCGTTCCAGACTCTACTGACGTTCATAGGCAACGTTGCCAGGAGTCCCGATGAGGAGAAATTCCGGAAAATTAGACTCACCAACCAAACTTTCCAGGTCCAATCACTTGGCCCCGAATCTCCATTTCTCCATTCTCTGTTCTGATTCTAGCTGCCCCGGTTTTTCTTTCTCGGGCACAGAGCAGTTTTCGTTTCACTTGCCCTAATCTCCATATTCTTCTTTTACCGGGGTAAAAAATAAAATATGAACAGGATAGGGTGGGTTCACTGAAAGGAGGCATCGAGTTCTTAGAGATTTGCGGGTTTGAGAAAATGGAAGGAGGAGAGTTCTTGTTCTTAGTCCGGGACAAGGTCGACATGGCGGTTCTGAACTCAGCTGGGTCGGAACTCAACTCCGCCATTAACAACCCTTTCTTTGGAGTTCTTTGAAGCTGAAGAAACTGTTAGACAATACTCTCATTTCACCCTTTCTCCGTCTTCTTATGTCGTGTCTTGTTCTCTCGTCTCTCTTGTGGCTCGTTTTCGTTACAAGACTTTTTTCTCTTAATTGACAAATGGATTGTGCACTGTTATTTCAATTGAACCCTTTTCATTGCTTCAACATTTCAGACTCAGAAATTCTAGTTTATTAAAGACGATTTTACAAAAAAGGTACATCAAATGAGAAATAAGAACCCATCCTGCAATTTCACCGCAATTTACTCAGGTCTCTGTTTTGTGAAAACTCAGCTTGAGGATCTCTTCCTTCTTCAATCTCTTTCTTTACCTTGGCAACTCTCTCAATGATCCGACCAACCGCAATCTCAAACGCATCCTTAACCGGTCTAACCGGCCTCGGTTTTTTGTATATTATCTTCGGTATAAGCCTCACAACTTCTTCTCTCATCTCCCGTATCTTCTTCTGGTTAACCTTAACCAACGATTCCTCGATGCTAACTGTCCGGTTTCTCAGATATTCCTCTGGGATGTAGACCGAGTACTTGGTATGATCCTCGGGGAAATACCAGGTGTATTGGTTATAAGCCGATGCGGGATGGAAGAAAACCGGTATGCAACCTGCCAAAATCGAATCGAATATCGATCTCCGAGTAGCGGAATCTCCCTGAGGTTGTAAACAGAAAACCGAATCTTGGAAAACCTCCATCACCTTAACCGGATTTTCGCAATCCTTAGTCTCTGAACAGTTCAGAAAGTTGCATCTCCCTTGCGATGCAAGGCACTGCCTTATGATCTCTCCCCGTACGGATTCCTCCATTGTCGGCCTCGGAGCTCCAACGAATGAGAACAAAAACCTCCTCTTCGTCTTCTTCACCTTCCTTTGCCACCTCGTTACCTCTGATTCGCTCGTGGGATGAAAATACGTCGGATACGGAATCGCGATATCGTTTTCCCACGCAGTCGCCTCGATCGATAACATCGTCGTGTTCGCCAATTCGGGCAGACGCATCAGTTTGTTTCCCCAACCGGAATCTTCGTCGGAAACCCTTCTGAAATCCCAAGCGATTCGGCCCGACACCAGGAAATGATCTCGCCCGTACAACCTCATCCACTCTGGTCTTTCCGACAGCCACTTCGCCAGTTCTTCCCCGAGTCTGTCTCTAACTGTCACGGTGGTGTCCCACAGATAACGGCTCACATCGAACCCAGCATAGAACGGGACGTATATCGCAGAAGCCAACGACGAATCGTTGGTTAAACACTCGTAGTGTTTCATCCTCTCCCGGAAAATCACCTCGAGCAAGAACTGGTTCGTGGCGTACCAAGAACCGGTTCCGGTTAAGACCCGGTTAGTGTAATCCACTACCTTCGGGCCGAGACCCGAGTTCGCCATGGACGGACACATATCGAACCATTTGATGAGGGTCGAACAGTTCTTGATCACGTCGTCGTTGAATTTGCTGGGGAGATGGTACATATACACGTACCTTCCTGCACAAGAAACGTCGAGTTCTTCATCTTCCACGATCTGTTGCCTTCGGAGGGTTTCTGGATGTTTGACAGTGAGATTTAGGGTTTTATAGTTGGGAGTGATCGATACGAAGAAGTGGTTGACCGTACGAGTGATTTGGTATCTGCGTCCGTACAAATCTGAGTTATTGGTGTTGAGAAGCAGACACAGACAGCACGCAAGTGCTAAGATCGCTACCCGAAGCTTTGGAACTGACTTCTTCATTGTCTTCTGTTACGATCAATTTTTTTTTTTTTTTTTGTTGTTGGAATTACGAAAAGGAAAAATACAGAGCGATGAAGAAAGAAAAGAATTTCCATGCCAAGGAAAGAGGAATTTCAATATGGTAAAAAATCACGTGTTTTCAGCGCAAAAGGAAATAAAAGCTTTGTTTACATAGAGAGGAAGTATAAACATTCGAATATATTTATTTCAGTGGATTACATTGCTTATAATATTTATTTATTACGCTATTTTCTATTTTAGAAAATATGTCCAAAGGGGAATCAAATTTGTGATTGGATATTAATTTGATGGGAGAATCTGCAGTATAATTACATAACTAACTTTCCTCAGGAAAAAAAAAATGGGCAGAATCTGCCAAAAAGTACAAACAAAGAATATAAAATATCTATTTGTATTCGATATCAATATTTTCCTAGAAAAAGGAAAATATTTCCTTGCATGATTTACCACTATTTTCTCATTTCTGTATTAATTTGACTAAAAATAATACTCCTTCTGTTTCAATATAAATGTCCTTTTTCAGTTTTTTCACATTTTTTAAAGAAATTAAAAAAAAAAAGTCATGGATACCTTTATTAAATAATTAATATCCACATTGATACTCTATTAAAGTTTGATATTTTTAATTAATGACAAAATTGAAAATGTTTATTAAAAATCACATAGAAATTCTAAAATGATAACTATTTAAAAATAATAATTTTTAAAGATTAGTTATTAATGGTAGGTAAAATATCGACACAATAACAGAATAAAATCGAAATACAAGTTAAAAAAAAGTAACCGTTTTTTATTTATTTTGCAACTGGTCCCTCTAAAAATTGAAACTTTTAACATTGGACCCAAATTACCCTATATAATTCACATGTCCACCATGGACCATATATCTTCTGTTCTAATTCTAACATCTATTTCATTTCTATAATATAATTATTGTTATTATTATTAAATTTAAAAAACAAATATCAAAATGTAGCAGAGTTCTCTGTATGTCGCTCTCTTTAGCGTTGCAGACTTATTTATTCAAATTGATTTTATTTCGCTTATTTGTTGAATATGGTAAACTAATTTGTGTTTGATTATATTATATTTTTCCATTGTTCAACAATTGGGTAAATACGTACATAAATACCTGATTTTTATAAAATTTTCAAACAAATACTTCAACTATAAAACTTCTATATCTAAACTTTTCAAAACTTCTACAAAAATATCAAAAATTTTAAAAATCTCCCAAATAAAACAATATCCGTTAACGATGTTTAACATGTCAGAATGTTAAGTCATCAATTTCTGACGAATTCTGTTATAAATTAAATGTTGTTAATGAATTTGGATTTTGTTTGGAAGATTTTTAAAAGTTTAGGTATTTATGTAAAAGTTTTAAATATTTATATAGGATATTTATAATTTTGATATTTATGTGAAGATTTTTTAAAAATTCAGATATTTATATGTGATTTTCTCAAATTTTTATTAGAATTTTCCCCTTTGTATAATTTTTTTTTTCATTTTTCGTATACCTGACTTTTACATTTTTGGCTTGTTTGTGATTCTAGAAACACTTTTACATTTATCTACCATATTTCACAGGCTTTGTGTTAAAAAAAATAATATATTTCAAAATTATTCGAGAATTTTATGTCTAAATTTGATAAATCCAACCAAAACAAATTGATTTGAATTTATTTTGAAACTGTTTTTTTATATATCACATGTGAATCTAAAAACCGAACTATTTCTTAACCGAAAAACCACATGAAAGGTGTGTGTGAATAATAGATGTATTTTATAATTTTTTTCGGATTAAATTAATTGAATTTTGCTAGGTTAATTTTATATACACACACCACGGTATTGCTAAACGTTTGGGTTGTTTCGATGAAGTCTCTCCATGTTCTTTTTAAACCAAAACATTCTCCCGCTAAGATCTCTTCACCGGCGACCGATCGCCGGATTCCGGCCGAGACCCACTTCATATCTCTCATCCATGCCTCGGGAGACATTGCCACTCTCCGCCGTGTTCACGCCCATGTCCTCCGTCGCGGTCTTCTCAGCAGCCGCATCGTTTCCCAGCTGATCTCTTGCTCTTCTCTCCTCAGGTCTCCAGAGTATTCGATCTCGATTTTCAGACACTTCGATGATAAAAATCTCTTTGTTTTCAATGCTTTGATTCGTGGGTTGTCGGAGAATTCCCGTTATGAGTGTTCTGTTCGTCATTTCATTCTGATGCTGAGGCTCGGTGTAAGACCCGATCGACTAACTTTCCCGTTTGTGCTGAGGTCTAATGCGAATTTAGGGTTTTTACGGTTGGGTTTGGCTCTTCACGGCGCGATGATGAAGAATGGTGTTGATTTTGATTCCTTCGTCAGGGTATCTCTGGTTGATATGTATGTGAAGATCGAAAAATTGGGTCTTGCGTTGAAAGTGTTCGACCAAAGTCCAAACAGAATCAAGAACGGAAATGTTCTAATATGGAATGTTCTGATAAATGGGTATTGTCAAGCTGGTGACTTGCAGAAGGCTGTGATACTTTTCGAGTCAATGCCCGAGAGAAATTTAGTGTCTTGGCGCACTCTGATCAAAGGTTATATGGGCAGCGGTGAATCTGTTAGAGCGAGAGAGCTTTTCGAACAAATGCCAGAAAAGGATGTGGTTTCTTGGACAACACTAATTAACGGGTTTTCCCAAAATGGTGACCATGATATTGCAATTTCTATGTTTTTTAGGATGCTGGATGAAGACATAAACCCCAACGAGTACACAATTGCTGCTGTACTCTCTGCATGTTCAAAAGCTGGTGCTCTTGGATCAGGAGGAAGAATTCATGGTTACCTTTCGAACAATGGGTTTAAATTAGACGGAGCTATAGGGACGGCTCTGGTGGATATGTATGCAAAATGTGGGGAAGTTGACACTGCAGGTAGAGTGTTTGGCGATATGAAACATAAGGATATTCGTTCTTGGACAGCCATGATACAAGGTTGGGCAATCCATGGGCGCTTTGAGGAGTCCATTCAGTGTTTCAGAAAAATGATGTATTCCGGTAAAAAGAACAGCCTTTGTCCGTGTCTTAAGCTTTATGTTTTGTTTCTTCGTGCCTATCTATCCAGTTTAGGTGTTCAAGTTTTCGTCATTATGTGCAGGAGAGAAGCCAGATGAAGTCTTGTTTCTTGCAGTTCTAACCGCTTGCTTGAACTCGGGAGAAGTGGACTTAGGACTTAATTTCTTTCACAGCATGCGGCTTGACTATTCGATTGAGCCCATGATGAAACATTATCTGGTAGTCATCGATATGTTAGGTAGAGCTGGGGAGTTGAACAAAGCGCTTAAGTTCATAAAAAATATGCCAATAGATCCTGATTTTAAGATATGGGCTACACTCTATCGTGCCTGCAGAGCTCACAAAAACGTTAAAATGGCTGAGATGGTATACCAGAATCTTCTGGAGCTTGATCCGAAGCATCCTGGAAGTTGTATTTTCTTATGTAACGTTTATGCAGCTGAAGGGAAGTGGCAAGAGGTAGAGAGAACAAGAACACTGATGGAAAAGACAGTAAGGGAGACATACCAGGAAGGGAGTTATACTGAACTAGATGGTCTAGTGCACAAGTTTTCAGCCGGTGATTATTCTCATAAGCTAGCAAAAGAGATACACTTGAAGTTAGAGGAGATCGTATTTCTGGCTAGACAGAAAGGTTACAGTCCAGGAACTGGATGGTCGGTTCACAATATCGAAGAGGAAGAGAAGGAAAGTGTCACGGGAAGCCATAGCGAGAAACTGGCTCTTGCTTTCGGGCTCATTAGGACTGATCCTGGAATGGCAATAAGAATAGTGAAGAACTTTAGAATCTGTGGGGATTGCCATTCTCTGATGAAATACGCAAGTAAGATCAGCCAGAGAGATATCATCGTGAGAGATGCAAGGCAGTTTCACCGTTTCAAAGACGGGATTTGCTCTTGTAGAGATTATTGGTGAAAAAAAGCTGATTGATCCAACTTTTTTTATATGTTACCTTCGAGATGAATTCTTTCGCAGCATTCAATCCAGTTGGGGCCAATTTCCATGGGAAGGTGAATGCCTCAACCACCAATGAACACTCTGCGGTACCAGAGAAAGCTGGGCTGCCACTTGCCTCTGTCGCATCCAGGCACGATCCTTCTCCTCCTCGGTGGGCCTTTCGGCGAGAAGATTTGCCGCCTGACTCAGTTGGCTTTGGAGGTCAAATATCTGGCGGGAAGGAGATCGAATACCTGATTTTTGTGCATCTGATCTCAACCTCATGCCTTGGATTTTTTCGGTCAATCTATCCTATCTCTATCTCGTGAAGGTCGGATGCCTAAATTTCAGATATCCATGAGATGCGGTGAGGGTTCGGATACTTGCTCTACGCATGATCTTTCTTCACATTCAGCAGCTGGCGTTAGAGGAGTCAAATATCCGGAACAGAGGTGGACACAGATCGGATATCTTGGGTCTTGGATTTTTCGGTCAATTATCCGATCTCAGTCCATTACTTGGTGTTTTGTCTTAGTAGCTCAGTTTTCTGATTGTTTCTTCGTGTTGGTATTCGTAGATAGCGGAAGAAGGTGATCAATTTGAAAGAAAATACGACTTTGGCATTACAAAGTCTATTTGATGCGCCTGGGATTTGGTTACAACAATTATCTATGGACGGAAATAAATGTATGTGAAGGGTGAATACAGAAAATACATAAATCTTTTTTTTTTCTGTATCTCCCAAACACGTAGAAATGTTCCTATTGTAGATATTACTATAACTCTCTCTACTTCAAGAACAAAGAAAAAAGGAGATGATCTAACCGGATGAAACTGCCGACACAATGTTGAGGTACCTTCTTCGGCACTTTCTCTGTGTATGGTTGAAAAAAAAGAAGCTTTTGGTTATATAGATCTTCTCATCTTTCTGATTCAGTTACAGTTGAATTTTCCTGAGAAGATGAATCTGTGTTATCATCATCTAACCGGCTGCTAAGAATCTCCATAACATTATCCGGGGGGCATTTATCCTCGGGGTTCTTTGGATTTGTCTGGCAGAAGCATTCGGGCCATGAGTTTGTATAAAACGACTCTGGAGTTACACGTTTGTGAGGGCCGCCAAAGTTTGCTTTCAGCATTACCCGTCTTACCGCTTCTTCAAATCCAGCTGTTTTCCCGTTCTCTCTAGCGATGAAAACCGGAGCTAGAGCTTTTCTGTCGGGCCTGATCGTAGTACGGAACCCATAGTAAAGCCTGTGACCGAGGAGATTGTTGGCGAAGTTGCTCGGTCCATCATATGTTGGCATGAAGATGTCGGAGAGAAGACAGACCATGTAATCCACGGCTGATCCTATTAAGCCTTGAGTATTTGTTGTCAGCTCTTCAGATGGGTCCACTGAGCTATGGTTATCCAGCCTCGGGAATAATGTTCGGAATGGTTTCATGAATCGTTCCCCACCGAAAAGTTCTCCAGCTGCTAGGAATATCCTCGTGGAATTGTCGAACCCCATGGCCCGTAAAATAAGACCCACCTGAACCACAAAGACAGGTCAAATTTGACAAGACGGCCAAAGCGGAATTTCTACAGCCAACTAAAGCCGCTCCTAGTGTTGGTGTGTAGCTATTCTGCATTATCAGGGATGGATCTCAACCATGGTAAATAGAAATAACACGAAGGAATTAAGGAATGGATGAACCTCCTCTGGAGTCAGTGGACACTTTCCGATAGCCCGTCTTTCATTGTAAACAAGCCTTTTCTCCTTAAAATTTTCCTTACGGTACTTCCTAAGTATCTTCTGCTCTTCAGGGTTGAATATGTCGAAACATCTGCAGAAATGGAGAAATGAGAAACTGTTAAAAGACAATCAACTTCGTCTGCAAAAACTTCAGCGTGACTTGCTTAATTAGTGCATAAGCAGGATGCATCAGCTAGCATGCAATTGTTTACAAAATGACTATAGTAACCAGAATGGCGCCTATTGCCGCTAATTGGGATGAGAGAGAGTAGCACAAGAACTTACCCTGCAAAGGCCAACATATCCATTTCAAAACGAAGATGAATAGACATGAAGTGACCCTGTGACCGGAGCTTGTCGACAATCGATTCACTCAACTTCATGATGTGAGGCTTGAATCTCAAAGCATGGTAGTTGACTCTGCACCTTAATCGTTGGTATTCTGAATTGTCAATTTCTTCTGCCAGCCGATGTGAAAAAGGTGTAAGATATATAGCACCGTGTTCCTTCATTGCCTTTAGAGCAGTTGTCAGGTACCATTCAATAGGAGCATCTCGAGGGGGACGAATCTGAAACAGTGAAAAATGAGGGCTACGCTGATATATCACCTTTGATCCAAGAACACAAGCTGCCTAATACATAAGCAACCAGTGCTTACTCTTCTACCTGAAAAGCTTTTATCTTCTTGGTTTTTCCATTTTTGCGAAAAAATGTTCGACGTCATAGATACCTTGGAAACCGCTGCGCATATGACAAATGTATTAACATACTGATTCGCAGTAGCAATCAATTTGGAACGAAAGCAACATCAGTAAAGAAGCAAAGATGGATGCGTTAAGGGAAAATATTAGGGGCAATTAAGACTGAAGAAACACCTATAGTCAGAGCAGATAACGCAATTTTTTTTTTCGGAGTATAGTGATACATGTCCTTAACACGAGGCAAGCAAAACAGTAAATCTTGAGCCAGGTTGTTAACAGAGAATTTAATTTACTGCTGAGACGTGAAAGACATAAAGCTCAATAACCTCCAACAATCCAAACTTACGTTATCATTACAACCAGAAGAAGCAAATTCCTTTGCTTAAGCAGATTCACTAATTATCTAACAATCAATCTTAGAACAAGGATCGGTTAATAATCTTCGCAGATAGCCAAATTAGATGGAAAGAAAGGACAATCAGACAAATCGGAGGAAGAAACTCGGGGGAAACAAAAATACCTGTCATCATGCCAAAAGGAGTTTGCATCCAACTCAGGCAGCACAAGTGTAGCATTCATGATTCGGGCAGCAAGGACTGCATTACATATCTGCAAATTTTCAGATGTCAACATTAGTCAAAGCGAAGATGAAGCGACCAGATTCACAGGACAGATTGAAGGAAGCCTGTAGTCCACTTTATCCATGGTTCTAAAGAGCTCTGTGAATCGATCCACGCAGAGAACCAATGCAATTTCAGTGAAGAAGAAAAGAAAGAAAGCATGATAGCTAATCTCTTGGCTATATGAAATAACACCTACCGCACTTCGTTGCTGATTCAAACCACCATTACAACGAACACGAAGGTAACCATTTGTCTCCTTAGGAGGAGCTGCAAAAGGAATTAAAAGCTTATATCACCATTATGCATTTCCAATGCCCTAAAACTTTAACAAAGGAATCGAGTCAAATCTTTACTGTTCGAAACACGAGATGCACATACGGGGCCAATCAGATCGCGGTGCAGATGATGGTCTCCAACCACTAGACTCAGCACTCCCCCAGAGCCGTTCCACATTTATCTGCACAATAATCGTATATAACACCATCTAAAATCTTCCATTATCAGAGTGATACAGTTCTGGATCCATATACTTGCATAGGCCCGTGGTTCCAGAAGTAAACTCAAAACTAAGATTTCCATTTTCCCTCACTTTCTCGCATTTTCTCACCAACCAAACAGAAAACCTAATCTTCAACTAAAAATCACTACTCCTATAAGAAAAAGAGTCCAGCTAACCTGGGATGGACCAGTGGGCTCGCGATTACCGCCGATTGTAGCAGAGAAAAGCAGAGAGAGCGTGCAGATCAGTAGAACGAGCACTCCGATCGACAGCTTCGCCACCATTCCCTTCGTCCCCAGTCCTCCAGGCTTCCCATGAAGCCGGTGATGCCCAAACCTGAGATTCACTCACAATCATCACAGATTTAACCGATAGATCTCTAAAGACGCATCCTTCAAACCAGAATCCAAACGAGAGAACGAAAAATTTCTTGAAAAGCATCAACAAGAAAGCAATCACCTACCTCCGCATCGCGTTCCGAACCCGGAAAACAGAAATTTTGCTCCAGTGATCATAGAGAATATGCAGAAATCTCAGTGAAGGGAGAACACTCTCTCTCTCGGGTTTTTTACCCAAATAATTCACTTGGTCGCATCTATTTCGTCTTTACACCACCGAAAACCTAACACATTTTTTTCCATGCGAAAAGACGAAATTATCCTTAATAAATTACGATATTTATCCGTTCGAAAACAACTTCGTTATTACGACTTCATAATTAAGTCTAAATATAGTTACAATTGATTCTAAAAAAGTGGCAAAAAATCATCTGTCTTGTTTTTTAGTTGTATATCAATTATATGTTAGTCGTAATAAAGTCACAAAAAATAAAACGAAAAGGGTATTTCAGATTTTTCTCACCGAAAAGTGGGTTAAAATTGAAAAAAAAAAATTTTTTTTTTGGTGATGTACACTGAAATAGATGCGATCGAAGTGGGTTATTTGGGGTGATTTTCCCCTCCCTCTCTCTCTCTCTCGCTGTTTTACGAGATGTAAACTATTTTTTGTTTAATTTAATTTTTAACAACTAAGCTTCTCTGGATCATCGTACCGGTGACTGAACTGACAGATCCTCGGTTTACTGGACCGAACCGGTACGCTCTTTAACCGGTTAAAGAAATTATCTGACTCCGCCCGGAGGATAACCAGCATCAGTCTTCTTCGGGTCCGTGCTCTGCGCCGCATACAGAAATCCGAACACTCCGACGATCGCTCCGGTCTTCCCCGCCGCCGCTGAGATCCCGTGGCACGTTGATCGTAGCCTCGCCGGGAAAATCTCCGCCGGAACCACAAACGTCGTCGCGTTCGGCCCGAAATTCGCGAAGAACATCGTCAGGGAATACATGATCAGGAACCCAATTCGATTATCCTTGTGCCTCCAGTGATCGTAAGGGATAGCGAGAGCGAACATGAAAATGGTCATGAAGACGAATCCCATCAATTGGATGAAGAATCGGCCGAGACGATCGATGAATGCGACGGTGAACCAGTAACCAGGGACGGTGCCGCAGAGCGCGATTAAGGTTTGGGCTCTAGCAACTACGAAGACCTCGTGGATGGCGTTCATGGTTTCAGCGGCGGGAATCCATCCGATGGCGGAGTAGATGTCCTTCTGGAAGAGGTTGTTGCTATAGTAGGCGATATCGAGGAGGAACCATGTAGTGGTGGTGCCGACAAGGTGGAGGCCATGACGGCGAGCGAATTCTCTGGAGAAGAGACCGAAGGAATTAGGGTTTGATGATGAAGACGACGACACTGCTTCTCCTTCCTTGTCTTCTTCTTCTACCAGATCCACATGAAGCACCTGGTAGAACCATCGGCATTATTCTAATCGCCATAAACTTTTGTTTACCCGATGAAATGGCATCGAAGGAAGTGATGCAAGAGTGTGAGCATACCTTGGACATGTCGCGAGCGGCCTGTCTGGTATTCCGGGCAACGAGAGCGGTATACCGAGCAGTTTCCGGCATCTTCATCCGCCAGTAGTACGTCATCAACGCGGGAAAAGCCCCGAACATGAGCACGATCCTCCACACGTAGTCGGCCTCGGACACGGTCGATCCCACAGGGTCGGCCTCGTAGGGCGGGGCATCGAACGCGTGGTCAAACGCGCTCGACACGATCAGAGCCACGATGCCTCCGGCGAGGATGCCGAAGCCCTGCATGGCGAAGACGGCCGCAATGAACGCGCCACGTGTCTTCTTGTTGGCGTATTCGGACATGATGGTGGCGGAGAGGGGGTAATCCCCGCCGATGCCGAACCCCAGCCAGAACCTGAAGAAGCAGAGCGTAGCCATCACGCCCTTTGCCGAGTGTCCGAACGACAGTCCCGAACAGAGTGAGCACCCCATCATCAGCATCAGTGTGATGCCTATAAAGAATGGTACGTAGGACAAATTCATTCTTGGAAATGAAAAAAAAATGTTGATCTGAACAAATTCTTATCCTCACTGTATTTTATCTGCGAATTGAATATCGGAAAACTTTGATATTTGTTTGTTGGTGAGGTGAATACGGGTTCGTCGACGACGAGAACCCGACCTTTAGGTTCGAGTTTGGATTTTGGTCGGTGAGGATGGCGAGATGAAGTGTATTGGACCGAAGAGACGACGTTGTCGACGGGCCGTGGTTGAAGAGAGAATGCGAGAGCGAGGCGATTTTAAAATCAGAAGATTGAGATTGGATACCCGAGCTCTCGCAGATACCTAAAGCTCGAGTATCCCCCATAAGAGACCGATATCAAATAGTACGACTGAGAAATCTTTTGGGGATAAGATTGAAATTGGATACCCGATCGATGTCTCTCCCTATAACTATATAGAAGTGAAAATTTGGAAGATAGTACAGGGGGAGATACCGTAGATTTTCTTGCGGCCGAGCTTGTCACCGAGCCACCCGAAAAAGAGTTGGCCTGCGAGGGTGCCGCAGAAGGCGACACCATTGACGGCGGCAGCGACATTGGGAGGGAGAGTGCCAGTTTTCTTGGAACCGTCGACATGGTAATAGATGCGGCCGAGGAGCTTAGTGATGAGAGATATACTGAAGAGGTCGTAGGTGTCCGTGAAGAATCCCATACCGGCTATCACTATGGCCGTGAAATGGTACATCTGCGTCTTCGCCCCGTCCAACGCCTTCAACACTTCTCCCCCTTTCCTCCCCATCTCGTGCTTCCTTTTTTTTGCCCAAACAAGACTTAACCTTGAGAAAAAAGGTAATCATGCATTATACATTTGTATACATACACACACATATATATATATATATATATATATATATATATATGCATAGCTGTGTATTACCATTATGAAACAAGAATCATATCATTATATACGTATGTATATGTATATCATATTTTGAGACAGACAAGAGAGGGAACAACCTTGGAGAAGGAACTTCAAGTGAAGAGAGCTCGAGTTTGGGAAGACTTCGCTATGAAATGGGTGTTTAAATGCAATCCAAACATACGAATCGTATACAGAATCTCAAGGCATATACCTCTTCAATATTACTTTGGTTTTTATTTGTCTTTAATTTAATTTAGTAGTTATTGTATTCATGTGAAACCAAACTCTTTGCTTTGCTTGTCTCGCTTTCTCTCTGCAATCTTATTTTTATTTGTTATTTAGGTGGGCATAATATTCTTCTAAACTCATATCATAAAAATTAAATTGAATAAAAAAATTTATAACGACCGTAACACTATGTTACAAGACATCATTAATTTTCTCTCGAAAATATTTGAACAATAGCCTAATAGATGTAAAAGTTATGGTAACATAATCCCATAGTATAAATAAGAATCTGGATCCAATAACCGTGATAACATAATTTATATAATGAAAAAAAATACCTTATCGTACATGTTTTTTTTTTGTTAAACCCTTATAGTATGTTACAAATCAGTCACGATCTGGTAATTATGGCCATATAAATTATGTTATCACCATTTTGGATCGGGATTCTTATGTAAAACTTTCGTGATCAATCCATTGTAAAACTTTCTACATATACACACGTTATCACTCTTATTGATGGAACCTTTTTTTTTTCTAACACGATCATTTTGAATCACTAACATGGTTATACACTTATAGTTAGTTATCTACGTTTTAATTTAGATAAATAAAATCGACTCTAAGTAAAATTCAACTTGAATCAAAATCCAATTGTTTTGGAAACAAAAAAAAAAATCCAATTTTTTAAAATAAAATAAGTGAACTAAAACCCAAAAATTACATATACAATTTTGTAGCATGAATAGTTTGAAAATCGATCCAAGCTTCAATAATGCATGTAAAACAAGATGAGAAAAGAATTATAAGGTATTCTTAGTAGAAAACTATGATTTTATGATTATCATATTCCATAGATTGCAACTTTGAACTTCTTAAGAAAGCGATCCACCTATTTTATATTGTGCGAGTGTGCATGTATACATAAAAACTACACATAATCTCAACACGTGTCTAGAATGCTACGACACGAAAAAAAGTGTTTGAGTTTTCTTTTTTAGTTTTAATAATATGTAGTTAGGATTATTAATTCGTTGAATCAAACACGTACGTTGAAGTCAACGGTCCAAAAATTAATTATAAATATCGAATAATACTACAAATATTAATTTTTATTCTTGTCGTTACGAACAGTAATCAAATTTTTTTTTTCCTGCTCTAAAGAGCTCTGTGAATCGATCCACGCAGAGAACCAATGCAATTTCAGTGAAGAAGAAAAGAAAGAAAGCATGATAGCTAATCTCTTGGCTATATGAAATAACACCTACCGCACTTCGTTGCTGATTCAAACCACCATTACAACGAACACGAAGGTAACCATTTGTCTCCTTAGGAGGAGCTGCAAAAGGAATTAAAAGCTTATATCACCATTATGCATTTCCAATGCCCTAAAACTTTAACAAAGGAATCGAGTCAAATCTTTACTGTTCGAAACACGAGATGCACATACGGGGCCAATCAGATCGCGGTGCAGATGATGGTCTCCAACCACTAGACTCAGCACTCCCCCAGAGCCGTTCCACATTTATCTGCACAATAATCGTATATAACACCATCTAAAATCTTCCATTATCAGAGTGATACAGTTCTGGATCCATATACTTGCATAGGCCCGTGGTTCCAGAAGTAAACTCAAAACTAAGATTTCCATTTTCCCTCACTTTCTCGCATTTTCTCACCATTTCGTGAAATAAATATTTTGGGCCAAGCCCGGCCCAAGGATAAAAATGGAAACACGATGCGGGAAAACAAAGGCCCACCCAGTTGTTGTTTTTTTCCTTTTGAAAACCAAGGATGGGATCAAGATGAGACGACAAGACGGAGAAGAAGTTCGGGTGAATGCACGAACTCCCCTACTGTTCGAGCTCTGGATTCGCTTTTCCCATATCTGAATCGAAGGTAAACGCGTCGAGATTAGAATTTTGAGTTTTGGTGTTACGAGATTTTGAATTGTTGCTTTCAAAATCTGCCTTTTGGTTTCTGGTTTCGTTGAAGATTCTGTGAGCTGGGTAGGGTTTCAACGTTTCTGCTGGTTCAGAGCATTCTCTGTGCTGGGATTTTGACTGTGTTTCTTCTTATGTTTTGTCGGAATCCTGTAACTTTTTTTGCCCCCATTTCATCGTGCTTCACCGGAATTCTGTAGCTTCTCGTTGTGGGTTTGATTTACACGGTTGAGATGTTTCATTGTTTCATCAGCTTCAACTCTCAAAATTTTCAGAACATTCAGTGTATATAATTCGGGTATAGTTTGAAATTGAATCATTGGGTGTCGAATTTTGAATTGAAATCAGGGTTTATATCGCAAGAATTGGAACTAATGCCGATGGTAAAAGTAATTTCTAAACCTAAGGGATATATTTTGAAACAAATAATAAATACAGGTACTGAAGCATAATTTTGTATTTTCTGACAGAATAAAAAAATGGAAGAAAACCGAAAGGGCAAGGGTCATCGACGGCGACAAAGAAAATAAACCCTAAGCTCGATTGCATAAACCTCCATAAACCCTACCTCCTCCGATAAACCTTAGCAGCACCACGGCGGCGAATGTCAAGTCCGACGAAGAAGATGGAGAATTCCGTCTGCGATGAGTGCAAAGCGAATCCATGGAAGTATAAGTGCCCTGGTTGCTCGATTCGCTCATGTAGCCTCCCTTGTGTGAAGTCCCACAAGCAGCGGACAGGCTGTTCCGGCAAAAGGAATGTTACCCAGTTCGTTCCTCTGTCTCAATTCGACGACAATCTCCTCCTTTCCGGTAAATTCTCCGCTTCCTCTTTCGCTTTTTGTGTTTCTTAAACTGTAGATTGAAGAATGCCCTGTATAGGATTCTTACATCTATCCAGTGCTTAACAACAAGGTGGAATTTCTTTCTTCTCCTAGATTACAATATGCTGGAGGATGTGAAAAGGGTGGCCGAGTCTGCACAGAGAGTGAGAACTAAATTATGCAGATACCCTTATTTTAGGTTACCCTTTTTTCTTCAGAGTCTCCGGAGTGCTGCAGCAAGTCGCAGAACAAAGATATTGTTCCTCCCCAACGGAATGATGAAGAGGGAAAAGAATCAAACTCGATATGATAACAGGTAGCCATTCATTCTTATGGAACAAGCTGAAAGTCTATATTTTTTTTATCCTTCTCATTGGCTAGCAAGCATAAGGTGTGCCGGACCATGTCTATAAGTTTGACAATTGGATCCAAACTTGGATAGTTCAACCCGTCAAAGGGGTGCAAAGTGTCTCTCCCGTCACGAATTTAGGGACAAGTTTGGGTAGGGGTGAATATTCCAAATCACACTCAATGTTTGACAATTGGTTCCAGTATTGGGAGGAAATCACGTAAATCCTTCCATTTGTCGGTTTACCGTTCTATGCCGGTCATGCTTTTTCAAGTTTGTTGGAAATGGTAGCCGTGTTCACCATGTCAAATGCGTGGATGAGAATAAAGACTTTTCTGTCATTTGAGCGATCGAGTTCGCAATTATATTTGTAGTTGTTGGGGGACCACTTGCTTTGCAAGTTCTGTTTTATGATTAAAAGACTTGCTACTAAGATCTAGACCAGCCTGCCGTTTATTATTATTATTATACGATCCTGTGTTAGCTTTAAACTATGTGTAAAGACTCTTGGCTTTTGCTTCAGGAAAAAGACTATCTCATGGACAATTGAGTGGCGGTTTCACTCTACAGATGTGGTTTTAACCGACCATGGGTAAGATTTCTCTCTCAGTGCCAGCAAACGGTATTTGTTTTTTAGAGCCCTTGATCTCATCCTTGGTAAAATGACCGAGTCTGTTCACAACAGAGTTAGTGAAGATACAAGCCTTAACACTCTGTTGAGGAATCATCTGAAGCCTGGCCCCTGGATTCATAAGCTCAAACCGTTTTGCGATGTGGAGCTTGATTCTCTAAAGTGTTTCATCCGCAAATACCCAAAGGTCAGACTTTGTTACCCATAAATCGGTTATTCGTCATGTGAATTTCTAAAAACATGCTGCTTTTGGATTTCCGGTACAAGTTTGATCTTGATTCACCTCAAACATGCTCATACTGTTTCTGGTTTTGATACAAGTTTTATCCGTGGATCTGACCCTATTGCCTGAAGTGCAATATTCTGACCAAAATAAATTCACGAGTCCTCTCCTCTGCTTCACAGGGTGCCAAGTCACCATTCAAGGAGCTCAACATGAAGGCTCCACTGAGACAACAGCTTGGCCAAACAGTAATCTTGGAGTACCCTGTGATCCATGTCTTTCTCCCTTCCCAGAGCTATGACTTTGAAATCATCAAAGACACAGTCCATGTAAACTCAAGACCTGCCCCTAAGGATTCTGTAAACAAAGCTGAAGAAGGTCCACATGGTATAACCTTCAAAGAAGAGGAAATAGAAGGAGACGATCTTAGTTCCTTCGAGCCAAAGGTCCTCGATCTTATCAAACAAGTGAACTGTAGCCCATGTCAGCCAGCCCCAGAAGAAAGCAGGGTCGAGAATGGAGTTCCTCGCGATTCGAATCCTCGGGTTGAGAGAGGAGAAGAAGGTGGAAATTGTGGTGAGATGGAGCTAGAGCTCGATCAAGGGTTACTGGATACCTACTCGGAAATTTTCGCAGAGATGAATCCGGATGACTTCTTCGATTTTGAAGGTGACTTGGAAATAGACGACGACGGGAATCTGGAGAATCTTGGGATAGGTTTCGCAGAAGATGGGCCAGAGGAAGGAGAGATCGTAGAGTAGTGTGACTGTAAATAAGATTTTACATGCGCTTGCGTATTCTTATTATTATTCAGACAAAACGTGTACTGTATGTACCCTTTCTGCATGCACGTACATGACCATACCTTATATATATGTACACCTTTTCATATTGTTAAGCTTTTTTTTGTTGGGAAAATTATAGAATAATACGACATTAGGGATAATATCAGAGATAGTGAGAAACCGAAACTGCTAAGAACTGGACTCTGAGTCTATGACATACATAACGTCTTTCACTAGAAACCATACCGACAGTTTTATTCATCCATAACACAAACATGCACATACATAGTCATCATCAAGACAACCCGGTTATTCACTAATTCATACAAGATCCAGTGTGTACATATATAAGTGTGTATGTATATAGTTATACTATTTCACATCATGTCGCTGATGTATCTCACATATGGGTTCGGGTTCTCGAGCACTTCTTCCTCCAAAGGAAGTAGTAAGATCTGTGGCTCGGGCTGTTGTCTCTCCTCCGGCAATCTGATGCTACGGCTTCGGGTTTGAACCTCTCTAGGTTCATAGAAATCTTCCTGAGCCATCGGTACGAAGGTGCGTGCGATAACCGCCGGTTGAACTGGACGTCTGACCTGGTCTGGGTTCAAGAACTGTTGGTACCACTCTCCAGATGATCTCATGTGACGTTTCAGGCCGTCTTTGTAGTCCACGTAGTACAGACCAAACCTCGTGCTGTATCCGAGGTTCCACTCGAAGTTGTCCATCAATGACCAGAAGAAGTAGCCTTTCACCCTCACCTTGTCCTCACTGTAACCCACGTCGTCATTTCAGAAGTGTCAAGAAAGTGTGGCTGCGTTTACAAAGTTATTACAAAGGTATGAAAACAGTGTTACCAGACAGCTTTCTCAAGGTTCCATAGATGGTCTCTGATGAAGTTCTTTCTTGATGTATCTATTCTGGCTTTTTCAACGGACTTCCTACCATCATCGAACTCATCCAACCCTGTAGAAGACAAGCAAAATCACTCATATATATATATATAGAGACACGTGCAAGTTTGTAAACATAGTTTGGTCACTCGCCGTTTTCCATGATATAGATCTCTGGATTCCTGTACATGTCCTTGATGTAGTTGAGCAGATTTCTGAGACCCTTTGGGTATATGACTATGCCCATTGAAGAAGCCTGAAAATTGGAGGTCGACATATATATTATAATTAAGATATTGAGCACATTTAACGTATGTCTTGTGCAATCCCTGCCCTAATCACTTGCCTTGTGGTTAGGAGAACCCTTTTGCACATCTGCAAGAACCAAGGTAGAACTAAAATCATCAAATTTTGTCCTTTTGGTTAATTATAGCGTAAATGCAAAACAGATTTTGGTCCGAAAGTTAACTGAGATTTGTCACTTACTTTTCCAGTCGAGGCCGTGATCGTTCGCGTAGCTGATTTGAGATCTGTTCACGTCGTTTCTTGAAGTCGTGAAGAACGCTCCATAGTAATTTAGTCCCACGAAATCCATCGAAGTTGTCAGCTTTCGGGATTCTTCTTTGCTGAAAGGAGGCAGCCTTTCCCCTACAGTCTCCTTCATTATCTGGGGATAGTCTCCGTACGTTAGAGGGTGCAAGAACCTGATGAGATTATCAAGAAAAGAAATGGATACAAGAATCAGAAAATCATATAAAACAATTTGTCCATTTGATTACAAGAACGACGTAGAAAACGTCTGTAACGAGAGAAAGAGCGAGAATTCACCAGCCGAGATTGAATTCGAGAGATTTTATCGCGTCTATATGGTCACTCTCGGATTGAGGATCGTGGGCTTCAAACCAGGGGCAGTTGAAAACTATTCCGATCTTTCCTCCGTTTTCTTGGCACTGTTTTGTCCGCAGGATCGGATCAGCGATCGAAGATAAACCAAAAAACTCTCCAAAACCGATTCAGGAATCGAAGTTTCAGCGTACCTTTTCGCATTTCCTGAACTCTTCGGCTGCGGCTAGGTGGGCAAGGAGCTGGTTGTGACTGGCGATGTAAGGCTCGGTTCCCGAATCGCCTACAAGGCACGTCTCGTTCACCCATTTCGAGCATCTTCCCGGTGCTTTCTTCCCCCTGCTGTATCCCGCGACGCTGTAAACCCAAGGCTCATTGAACGTCGCCCAGTTCTTGACTCTGTCTCCGAATCTTTCGAAACAAATCCTCGAGAACTCTCGAAAATCGTCCCTACAGAAGATGAATCATCATTCTTGGTTTTTTTCTTTCTGAACTTGTTTGTTTGAAAAGCTTTGAATTGCTTACACGATGCGCCTGCTCAGAAAACCTTCGTACTCTTCTTCAAGAACCAGCGGAGTCTCCCAATGGAACAGAGTCACAGAAGGTTGAATCCCTACACACAAGAACGGATCGGCAAGGTAGAAAAAAGTTAGCTCAAGATCACGAGAGTTTGTCCGTTTTTATGTATCTTGATCTGTATATATCAGGAATTTAAGGAACAAATGTGAAGATACACGGACCGTTCTCGATCAAAGCATCGATAAGGTTGTTATAGAACTTGATCCCGTCCTCGTTCACGCCTTTGCTCTCTCGCCCATCTGACCAAAGTTCGGGATTTTCTCGAATCAAATCAGCTTGTATATACATACACACAACAATACTATCTGTACAAAGCGCTTACGAGGCAAAATCCTCGTCCAAGAGATCGAGAATCTGTATCCATTCGTGTTCAGCTCCTTCATCATAGCGATGTCTTCCTGCAAAAAACACGTTTAGATCATCTCCATGTAAGTGAACTCTTAAAAGATACAACAGGCAGTTCTGATTATGAGCATCATTAACACTAAACGTGCTTAATTAGGACATATATACACACACACCTCATAGCGATTGTAAGAATCTGTGGCGATGTCTGCGTCGGCTCGATCAACTACCTTGTCTGAAATGTTTCAAGAATGGACATGCATTAACTGTTTTGCCACGGGATTATTATTATTTTTTTGTCTGGTTATAAGTTCCAAGTCAAGAGAGAAATTAACGTACCTGCGAATTTGTGGGTAAAATCATCCCAAGTAGTGAGGCCTCTTCCGAGACCATTTTTCACTCCTTCGACCTAATTAAGCATCGTGTCATGTTAATCCCAGACACGATCAAACTATGCATACGCATACACACACACACACATGTAAACATATATGTATGTAAATACGACCAGTTTCTTCAGTAAGAAGTAACTGAGATTCAAGTCACATGATTTCTTTTCCACTATTAATCATTTTGCTCCTCGCAAATTTTGAAATATCCACAAGTTTGTCAGCATAAGCTTAGAGAGTTTATTCCATGAAAGCTTACCCAAAGTTCGTCAGTAATTCTCTAAGTTAGCAATTTGTGAAATTGAAGATCATTTGTCACTTGATTTGCCAACACATATTAACTTTAGAATATCAATTACAAACGGGTCACACATACATATAAGAGAGAGAGGGAGAGAGAGAGAGTATATACCTGAAAAGCGGAGGTGGAAGTGCCGAAGATGAAGTCGAGAGGGAAACTAGAGCGGCTGAAGGAGTTAGAGGAAGGGCATCGTAGCTCAGCCTCAGGCGGAGGAGGAGACTGCGGCTTCTCCTTTCGAGGTGGAGGAGGAGGAGGAGGAGGAGAGTTTTCATAACCCTCTGGTTCAAAAGGTCCAATCACGATCCCCAAATCTTCCTCCGAGATTGGCCTCGAAATTGCTAGGGTTAGTGAGATGATGACGATTAGGGCACTCAATACAAGTGACCTTTGAGTCGCCATGTCTCTTGAGAGTGTTGCGAAAACCCCATGAACAAAACCCTAGTATTTATAGATGCGATTGAATGCATGCAGGGGAAGATTACGTGAGTGCTATGCACGTAACTACTTTTGCATGCCTTAACCGGAACAAAATTTTAGAACGATAGAGACTTCGATTATATATATATATATATATA